CTCGTTCTGATGAAAACTCACAATGAAAAACAAGAATTTGCTTCTCTGTCGTTGGCTGCTGAAGAAGTTCCAAGATGGTGCATGTGAATACCTGTTTTCGGCACCTTCGATGTGACCTCCTTCGAATTCATACGGATATCTGCAGTCGATGATTCGATAACTACTGATGACGTTTTTGTAGCAACCGTCAATGACATCAGAAAGTGTCTGTGGCGAGTGCTACTCAGATCCTGGTGTTTTCCTAAGACCGTCGGAAGCGAATATGTTCTGCTGCAATCAGCAATCAAGTCGCCGTTCAGTGACAGTTTGTTGACGACAGTCTTTAAATCTCTGCAAGGTTTGTTATGCTTGTCGACGGCAGATGTTGATTTCACGGAATCAGCTTGGTGACATTTTGTGAACGACATCTTTGCAGCAGAAGACATAACAATGTCTGCTTTTGGTTTTGTTGAAGCTAATCCAAATGGCTCCATACCACCAATCATCTGGAAATATTCACCATCGTCCCGAAATAGTTGTTTAGGGAGCATTTTTATTGTAACTGGTTACTTCAAAACAGTCGTGACTGAATTTGATTCGCTAAGGTAAAGCACGAATATTTATGGAGAACTGATATTTTGACAAATCATAATTACGCAGAACCGTGTTCACTTCATTACTTAGATCATTTTAGGACTAATCACTCCTTGTCGTTTGACCATAGCTTTGACTTCTGATTAACCTTGTCAAAGATGAAAGCGCGGCTTATCATAGTTTGTCAAGATTCTTAATTGACGTGTAAGGTAATTAAATTCGAGGTTCAGCAGAAATTATGCTTAAAAATGTAATGTCTGAAATATGTTCACTTGATTAGCGATACTTTTGTTTATTGTTGAAAAACTATTTCAGTTTTGATATTATGAAATATTCCCCTACAACAACAATGAGTATAATGATAACAATAAAAGAAAAAAAGAAAACGAAATGAAAAGAAACAAATTAAAAATAAATTAAATAAATAAATAATATAAAATAAATTAAAAAGATGTAGCATAAATAATAAATGCTTTATTGGACTTAAAATGCTGCTTACGATAAAACCTGTTTTTAACATTCATATCATTAAACTTTAGTTATTTTTGTTCTATATCTGATTCTTGAATACATGCATATGTATCGCGGTGTATATATTTACGCTTGTTTTTCCGATTTTGGAAAAGCGCACTTTCCGTCATCAATTATCAATCTTTCTTGAGCTATTTTTAAAAGGGTTGATGTATCATTTTTATAAAAATATAAGACCACAATGATCTTATCAGGTTTATTCACCGTTTTTCTGAAAAATCGATGTAGAACGCTTAATACTATGGGATTCAGGAAACGCTTACTTAAAGATTTTAGGGGTGCAAGTTCAGTCGAATATAGTATACTCAAGTAATTTTCATTGTAAAAAATAATGTTGTCATTAGAGAACGATCATTTAAATCGGGAGGGTGGAAGGATATCGTTTTTTTTTTCTTCTATAAATTGCTTAAGTTCTCAAAATATTAAATAATTTGATGCTTGCCTGGTACGAAAATAAATTAAAAATAAACAAAAATGCCCCTTTATTTCTCTCTTCAATTGATTGATTTTGGGTTGTTTAACGTCCAGAGGCAAATAATTCCTGCATGTTCGGGACGGGAACAGATAAACAATATATATATATATACAAGAGGTAGGTCATGTAATAGAGGCCCTCCGGGATGATGATGGGAACATTTGGACCGCCATTAGTTAATGAGGGTAAATTGGACAAGGACAGAAATTTTGCTTTGCCACAGGCCACCCACGGACCCCTCTAAGAGTTGTTACAAGGGTTCTTAACGTGCCGAGAGCGTGGATACGCTCTCTACACGAGACATCAGATTTAACGTCCCCATACTGACATGAAGGGGGTGCAAACTTAGACATTCCGTACAGCAAAACGGACGCCCTACTTTGGCAAGGCTTTTACTGTCGGTCGGGATAAGACCAAAGCGACCATATTTATATTCCCTAGTTATCCGGGGGAGGGGGACTCTATCTTCAAAGTTTTATTGTTGTTCCCTTAAGTAATGTTACAAAGTACATATCTTTTTTATCTAATGACCCTTTTATGCATAATGGTCATACAAAAAACACAAATATTTATTTAACATTTTCTATTTTCACAGCATTAAAGGTCTCCAGTTATATTTGTCATCGTTTGTTTTTAATGAACGTACACGAAACCACCACTCCTCGTCCAATCCCACAGGTTGATTAATTTTATTTGTCTCTAATTTTTCACTATTCCGGCCTTGACCGGCCCATTGGATTGCTTTGTTTCCCTCCTAAAGTACGTATTTTTACATTGCAAATGAAAGATGTATTAATATTAATTTACATGTTCTACATGAAATATCAAAGAATCTTTCCCAGAGAAAGTAATAGTAGTAAAAAAAAATTTCTCTTAGTCTTTATATATAACATATAAATGTCGAAAATGCGACTATTTTTCAAGACCATATAGAATAAGTCTAATACAATAGTACCAACATTTTATCAATTCTGTTAATTATATTTTTTCCAAATCTCGTGTCTATATCCCATGCATACAAAATGGCCCGGATCATCAATAGATATGGCAAAAACAAAGGATGCATATAACTGTCGTCCATTAGAAAATTTACCAAGTGATGATTCTGGGAAAAGGGAGATCTTACATTACAGCAACATGCAATAATGTCGACCAATAGAAAATGGACTATTGGACGCGTCTTATTGACATTCTTAAGAATAAATGTGGATAGTGTCCACATGTGGACACAGATGATGCCCCCGCTTGCATAGCATATAGTTATAAAGGACATAACTGAAGAACGGTAAAAGTGACGCTACCCAAATTTGAACTTGATCTGAGTTTTGTGGTAATAAGCATTGTGTGTAAGTCTCATAACATTTGGTTGAGGCTAACTTAAGTTAGAGATTGGAAACGAAAAATTCAGCATTTTTTCTATTTGTAAACACTCATAACTCTAGAACGGTTGTGTATAAGTTTTATAACATTTGGTTGAGACAAACTAAAATTAGAGAATGGAACATAAAATTCAGCAATTTTTATGTTTATAAAGGGACATAACTCCAGAATGGTAAAAGTGTTGCCATCAAATTTCGTACTTAATCTGTATTATGTAGAAATAAGCATTGTGTATACGTTTCATAACATTTGGTTGAGGCAAACTAAAGTTAGAAAACGGAAACAAAAAATATGTACTTGATCTTAGTTTTGTGGTAATGAATATTGTGTATAGGTTTCATAATGTTTGGTTGGGGCAAACTTAAGTTACAGAATGGAAACTAAAAATTTTGCAATCTTTCGATTTATAAAGGGGCATAACTCAATAATGATTAAAGTGACACTACCCAAATTCAACTTGATCTGTGTTTTATCAGTGGAAGTCAAAATTAAACATTGCATTGTATATAGCATTGATTGTAGTTGATTCAACTATAATCATGGACAAAGGAAGATAACTCCAATTTTAATAAAATTACTGGATATTTAGATGAAAATAAAAATTTTGCAATTTTTCCATTTCTAAAGGGGAATAACTCTAGAATGGTTAAAGTGACGCCACCAAAATTCAAACTTGATCTGTGTTTTGTGGTAATAAGCATTGTGTATAAGTTTCATAACATTTGGTTGAGGCAAACTTAAGTTAGAGATTGGAAACGAAAAATTCAGCATTTTTTCCATTTGTAAAGGGGCATAATTCTAGAACAGTAAAAGTGACGCCACCAAAATTCAAACTTGATCTGTGTTTTGTGGAAATAAGCATTGTGTATAAGTTTCATATCATTTGGTTGAGGCAAACTAAAGTAATAGAACGGAAACCAATTTTGGGACGTACGTACGTACGTACAGACGGACAAGGGTAAACCTTAATGCCCCTACGCTACGGCGGGGGCATAAAAAAGTGGGACTCTTACATAGCAGGAACTTACAAAAATAAATAATCTGTCACCAAATAGTTTCAAAATAAATATCCTAGCCCAAATACTGGAAATCTCCGGTTCGAACAAGCAGCCAATTAAGTTAGAGCCCCCCCCCCCCCCCCCCCAAAAAAAAACAAAAAAAAAAACAAGACAAACCTACTGGTTATGTATTGTAATCCCAAATACTGCACAAGCTTTCAGTTTCAATTGATATCTCCTACGGTAAATATGGAAAATGTTCCCTGTATTTGTACAACAACTTACGAGAACAAGAAAAACTAGAGGCTCTAAAGAGCATGTGTCGCTCACCTTGGTCTATATACATATTCCACCAAGGACACTGTTTAGTTTCTCTCAATCTTCTTTAGTTTTTGCTCAAAACACAAAAGAGGGTAAAAAAAATCACAACTTGAGGGCAATCACTCCTATAAAGCGTGAGTCTACTAACCATATTAGCAAAATTTGGCTGTTTCGTTCAATTTGTTTGTAAGTGTATGTTTGTTTTTTTGTGGGTTTTTTTTATTCTGGAAGACTGAGTCAGACAAACAAATGATCTCAAACAGATTAAGCACATATAGAAACACATAACTATAAACTTCATTCAATTGAAACTTTAATAAACAAAACAGATAAACAAAACATAAACAGGAAATAAAACAAGTCCAATAGCTACTATTATAATATAACGTTAACTAAATTTTATCACAATTACTTTGTATCACAGTTACTTTGTATCACAATTACTTTGTATCACAGTTACTTTGTATCACAATTACTTTGTATCACAGCTACTTTGTATCACAGTTACTTTAAATCACAATTACTTTGTATCACAGTTAGTTGTATCACAGATACTTTGTATCAGTTACTTTGTATCACAGATACTTTGTATCAATTACTTTGTATCACAGTCACTTTGTATCACAGTTACCTTGCATCAAAGTTACTTTACTGTATCACAGTTTTTGTCATATTACAAATAATTTGTTATATCACAGCTATTTATATCATATCACAGTTACTTTGCTCTACAGCACTATATTAGCTTTCCGTAAAATGTTTCTGAGTAGCACTATCACAAGAAATATATTCAATCCCTTTTCATACGAAAGTTTATATTACAGGCGTATAGATCTTCTTGCATGTTGTCGTTTTTCTCCAGCATTCCAAGACTTTGACTTTGCCCGGAATTGACGTAAATCGGACGAGTGTTCAGAATGGATCATCGGTTTATAACTAATAGGATCGCAATACGTCGACTTTTCGTTGAAAAAAGATTTGTACCCTTCATCAAGTAAATATACCTCTGGGTAGTTCAAAGCAGGATAATTTTCTTTATTCAATTCACGATCTTTACTTCTCAGGAAACGCATCATCTTTGGACCTCGTTCTGATGAAAACTCACAATGAAAAACAAGAATTTGCTTCTCTGTCGTCGGCTGTTGAAGCAGTTCTAAGATGGATGCATGTGAATACCTGTTTTCGGCACCTTCGATGTGACCTCCTTCGAATTCATACGGGTATCTGCAGTCGATGATTCGGTAACTATTGATGACGTTTTTGTAGCGACCGTCAATGACATCAGAAAGTGTCTGTGGCGAGATGCTATTCAGATCCTGGTGTTTTCCTGCGACTGTCGGAAGCGAGTAGGTTCTGCTGCAATCAGCAATCAAGTCGTTGTTCAGTGTAAGTTTGTTGACGGCAGTCTTTAAATCTCTGCAAGGTTTGTTATACTTGTCAACGGCAGATGTTGATTTCACGGAATCAGCTTGGTGACATTTTGTGAACGACATCTTTGCAGTAGAAGACCTAATATTGTCTGCTTTTGGTTTTGTTGATTCTAATCCAAATGGCTCCATACCACCAATCATCTGGAAATATTCACCATCGTCCCGAAATAGTTGTTTAGGGAGCATTTTTATTGTAACTGGTTACTTCACAAAAGTCTTGATTGAATTGGACTCGCTAAGGTAAAGCACGAATATTTATGGAGAACTGATATTTTGACAAATCATAATTACGCAGAACCGTGTTCACTTCATTACTTAGATCATTTTAGGACTAATCACTCCTTGTCGTTTGACCATAGCTTTGACTTCTGATTAACCTTGTCAAAGATGAAAGCGCGGCTTATCATAGTTTGTCAAGATTCTTAATTGACGTGTAAGGTAATCAAGTTCGAGGTTCAGCAGCAATGATGATTAAAAATGTAATGTCTGAAATATGTTCACTTGATTAGCGATACTTTTGTTTATTGATGAAATATTCCCCTACAACAACAATAAGTATTAGAATATAGCAAAGTACTCTCGACCAATGAAATTGTAGGATTGGATGCCTCTTAATTGTGAAGAATGAATGTAAATCATGTTCTTAGTAAGGGATTATCCTATTATTTGGGTCTATTTACAGTTCAAAACAAAGAGTTTCTATAAATGAGTTACAACTGCCCTGAAGCACATTTATCAGATTGAAAGAATTTATCACAGAGTGATTGAAACTGACTAAAAGTTGAATTGTGAAACAAACAAAAATCTCAAAATAAGTTGAAGTTCACTGGTGCAGTAAAATTGGTACCGTGAATGTTATTATGAAAATATTAATAACTTCAAATTACTATAAAATTAAACAATACCAAAGCAATGCAAAAAAAAAAGGAAAAAAATCTTTCAGATAAAAAATAACCTAAATCTTTAGCTTTCCAAAACTTTGATTACTTGATCAGCGGTTGGGGAGAATAGTTATTTCCAATACATGTATTCCGATAAAAAAAAATAGGAATTTAGTTTTGAACATATTAAACACTTTTAAGGGCATTATTTTTGAACATTTCCCTGACATAAACAGTATTTGATGTAAAAAGCCGGACCAAATTATTGGCTGTGAAATAAAATTTAGTTGTAACTCAAATGTATTAATTGATTTAAACTGTAACTAAAAAAAAAAGGATAATTCCTCACTAAAATATTACATGATTTACATTCATACTCACAATCAGGAAACATACAATTCCTACCTTTTCTTTCTACTGTATGACTGTTGTGTCACCTAATATCTATAACGCATTTTTTTAAAAATATTTCCCAAATGATAAGAAAGTCCTCACATCAATAAAACTAATCCATAAATGACATGCCGAAAAAGGAAGTCATGCATCAATTATAAACATTGCACTGACAATGAAACTAACTGATAGATCATTTGAGCCTTGAGCACTTTACAATATTCTAAGTTTGTAAGAAAATGATAATCCCTTACTTCATGATAAGTACTCGCTAACGCTCGTACTTATTCATGAAGAAAGGGATTATCATTCTCTTACATATACTAATGATAACAATAAAAGAAAAAAAGAAAACGAAAAGAAAAGAAATGAAAAGAAACAAAATTAAAAATAAATTTAATACATAAATAATATAGAATAAAGTAAAAAGATGTAGCATAAATAATTATAAATGCTTTATTGGACATAAAATAATGCTGCTTACGATAAAACCTGTTTTAAACATTCATATCATTAACCTTTAGTTATTTTTGTTCTATATCGGATTCTTGAATACATGCATATTTTCCTTTTTGAATGGTTTTATACTAGTCAATCTTTGGGGCCCTTTATAGCTTGCTGTTCAGAGTGAGCCAAGGCTCCGTGTTAAAGGCCGTACTTTGACCTATAATGGTTTACTTTTACAAATTGTGACTTGGATGGAGAGTTGTCTCATTGGCACTCATACCACATCTTCTTATATCTATACATATCGCAGTGTATATCTTTACGCTTGTTTTCCGATTTCGGAAAAGCGCAAAGGGTTGATGTATGATTTTTATAAAAATATAAGACCACAATTGATCTTATCAGGTTTATTCACCGTTTTTCTGAAAAATCAATGTACAACGCTTACTTTGGGATTCAGGAAACGCTTACTTAAAGATTTAAGGGATGCAAGTTCAGTCGAATATAGTATACTCAAGTAATTTTCATTGTAAAAAATAATGTTGTCATTAGAGAACGATGATTCAAATCGGGAGGGTGGGAGAATATCGTTTTATTTCCTTCTATATAAATTTGATGTTAAGTTCTCAAAATATTAAATAATTTGATGCTTGCCTGGTACGAAAACAGAATTAAGAATAAACAAAAATGCCCCTTTATTTCTCTGTTCAATTGATTGATTTTGGGTTGTTAAACGTCCAGTGGCAAATAATCCATGCATGTTCGGGACGAGAACATAAACAATATATATAATAGGTAGGTCCTGTAATAGAGGCACTCCGGGATGATGTTTGGAACATTTGGACCGCCATTGGATAATGAGGGTAAATTGGATAAGGACAGAAATTTTGCCTTTCCACAGGCCACCCACGGACCCCTCAAAGAGTTGTTACAAGAGTTCTTAACGTGCCGAGAGCGTGGATACGCTCTCTACGCGAGACATCAGATTTGATTTATCGTCCCCATACTGACATGAAGGCGGTGCAAACTTAGACATTCCGTACAGCAAAACGGACGCCCTACTTTGGCAAGTCTTTTACTGGCGGTGGGGAGAAGACCAAAGCAACCATATTTATATTCCATAGTTATCCGGGGGAGGGGGACTCTATCTTCAAAGTTTTATTATTGTTCCCTTACGTAATGTTACAAAGTACATATATTTTTTTTTTATCTAAGGACCTTTTATGCATAATGGTCATACAAAAAACACAAATATTTATTTACCATTTCCTATTTTCACAGCATAATAGGTCTTCAACTATATTTGTCATCGTTTGTTTTCAATGAACGCACAAGAAACCACCACTCCTCGTCCCATCCCTCAGATTGATTAATTTTATTTGTCTCTAATTTTTCACTATTCCGGCCTTGACCGGCCCATTTTGGTTTCTTTTTTTTCCTCCTCAAGTACGTATTTTTACATTGCAAATCAAAGATGTATTAATATATTAATTTACATGTTCTACATGAAATATAAAAGTATCTTTCCCAGAGAAAGTAATAATATTATTTTTTTTTCTCTTAGTCCTTATATATAACATATAAATTTCGAAAATGCGACCATTTTTCAAGACCATATAGTAAAGTCTAATAGTACCAAATTTTCATCAATTCTATTAATTATATTTTTTCCGAATCTCGTGCCTATCCCGTACAAAATGAATCATCAATATATATGGCAAAAAAAAAAGAAGAAAGATGCATATAACATAAATCGTCATGGTATGGCTCTCTCCAACAAATTTTAAAATCTCTTCCTGGGTTTGCAAACCTAAATGATGGGGAAAATATTTCAAAAAATACCTTCAGGAAAATATTGAAAGAGAGGTGTATAAAAATTTGGAAGGATCAACTGACCAAGAATTCAGAAGGAAAGCTCCGCACTTATGTAAAATTTAAGAATAATTATGGTTTCGAAAAGTATCTAAATATCATGAACAATTTTGAGCTTAGGGGATCATTAACAAAATTTAGGGTGTCATCTCACCATTTACAGATTGAAATAGGACGATACCAGGGTACTCCTCCACACCTTAGACTATGTCAGCAGTGTAACTCTAGTAATACTGAAGATGAAGTTCATTTTCTCTTTTATTGCACAAAATATAACGAAGACAGACACCATTTATATCACATTATTTCGGAATCATGTACCAATTTCATTAACTTATATTCCCAAGAGAAATTTCTATGGCTGCTGTCTTGTGAGAACTCGACTGTATTAAAAGAGTTGTGTATATTCCTGGTTAAACACTGCAAATAGCAGATTTATATGACATGTTTCGCATAATTAGCAATTGTTGTTATTTAAAAAAATTATTTGTTAATTGACCGGATTCAGTTTCTCTATTTATTTTGTTCATCTGCTTCTGACACGGGGAGGATTGCTGTTATTGCCTATCGCAAATAACAGTATATATCATAGAACACCGTCCCTTAGTATTTCATGCAGATGAACAAATTTCCATCTTTATAGATAATAATTTAAGTATGTTCAAACTTTATTATTATTTTTTTTTATTGTTCATCTGCTTTTGACATGCACGAGGAAGATTGCTGTTGCAGCTATTGTATACAACAGTATATCCATAAGCATAGTCCCTTGGTGTCTCCAGCAGATGAACAAACTATATATCTTAATTTTATAAATCTTAAACGATAATTGTGTTGATGTGAACACGAGGTGCACTGCTGGACATAGAAATAATAATAACAATAAAAAATAAAAAAAATACTCAAGAGTAGTTTAAATGTATTTTTGTTGTTAATGCTATTTTCATTTGTCTATTATAATATCTGTCACGTTATATACTGTACAATTTCTCATGATTGTTGCTTATATTATCATAATTGTTAATTGTAAATGCTCCCTGTGGGACCCTGATTGGAATAATAAAAATAATTTGATTTTGAGATTTTGATTTTATAACTGTCGACCATTAGGAAATTTACAACATGTTGATTCTGGGAAAAGGGGGATCTTACATTGCAGCAACATGCAATAATGTCAGCCGACAGAAAAGGGACCATTGGACGTCTAATTGACAATCTTTAAAAACAAAACGGGACTCTGACATAGCAGCAACTCAGCAACTTGCAAAAATAAATAATCTGTCACCAAAACTGTTTCAAAATAAATATCCTAGCCCCAGAAATGCTGTCCATGAAAATGAAAATACTGGAAATCTCCGGTTCGAACAAGCAGCCAATTAAGTTGGATGAATCCCCCCCCCCCCCCCCAAAAAAAAACAACATAAAAAACCCTACTGGTTATGTATTGTAATCCCGAGTACCTCCGTTACTTCGTTTTAAGAATAGCAAAATCGAGAATTTACTGCACAAGATTTCAGTTTCAATTGGTAATCTCCTGCGGTAAATATGGCAAATTTCCCCTGTATTTGTATAACAACATACGGGAACAAGAAAAACTAGAGGCTCTGAAGAGCCTGTGTCGCTCATCTTGGTTTATATGCATATTCCACCAAGGGTATTGTTTAGTTTCTCTCTATCTTCTTTTTTGCTCAAAACACAAAAGATGGTAAAATATTCCTAATTAGAGGGCAATCACTACTTTAAAGAGAGAGAGTCTACTAACAATATCGGCAAAATTTTGCTTGTTATTAGATCTTGTCTTGCTGATCAATTTTGCTTGTTTAAGTTTCTATCTATCTATTATAATTTTTATCATATTATTTTTCAAAATAATAGACAAAACTTGCATTTTACCCATATGTTTTATTTTTTAGCCATGTCGGCCATCTTGGTTAGCGGGCGGGGTCATCGGACACATTTTTTTTAAACTAGATACCCCAATGATGATTGTGGCCAAGTTTGGTTAAACTTAACTTCTTCAGAGGAGATCTTTGTAAAAGTTAACAGACGACGACGGACGACGGACGCGAAGTGATGAGAAAAGCTCACTTGGCCCTATGGGCCAGGTGAGCATAAAATGATACTCAATGTTCTATCCCCCCCCCTTTTTGCCCCTAAATTTTAACGAAAAATCTATTTTTCACATCTATTCTGCAACGAATTCTAGAAAAAATTTTAAAACCACAAAATTTACAAAAATACTTTTCCGTCACAGAACATAAATGCTCGGTGCCTTAATAAAACAGGTTAAAGTCGTGTCTATAGGCGCTACACCCGAATTGTAGTTTGTTTTTATATTTTACACACTGAAAGTTTATCCTGAGCAGTTGAAAACTTAATTATTACAAAACTGCCTTGTTTAAGTACAGAATCATCACTGACACCTAGTAGGATAGTACCAACATAGAGTGTCAAGTCTATTGTCACCGAGCCGGCTTTTACATACGGAGAGTGCCAGTCTATCAGTACCTTGTCGGATAGAACCTACTGATATTGTCAGTCCATCAGCACCTATTCGGATAGTACCTATTGACATGATGGAGATTATCAGTCCAGTAGCTCCTAGATGGATAATACAAACTGAGATTGCCAGACAATCAGCCCCTAGTCAGATAGTACATACGGAGATTGTCATTCCTTCAGCACATATGTACTATCCGACTCGGAGCTGCTGGACAAATAATCTCCGTATGTACTATCCGACTAGAAGCTACTGTGGACTGACAACCTCCGTATGTACTATCAGACTAGAAGCTACTGGACTGACAACCTGCGTTTGTACTATCCGACTAGAAGCTGCCGGACTGACAATCTCCGTATGTACTATCCGACTAGAAGCTGGTGGCCTACAATATCCGTATATACTATCCGACTAGAAGCTGCTGGACTGACAATCTCCGTATGTACTATCCGATTAGGAGCTACTGGACTGACAATTTCCGTATGTACTATGCGGCTAGAAGCTACTGAACTGATAACCTCCGTATGTACTATCCGACTAGAAGCTGCTGGGTTGACAATTTCCGTATATACTATCCGACTGGAAGCTGCTGGACTGACAATCTCCGTATGTACTATCGGACTAGAAATTACTGAAATGACAACCTCCGTATGTACTATCCGACTAGAAGCTGCTGGGTTGACAAATTCAGTATGTACTATCCGACTAGAAGCTACTGAACTGATAACCTCCGTATGTACTATCCGACTAGAAGCTGCTAGGTTGACAATTTCCGTAAATACTATCCGACTGGAAGCTGCAGGACTGACAATCTCCGTATGTACTTTCCGACTAGGAGCTATTGGAATGACCATCTCCGTATGTACTATCCGACTAGAAGCTGCTGGACTGATAATCTCCGTATGTACTATCCAACTAGGAGCTTCTGGACTTATAATCGCCGTATGTACTATCCGATTTGAAGATCCAGGACTGACAATCTCCGTACGTACTATCCGACTAGGAGCTACTGGACTGACAACCTCTGTATGTACTATGTTTATTTAGACACCGACCATTCATATTTGTGAAGGCATTGTATTTTTATGTAAAATGGTTTGATTCCAAAAAAAATAAAATTAGGGGGGATGTTACAACATTGAGTTTCATTTTTTTTTTGGTTCCAATATGTTATTGTTTGTTTTTTTGTTAAAGTGTAGAACATATTTTTTTGTCCCGAAAAGAAAAAAAAACCACGCTCTCACCACGTCCATCAAAGAAGACGAATCGTCGGGGTATTAGTTTTGATATCACCCATACTGTTTCTGCATTTGGCTTCACAGACGTTTGGGCCAGGCTGGTGACTTCTCAATTTTTACTAAATTTTGGATAAGATCCAACGATATTGGCACATGTCGAGCCCACTGAAACGGCATCATAGTTACTCTATGAAAAAACAGAAGACCTGCTCTGTTCTATATATGTTGGTAGCCCAAGTCTTGTTACATTATGCACTTAACGTCAGGTGTTCAAAGATCGGAGTCTCCGTAAATCGATAAACAATGTATTTTCATATGCACTCAGATGGTTTTAATAACCTCCATAATAACACTGATATCATATTGGAATTTTTAAAGTTCTATTTTGTGTTTTAATGATTTTGTATCGAACTTCTGTATCCATATGTCACCCAGTTATTGATATGGTAAATACAACACTCTGTCACTACAATTTAAATATTCACCATTATTGATTCCTAAGTGTAAGCTGTCTTTCAGCAGACGAATGTTACCATGGTTACAAGAACTTCTAAATGCGCAAGTCTGTGATGATATGTTTACTACTAGAAATACACAACAAGGGATTAGCAATGTGAGATAATTAAGTATATGTAAGTAAATAATAAACAAATTCCTATAAATTAATGGATTGTAGCAAATTACTAACACTATTTTTTAAATTTTTCAATATGTAAGACCGTCTTTATGTATCAAATATACAAAATATTGTCAATATGTTAGGTATGTTCAATCAAATCAAGAATGGTTTGATCAGATGTGTTAAGATTTAACCTACTTAAGACTTAAATCTGTGTAATGATATTGGAATGTATCAGATACATTTAATTCTATCGCTTACTGGGATATAAAACGATTTGTGAGTTTGAGATATTTGTCTAATGTTGTTTAAGCGGATAAATTATGCCAGCTAATACGGTATATGTGTGTATGTTTAAGTCTGATTGTGAATATATGTGCTAAAGAAGACTAGCTTTGTTATAAAAACGTTTCCTTCTTGGTGGATAATGTAGGATAATATAAGTAAATATTTTTTACTCTCTGACAGGTACAGAAAAAGAACATAGTCAGCTTCAAAATTATGGTTGTATGACTGTATGTTAATTTTAAATATGCCCTCAATACCATGTTATACTGATGTGGTAAATAGATTTAAATTAAATCAAAATAATTGCTTAGATTTCAGAAAAAGAACATAAAAACTGACAAAATTTGACAAATTTTACTTGTTTTATCAACTGTAAAACTGATTTATAATTTACTACGCCTACAGAAGACTCACCACTGGCACTCGAATCAAAACAGTTGATCGGGCCAATATACACAATGAATAAGCTGTGCAAAATCTGGCTCAGTCCATTCATACATGTCCATACCTGGAGGTAGAAAATTCTTAGGTGTTTTGAATGATTTTCACGTTAAGCATGTTAAGATTAAGTAGACTACCGTTTCTGATGACAAATTTATTGAAACCATGATATGATAAGCCGTTGTAGTCAAAAATATATTTAAGTCATTTAAGTCATTTTTTAATTGACACACATTGAGAATAACACATTACATATATATTTATAAAGACATTAAAAAATATAATTCCATTGAATAGACTATTGTAAAAAGGCTACCGATATAGTTATCGGCCTTTAAAAACTAAATTCATAATTGAATTAGAGGCAACCTTAGGTTACTGATATTCAAATCTCATAAACTTATCAAGAAGATACAAATCAAAGTAAAAAACAAACAGGAATTGAACTCCAAAATGAGCGTGCGTTGAAAGCGAAAGCGTCTCCTGCTATGCATTCATCGCCCGCCATGCGAATCCAAACTCAGTCAAAATGTCACAATCGGGAATAAAAAGAACGCTAGTAAGTTCGGACACAGACAGCTACTGTCCTTGAATGTTCTGTTGTTAGGTTTGTTATTCCATGGCCCTACATCCAGCTGGTTGTTTTCTATGGTCCTACATCTAGCCGATACTTATCATTTTTGGCATTTTCTATATAAATTCCAATATTCTTTTTTCTTCTTCGAAAAATGGCTTGTACATATTTTTTACTAGAATGGCCATACGTGTGACTGCAATTTAGTTGAACATGAAAATCTCTGACAATCATTTTATACGATATCATGTTCATTGAAATAATTGACCCTTGTTCTTGCTATACGCTATATATGGTTTATTTTGATAGCGATGAAAAGTTTTACCTTTTCGGTATATAAATGTTTCATGATGAATATGGCCCAGATGGCACAGGATAGATGCAAGGGATATCTGTTTTTCGATCAGTTTGCTTCGTTGATAATTAGGATGTAGAGAAATGACATCCTGTTGAATGTTTCGGACATATATTTTCTACGGGTGTGTTATTTTTAGGATAATTCTATTTAACCCTAGTATTTCTTGGTAACACTATCACACACTGTTGGAGGACCGTTGAAGCAATAGGAAAGTTATTATTCCTTCGATCGAGTTACAAGTTAACTTTGGTAACGATAAAGATTTTAAGTTATTTTGGACCCATAATCATACAATTGTTTAACATGTTAAAAGTATATACTAAACTGTTTTTTGTTTAAAATTATTACAGCTTACAAGAAAGATTTCTTGATACTTTTTATCGATACCATCCTTGCAGAGAACCTGTCAAACAAAAAGCGCAATAATCAATTGTCTCCATTTTTTTAACTGAGAAGTTCGAATGTACATAAAAAAGCCGACGAAATGATGGTTACACGTATAAGGAAAACATACCAGTAGTAATCTTATTACACAGAAAGAATAAATGTTCCTTAACATTCCATTAAAATCTTAAATTCTACACCACCCGCAATACCATAATAACGATTAAAAAGAAACACACTTGTGATTTTACAAGTTATAATGCAGACTTTCTATAAGAACTGCACCAAATACAATACCCCCGAATAAGCACAGGGGAATAAGTGGATAACAAAATAATCTGAGTAGTGTAGAAACACCACACAAATAAAAAACGTCGTTTTATTATAAGTATCCGTGAATAACTAGGAAAAACAAGGAAACAATTATATATAAAAAGAAACACTTTCTTTGTAATTTTGTCAGAAACAAATAGAAAATTTCCATACAAGTTTATATCTGAAAAATAATTCTAGTCAAACAACATTACATTAATATTGCATGATCAGCTTATTGTTCGCTCTACATAAATCACATATCATTCACGTCATTGAAATTTAGTTGTGGTGCTAGATTAAATTATGTTTGTATCAGTACGGGCATAGATGTGCTATTATATCTATGGTACGAGCTTTATGATATATTGTTCATATTTTATTTCATATGTATACAAAAGTGAAAAATTAACGCCTAAACAGAACTGATGATGAATTATTGGTCAGTCGATATTCCTTCGTGAGAAATCCCATATCGGATTTACAGTAATGAAGATGATTATTAATTTTTCCATGCCGTGTTTATTGATCTCAGGATACAATTAATTCAACGTGTTTATCGGTATTTCTCCTACAGCCGAACCTCTGGAGATTTAGTGGAGATGGGAAACTGCTCGCCATTGAGTTGATCACCGCTTTATTAATGCAATTTAAAAAGCGCATGCCGTCATTTACCTTACACAAAATAAATCATTTGCATATCAAACTAACAGTAGGGGAAAAAACTTGTATTCAAAACATCTATGTCCATATATAATGTATATACTGGTCACTTCCGGAAATTATCTCCAAACTGTTTCTCATTGGAATAGTCCGGACTCGCTATAGGTACTTTGCAAACGGAAGTGAACAAGATTATATGGCGCGCCAATTCCATTTGTTAACTTTTCCTTTTTAAAATATTTTTTTCAATAAAAGAGAAAACCAAAGAAAAATCATAAAAACAAAATGAAAACAAAGCAAAACAAAGCAAAACAAACAAACAAACAAACAAACAAATAAAACAATTATAACCAGTATCTGATTTGTTTTGTTTTGATTGGTAATTGATATACATAAACTTTAAATTCAATGTGTCTAAATGAAAAATGAGTGTAGAAGGCATTGTTTGTTTCACAATTTATTAATATTTTCAGCTGAATGATGAAGACTTTATACATGTGTGTAACATGAAAACCAAGTATGGAGTACATGAACCTACATAAAATCATATTTATACTTGTCTACTATACATATCATGGTAAGTTATCTATTACATATACTGTACTATGATAATTTTTCTACTACAAATATCATGACAAATGTTCTACTACAAATACATGTACCATGGTAAGTTATCTATTACATTGGCCATGGTAAGTAATTTTCTCGACCTGTCATTGCACTGCCAGGTGTATGTTATCTACTACACAAACCGTGGTAGGTAATATATTCGACAAGTCATTGCACTGCCACGTGTGTGTTCTCTTATACACAAACCGTGGTAGGTAATCTACTCGACATATCATTGTACTGTGACGTGCATGTTATCTACTTTTAAAACCGTGGGACATGTCATTGTATTGCCACGTGTATGTTCTCTTATACACATACCATGGTAGGTAATCTACTCGACATGTCATTGCACTGCCACTTGTATGTTATTTACTACACAAACCGTGGTAGGTAATCTACTCGATATGTCAATGCACTGCCACACGTATGTTGTCTACAACTCTCGCCATAGTAAGTTATCTATTCGACCAGTCATTGCACTGCCACATGTATGTTGCCAGCTACACATTACATGATAAGTTATATCTACTTGACATGTCATTGCACTATAACATGTATGTTGTCTACTAAACATACCATGGTAAGATATCTACGCGACTTGTCATGGCACTGCCACATGTATGTTGTCTACTACACAAACCATGGTAAGTTATCTTCTCGAACTGTTATGGCACTGCCACGTGTATGTTGTCTTCTACAAAAACCATGATTGGTAGTATATAACACGATGGAATAATGATGGAGAGTGTGAACTTTTATCATTTTTTAGATTTTCTGCGCTTCAAGTATTAGAAGATTATATATAAGTAAATCGGTATTGTGACATTATTTTTTTATTAGCCAGATGCTATTGTATGTCGTTTGAAACTGCATTAACAAAAATCTAATGTTTCATGTATCTTCTATACTACCTCCCACCCCCAGATAAACATCAAATGTTCCTAAAATAAGAAAAAATGAAAATTGAAAAATTATGGAAAAGGACAGAGATGTTCCATGTGTATATCACATAATAAACCCTTTTATATGGTATTACCCTTGAAGAACGGTTAAAAGACGATGATTTCCCATCATATTTGTTATATCGACGGGGTTTATTAATTGACTTTTTAACCAAGGACCTCTTTGACAAAAGCCACCGCATTCAATGTGCGCTTTACTTATAAACCAATCTTAAGTGCATTATATATGTAAAAGTTATCGGGCGAGTTTTCAATTGTTTTGAGATCAAAGGTTTTAAGTTTTTGAGTACAACCTAGATCCCATCTTTTAAAGATAAAAAACGTTCCGTTGCGAGACTTATACCCTACGAAACTTTCAAGAGAAAATAATTACCTAAGATTGATAATCGATGCCAGACATTCATGATTTGTTGGAATGGTTTATTTATTTATCCCTTTCCTTGAACTCAGCCAAACCTTATTTTTCTCTTATTCCAGCTGATGGTATCGGATGCTTCAGATGTACCTCTATGAATAGAAATAACCAAGATTGTGAGGACACTTTTAATAACACGGGAAAGTATTATGTAACAGACTGTTGGGCGAGTCGAAAAGACCGAATGGGGATGTTTCCTGCTACAGAATGTATCAAGATGACTGTTACTGATGGTGTGTATAAAATTAAACAAAAGAGTTTACTTCACAGTACCTAAAATCTTGTCAGCCATTGTTGCCTGTTTTTGCGCCCGTAATGCCGATATCATTGTATTAAGGGCTTTTATGAAACAATGTTTTTTTTCTGTGAAAAGTTTTAGTACCTTTATGTTATTTTATTAATCTTATTATATAAGGAGGGTGCTTGAGTTCTTGTGAAATCAGTTTAAAATTGTCGTTTGTATGAGATATCTCCATCTATTACAAACGTATGGGCTGACGACAAATATTTGATAGTCTTTATTAAATTATATTCACCTAACCTGTCAAGGTTCGGGGTGATTGAGACAATACTGACACTTGTAAATTGATAACTTTAACTCTTTTCATGGCTCTCAAAACGGATATGGAAGCACTTAAATGAAACAGAAACCCAATTAGAACTGACATCATATATGTTTAGGTCCCGCCGTAGCGGAGGGGGCATTAAGTTTTACCCTTGTCCGTCTGTACGTACGTCCGAACGTCCGTCCGAACGTCCCGAAATCGGTTTCTGTTCTCTAACTTTGCCTAAACCAAATGTTAAGAAACTTATACACAATGCTTATTACCACAAAACGCAGATCAAGTTTGAATTTTGGTGGCGTCACTTTTACCTTTCTAGAGTTATGCCCCTCACAAATGGAAAATTGAAGAAAAAAAATCGTTTCCGTTCTCTAACTCAAGTTTGCCTCAACAAAATGTTATAAATCTTTACACAATGCTTATTACCACAAAACAAAGATCAAGTTTGAATTGTGATGGCGTCACACTTACCGTTCTAGACTTATGCCCCTTTACAAATGGAAAAATTGATGAATTTTACGTTTCTGTTCTCTAACTTTAGTTTGCCTCAACCAAATGTTATGACAATTATACACAATGCTTATTACCACAAAACTCAGATTAAGTACGAATTTGGGTAGCGTCACTTTTACCGTTCTTGATTTATGTCCCTTTATAACGTTTTATGCAAGTGGGGGCATCGTCTGTGTCCCACGGACACATTCCCCATTTATTTAAGTTTTATTCTTTTTGCTAAAACAAAAACCACTTCCCCATGATATCGCTTGTCAATATACTTGTAAGATGTGCATATATCTGCAAAGGTAACATTCACATCATTGTTGATCTTGCATTCTTCATAGAATTGGTGTGGCCATATTAGCTATTATATCTTGTACGCTTAAGCTTCTCATCGTTACAAGTCGTATGCATCATTCCAGAGTATATGCATTTCTTGTTGGATTTCCAAACTTTTGATTGATTGATTGTTGGTTTCTTAACATTCAGTGGCAAATATTTCATGCATTTTCAAACTTTTGATCCCAATCATACCTGATAAAGGTTAATCCAGTAATAGATGTCATCTGCAAGGAAATATGTATCAGACGTTTTTAGACAACTGTGACCACCGAGTCGGTAAAATTACTGGTGAACTATCGTAGACACCTCCCGCTCATCGATAGGCAGTAATACGGTCCTAACATGAATTTATACATTATGTCTGTATATTTCAGGCTAAAAAATATGTTATTGATCTATAACAAAGGTTTCAACACCTAGAGGCAAAAGATACCTTAGACATTTGGCTATTCCGTTTAGGACATTTTTGGTTCATGGTCTCAATCGTTTTATATTTTCGACTCACAGGCACTTGTCTCTGAGAAAAATTACCAATATACTTAAGGTTATACCAATAAAAAACACGTGTCGTGCAACCATGAAGTAGCGTTCAAACAAAGGGTCTCATATAATTGGGGAAATATAAGTAATGCTGGTTTAAATACATCATCTTGATAGATGTTAACAACACATTAGTAGTGTGTCAAAGATCACGATTCTTCACTTTACGTTAACTGTTAGCATACTTTAAATAATTGTCAACGTCTATTTTTTTTCGTTACAGAAAACGACGACGGCCAGAAATTTAGTTTAGTGGTAAGAGATTGTGTAGTAGATAACGGAGGTACAAATTCAGAGACTGAAATTGGTCGCCAGAGCCACTGTGGATGGATGAAAGTTTTACAATATAATGGCGAGCGGATGCGAGGATGTATACTTAGCTGTGATTTAGATGGATGCAACACAGGACAAAAACTTTCAGCAGTTTCTCTTTGGATATTCATATTACTTGTTGTATACTTAATACTTCAGTGAAAATTACTTGTTATATATCTAATCCTATATTGAATAAACAGACTGTTTCATTGATCGGAACCAGGAAAACTTAAAGAATCACAAATCATTGATAAAGGTGAAATCAATAACACGGTTTTATACTGGAAACATTTAAAGGAACAGTATAATTTTGGACAAGACTATCAATGCATAGTCAAACAGAGTAACAGTTTATATTTAGGAATACAATTTCTACCAAAATTTTGAAAATTTGGCGGGAATTTTTTAACGTCCCGCGGAAGGCTACATGTGTATATCGCAAAATAAGCCTACATGGTGATTGGATTTAATATATATCGATGAATGCTATTGAATCAATGGTGGAATTGATTTAGGAAAGTTATTTGTAAACTATTCATAAATCAAAGAATTTGTCATAAAGATTAGTTATTTGTAATGTTTGTAGAATGTTAGTTTAGAGAAAACAATCATTGACTAGGTGCTAAAGTTCAATACAATTTATTTTCCTTCATGTAGCAGAATATCCTTGTTTGGTGTTTATTTTCATACTTTAACCATTGAAATACAATATGATTAAAACCACTTTGCTCCTCTAAATTTGATTGTCGCTCTTGTAAGGGACTAGCAATTTTTACGGAACAAAGTGAAAGATCAGATTTAAGTATGAGTGCTTGAAATAGATCTAAATATATACATGTATTTCGAGATATTAAGATACACTAAGATACACGTATCTCGTATATTGCAAGTATAACAACAAACTATATTTTTATAATTAAAGTTATTTGAATGAAAATAGGTATTGGCATTTGCCATATAATTCAATACGTATTTTAAACACTATTTTTTGTGGATGTCTATTTTATGAAAAAAGTCACATTCATATGGTATTTTGTTTACTAATAATCATACATTATAACAATTGTTTTTGGTGGCTAAATCATCAGGTTAAAAATGTAAGTTATTTTTGTATGTAACTACAATGTAGATGGCAAAAATTATCATTTGCGATGAAAATAACTGGTTTTTTTTTTCTCAATCTGAATAGAGCCCAGCATACAGAGCCATAGAGCAATATAGAACAAGGATTTGTACAGTAGTAACTACTATAACCTCTCTCGATGTTATCAAGCATAATTCATGTTTATCGAATTCCATTTACAGACTTCACAACAACTTAACATTTTGATGACGGTACTTGTGGCAGTCTTGGTAAAAGCCTTAAATCTAAATTTTACAAAGAGTATAATTTGGATTAGAACAAAATTACGAGCAAACTTATCTCACGCAATTATTAAGTTATTTTAATGTAAGAACAAAAATGTCAAGGTAATAGCAGAATAAATACTCTGTAAACAGAATCCCGAAAATGAATATGAAAAAAGGAGACTGAACGATTACCAGCCATCCATTAAACTAAAACGATATTTAAACCAAGATGTTTTATAATGTTCATGGTGTACGTCAGTAGGAATATTACGACGTTCATGGTGTACGTCAGTAGGAATATTACTACGTTCATGGTGTACGTCAGTATAGGAATATTACTACGTTCATGGTGTACGTCAGTATAGGAATATTACTGACAACTATTTTTTGTTGTTGATTATGTTGTTACAGCATTGGCATGCATGTGAACCATTTTGTTTAGTTATTAATATGTTATAATGAATTGTTTGCATGCATGTATACATTGTAGACATCAATTAGTTATCGAAATAAAATTACTGTTAAGATATTATTTTTGTTTATGTCGCCGGGTTCCCCTTTCAATGATATGGGTACATTAATATGATGATTGGGTACCAGTGATGATTAGGTACCAGTCGGTTCACCACCATCCTGACATCAGTAGGCGCTCTAACACCAAAAGTTGGATATATATCTTTTTTTAAGATATAATTATGTGGGTATACTTTGAATGAAGATTAGTTACCGATTTGTCCATCTTCATCCACTATAGCATCAGGACCTTGAACAACGGTTGTGTTTTATTATAAACCCTTACCATTACCCTAACCCTAACGTACCCTAAACCTAAAAACGGCGTATATTTATTTTGTGATCTGAATGACTTAAGATGAAAGTGGATTTTTCCATTAGCTGCATTCTAAACATTGAATGTTTAAAACACCCCTTTATAACACTAAATTTGTTTCCTGTATACTGAAACTGCGGGAGTTTTTAGTCCCTTTCATGATGCATATTCCTGTAGGACTTGGGTTTGTAAGATCTTATTTTCAAATAAAGAAATTGAACCATATATATGAATATAAATAAGACCCCGAAATGAATGATGTTTGGTTTAACGTAAGATTTCAGCAACCAAACAACAACTAAAACATCAGGAGGTCATTATAGATCCATTATATGTATAGAGCTTTGAACTATTACTTGTGACTATGAGCTCTTTTATACATATGAAAAGCTTCAAATCGTCCAAGTGACAGTCTAAACAATCTCTTTATGAATGAATGATTTGAAAATCAAAAAAAAATATATCTGTTGCACAATCACGCATTATCAATCTGGTCAATTATTGAAAATTAAGCCTCAGTCACACATTCTGAATTTTTACTGCCGCCCTTGATAGGACCATTCCATGTTGAAATGTGTCAAATGTCTGATTAAGATTCTGTTATTCGTGGATGTGAATTTGAACTATATATTTCAAATTTGTAAATGCATTTATTTACTATTACAAAATGTACTCACCTATTTGGTAGATCTCTCCGGACTATTCCCGATCTGTAGGACTCTGTTACGAACGTATACGACTGTGTTTAGACAATGATATGCCATTCCAGATTATTGAAGACAGGAATCCGACTTTTTGACTTTTCGTGTCGTAGAGTTGTCTGATATCAAACAGGAGCCATAATCAACACTCCGTGAATGCCGCATTACACAGTACTACATAGAACGTGTGGTTATTTCCCATGATTATTAATTTTCATTGCTGCTTCTTTAAAATTCATTAGTCTGTGTGATTATAAATATTTGAGAATTTGTTTAAGTTTCGATATTTATTTTTTACACAGAATAAAATCTGTTATTGTTTGTAAGATTGAAAGGTAAACTTTTGTGTATTGATTTGGTATTGTTCCAAGATGAGGTGTATTGAGTTTTCAACTCTCATGATAGTTTTAAGTGTTTGCATTACCAAACATCATCAATACCGCTTATAAACATTGACAGAAAACATTCTTCTTGGCTTCGTTAGAAACACAGATCCGTATCTTCATCGCCTTGGGCATTGTTCCAAATTTGTGACTAGATTTCACAATGCTGACTATGGGACGTTTAATATCTTTACTCTATGTTTTAATTAACATTTTTACTGGTAAGTAATTTTTTATGTTGTATATGTGTTATGATTACGTCACTATCTTCTTTACTTTAAAAGTGCGTGTTGTAAATCATCGATGAGTGTGATAAGAAATGTATGTAGGAGTCATCTTGCGAATCCTTTTACTTAACACGACAAGAGTATATTCTTTAGCTCTTATTCTTCACTCTTAATTAAAAATCATCTTGAACATGAAGTACGACAGCCTTCATTTTCTAACCATTTTGTTTATTGTTTACCATGAAGTTGATGTATTAAAAGAAGTTTTCACCTTAGAATACCTTTAACTTAATCAAAAAAAAAACATTGCACGTATACCTTATCGTAATTAAGTGTCCAATATCGTTGATTTATCTTTCCCAATTCTTGTCATCATTTGTATGTATTACTACAAAAAATAAGTCACCATTAAATTACAGGCATATACTGTTTGTAGATATATCAAAGTTGTCGTTTTTATTTTGTGACGTTGGGTTGCTGTCTTTTTGAAGGTTTACATCTCCTTGATGAAAATCAAATTAAAAATTAAACCCAATTATATCTACATTGCTGGGTGAAACGTTCCCATCACTAATTGAAGTATGACAAATGAAATGACGTTTTTTACGTCTTAGATAGATATTTTATGATATCTTTTGGTGTTACACTGCTACTTATAAAGCTCATGAATTATATCTTAGTGACATTCAGAAATGAATAACATTCGGAGGCCATTCATAATTGGGTTACTTTCGCGTGACTTTTAACCAAATCCAAATCAAAACCAAAGTAATGCAAAAGGGGGATACAGCAACCTTGGTTGAAAGTTGTACCAATAATGAAAAGTTAATTAAACATGGAAACTGTTTAAGAATTGAAATCATAGACAATTAAATTTTGTTATTTTCTTAATTACTTGGTCGAGGTTAGTATTTACTCTACAAATCCTTGACTTGGTTAACCAACGCGCAAAATAGTGTAAGTCACTGTTCATAATATACCCTAACGGAAATATTTGCTGAGTTTCATGTTAGTTGAAACCTTGAGGTATAGGTTAAGGATTCGTGGAAATTTAAAATATTTACGTTAAAAGAAATCATGCTATCTTCATAGTACATGTTCTCCCCATTACGTGACCAAATCTTACTATTGTGTCAAGTTATGATCATTTGGAGTCAGTTTTTACATGTTATATCGTTGCTTATAAGTGCTGTCTTTAATTCAGTAAATTATGCGTTAATTAGTTATAATTATCGATATTCATTCTCTATCATTCTTTTGTATATTTATCTAAACATTAACGCAATTCTGAGTTTTTCAAATGTTCTTGCACTGATGTTCTCATTTACAGTGAACGCGCTCAGTTGTTTCAAATGTTCCTCGCGGAACCATGACAACCCTGGATGTGATGATACATTCATGAATCCCGATGGAGCAAACAGTGCTTATTTAGAATCTGACTGTTGGGCACCTCGGACTGGAAGAACTGGTCTTTTCCCTGCTACACAATGTATTAAAGTTGTTGTCGATGATGGTAATGTATATAGTTTATGTAGTGATTACTTTAATAAAGTAAAACAGATGTTTTAATAGCAAGAGAAAAGCTATAGAATTAACAATCGTGACATAAAGTAAAAAATCAGGAGTGCAAAATGAAAATACAACGAGGCAACACTAAGCAAAAAGAAAGAGACGAACAAATGAGAGAAGTAAAAAACTAAAATGGGTGATAATCCAAGACATATGAAGAACAAACTACTTTAAAAATATTGCCGAAGTCCTGCTGTACAACGATATATTTGTGAGGAACAAACATCATGAAATCTCGATAAGACAGCAATTAAATAAGATTAAAGAAACATAGCGTTTTGTCATGTATTGGGTTTCGACTGGTTACATGTAACCTTCGGTCGTAATTCCTGTATGTTCAATTGCTTTTAATATTACATTTTTACTCAGTATTTTGTGTTAAGTGTTCTCATCAAACCAAAGCATGAAGCCTTTTGACAACATTCATTTGTAATTGTTGCATTTAGAATAGTCTTTTCGAATGTTACATACGGATGTAAATGTTTCCTGGTTTTTAGAGGATAATGGTAACCATGTTATAGTCCGTGACTGTGTTGTGGATAATGGTGATATGAAATCAGAGACAGAAATTGGTCGCCTTAGTCACTGTAGTGCCATGGGGACAAGACTAGAATTTAATGATGTCAGAAGTAGTGGATGTATTGAGGTCTGTGATACAGATGCATGTAACACTGGTAAAATACCAGAAATTCTTTACTCAGTTCTGATAACTCTTCTTGTGATAACACAACTGACAATCAATTATTTGTAATCACAAAATGCAACAATACGTATGCCTCAGAAGGTCATAAAAGAATTAGCACAATGTTTAGATGTTTATGACAATTTGACTCCGTCGCTAATACATATAATAATTTTATATTTTATGTGGACTCGCTAGTGATAATGTAATTGTAAAATGCACAAGAATGTGTAGCATAGAAAAATTATATGTAGGGTTTACATTTAGAATAACTAAAGTGCTAAAGACTAATAGATTAGTAAAAAAATACCTTCAATAAGTAAAGAAAATAGTGAGATTCTGGTTTGGGACAAGCACTGTAAAATAGCCTCACATTCGATCAATAGGTATAAATGAAAGGAGGTGTGGGGTATACATCAATTAGACATCAATCAACCCCAAATACAGACATAAACCATGACATCTAGTTGTAAGCATACGGTCTTCTACAACAATAGACAGGTACTTATAGAGTAACTATATCAAACTCTAATTTGACAAATGTTTAAAAAGTTGTAACTTTAACAGAGACTATCAAGGATCTGCCATCAACACATAAATCTCCCAAACGACAAAATATATCCATTGAGAAACATGTGGCGGGGTTTAACTAGTTTCTCGAGATCTCGGTCTACCACACTTGAAATCGTTTAGTAGAATGACAGAACATATAATAAAAATTAATATAGGAAAAGCATTGAACTAAATGATAATGGTATTATGGATGAAAAAAAACCAAACAAGTACAAGCAAAACAATACAGTAGCTTTGAAGTAATACCGTCAGTTTTTAATCGTGTTGTTGCCATTTTGTATGTTTGAAAAAAAATGTTAGTTATTGTATTAAATAAAAAAGGCTTGTTTTCTATCTGAATATGCTATTACAAACTACTCCACCATTTTCTAAACGTTGATGATATAGCAATCTTAATTCCTCAAAATAGACACCAGGAGTATTGCTATTCCATAACACTAGCATTGAAGTTAGGACAGGTTTTAAGCCCTCTAATGGCCAAGTATTACAAACTAATTAATAAAGATTGAAGATTGAAACAAGTCTGGTACTCTTAAAAGCTTACAGCTGTAATTTCCAGTCTTCTCTTTCCATACAATTACATGGGATAGCTAGGCTCTACCCATATAAACAAGAGTGCAAACACTGAAGTGTCTCGCCTACTTTACTGACCATTGATTTTATGTTGATACTCAATGATAGTCCTAAATATAAAGTTTTACTACAAGTACCAAATTAACATTTATGATCCAAGAAAATGAGGTCAAGGTCAGATAAACCAAGCCGGAAATACATGTACACCTTTAAAACGATCATTATATACACCCAATTGCTTATAGTATAAAAGAAACAGACCAAACCATGGAAATTTTATATTGACCAATGAACCATGAAAATGAGGTCAAGGTCAGATGAATGTACACCTTAAAATCATTCCATGTACCAAATATAGTTGACCTATTGCTTATAGTATCTAAGAAACAAAGTTAACCAGGAAAACTGAACATTGACCAATGAACCACGAAAATGAGTTGAAGGTCAGATGATACCTGCCAGACAGACACATACACCTTACAATCATAACATTTCATCCACCAAATATAGTTGACCTATTGCTTAAAGTTTAAGAAAAACAGACCAAAACTCAAAAACTTAACATAAAGCAATGAACCATGAAAATTAGGTCAAGGTCAAATAAAACCTGCCAGACTGACATGTACATCGTAAAATATTTCCATACACCAAATATAGTTGACCTATTGCAAACAGTATTAGAAAAACAGACCGGCAAAACACAAAAACTTAACTTAAAGCAATGAACCATGAAAATGAGGTCAAGATCAGATGACACCTGCCAGTTGGACATGTACACCTTACAATCATTACATACACCAAATATAGTAGACCTATTGCAATAAAGTATCTGAGATATGGACTTGACCACAAAAAACTTAACCTTGTTCACTGATCCATGAAATGAGGTCGAGGTCAAGTGAAAACTGTCTGAAAGGCATGAGGACCTTGCAAGGTAAGCACATACCAAATATAGTTATCCTATTACTCATAATAAGAGAGAAATTAACATTACGAAAAATCTAAACTTTTTTTTCGAGAAGTCACTGAACCATGAAAATGAGGTCAAAGACAATGGACATATGACAGAGGGAAACTTCATAACATAAGGCATCTATATACAAAGTATGAAGCATCCAGGTCTTCTACCTTCTGAAATATTAAGCTTTTAAGAAGTTTGTTAACGCCGCCAGATCAGTAACTTTGAGCATTCTTAAATTGGTACGCTTTTTTCTGTTTGTGCTCAGTACCAAAGTGATGAGTCATTTGATGTTATGTTGTGTCGTTACACCACTGCATTCTTTATGTGACTGTCCCAAGTCAAACCTGTAATCATGTGGTTGTTGTCGGTTGCTTTTCTGTTTTATATAGGTATTTCGTTCATTGTAGTATAAATCAGACAGTTCGGTTTTCCCTTTTGAAATGTTTCACATTTTGTCATACCCGAGCGTTTTATATCTTATTATATGGAAAGAGTGTTGCTCTTTGTTGAAAGTGATATAGTGACATTGTTCAGTTAAATCTAGTTTGGTTGGACTTGGGACAATAACATTACACAGGAGGAGTTAAACTAGTTTTGTCTGATTTTGTAACAAATACATTTCACTTGGGAGTTGAAACTTTTTATGTCGGACTTGGAACAGATAAATTACAGTGGGGGAGTTGAAGCTACTTTTGTCTGACTTGGGACATAATCCTAGATGAGTTAAAACCAGTTTGTCTGACTTAGGACAGGTCAATCACCCTGAATGAGTTAAAGCAAGTTTAAGTCTGACTTCTGAAAAGTACATTACACCGGTGGAATTAAAACTAAGGTCAATTACATTTGAAATGTCTGATTTTGAGAGACAAGTATATTACATTGGATGATTTAAAACTAGTTTTGTTTGACTTGGGACAGGTACATTACACTGGATGAGTTAAATCTAGTTTTGTTTGACTTGGGACAGGTACATTACACTGGATGAGTTAAATCTAGTTTTGTTTGACTTGGGACAGGTACATTACACTGGATGAGTTAAAACTAATTTGTCCGATTTCAGACATGTACTGAAATCTTAAATATTATAAGAATACTGTCTGTACACACAGAGGAATAATAACAAAGATAAATTATGTTTATTTGCAAAAAATAAACAAAAAATAGAAATCACCAATATAACTTTTAACATGTATAAATTAAATAAAATGCAAAATATCACAGATTTTCTTTCACAAGTCAATTAAATATGTGTATGTGTTTCTTATAATGTATCTTTATTTTCAGGAAAGTTAAAATATTATCTTAAATAATAAGGCAATTCAGAAAGTTCTGAAAAGAGAGCAATTCAGTAGAGTAACTTGTTTTTACAAATGTTCTTTGTTAAACTTTTCACATTAAACAAGTGTTTACCGGTATTATAACATATAAATTTGGTTCTGAACAATATATTTTCATATGAAAATTAACCTGGAAAAATTTATTTTTATCTTAGAATCATTCTAGGTTTGAAAGTTTTTATTTAAATTTGAAATAACTTTTGCTTATTAAAATTATTTTGTTCAATGCTCTGGAATATGCTTTAACAGTATTCTATCTGCAAAATCTCTAAATATTAATTGTTTTTAAAAGTGGAATGTTCTTATTATAGATAGAATCCAAAATAATATAAAGGGTATACAAAAACATGTTACACAGTTCTTAGAAACTATACTCAAGATAATTTTTGAATTAACTTAAATGTTTTTTTTTTTAATTTGTGAGTATCCAAACTACTGTTGAACTACAACAATATTAGGAAGTCCATAAACCACCATATTATATTGAGAACGGTCCAATTCTGGGGAATCGAGGGCTTCTTTAGCTTCTCTGTAGGAGAATTCTGATGGTTCATCTTCTGCTTCACCTTTGGTTTGTGACTGGACCCCCTTAGCATCAGTTGCCTCTTCCTTTTTGGGTCTAAGGTTAGGTGCCAGAAGATATCTGACAGTCTCTCCAGGGGTTTTTCCACCTTCCAATAGATCTGTCAAGAAATTCATAGGATATATATCATGGTGTAAATTAAATAAAATAATGAAGCCTTTGATAACAAAAGCTAATCCCCTTGTATGCTTTTAAAATGTTTTTAAAATTTAAATAAGTAACAAAGTAACACATAATATCTGAACCATGACATTAACTGACAAAAGATCATTACTGTATCAATTAAGAGTTGCTTAGCTCTGGACCTTAACACACAACACAACTTAAGCTGATCATGAGTAAAATAATGACAAAACTCATCTAATTTTAGTGTGGACATAATTGGTGGTCCAAATTCAAGCAACTTTAAATCATAGAGAATAATCTTTTGTCGGTTAATGCATAATACATAGACATGGGGATTAGCTGTCTTCTACAATGTCACAATTTTTAGATGTTTTAATGCACACAAATCTCACAAATGCTACCTTGACAAAGAACCAAGTGAGATAATGGCATAATTTGTACTTTTGATTAACATTTTTCATGGAGTTCATTAAAGTTAGAATCATTCATTTCAAGATCTAAATGCAGAATAAATACAGAATATGGTTTATAAGAGACATAAAAGTTTCATTCATCTTTTAGATTTTTAGATAAACTATATGTCCTATGCTTGTTCTAGCTGCTACTTAGGTAAAAAATCAATTCTGATGACAATTTTTTTTCCCTCTGACTGTTCTGATAAAATGTGAAGAGGCATCATGCCTGATCTACAGTGGTGTCATTGAAAAAAAAAAGAAAAAGAAAAAAATCATATTGCAAACTGTAGCTCAAAAAGACATTACTGTGACTTGACTAAGTATTGCTCTCCACCTATTGCAATTTATTCAAAATTTTGACCAAATTGCAATTTGTTTATCAAACCAAACTGTTCAACTGGTCAGAAATTTAACAAACTGCTGTAGAAAAACAGTCAAGTGGCGAATGTGCAAGGTAATAAAATAAAGCATACTTACAATCTTATAAGACTTTAATTCCACTGCAATGATATTATGAAAAATCAGTCTATCAAATTTTATACAAATTTTATTGTAATTGTCATGCATAAGGTGATAGGTAGTAATTTTGAATTACATAATAAATGTCCAAACTAAGCTTTTCTTTTGAAAAAGTCTTCTATATTCATAAGAATCAGACATCATTTGAATTTAAATATCTTATATTCAGTAAAATATATGTGAAATTACGATACGTTGTTAGTAAGTTTCCATGGGAGATAATCTTAAATCATTATTCTTATGAATATTGAAGACTGTTCGAAAGAAAAATTGATTATCTCCCATGGAAACTTACTAACTACATATTGTAATTTCACATATATTTTACTGAATTTAAAATGTTTAAATTCAAATGATGTCTGATACTTATGAATATAGAAAACTTTTCAAAAGAAAAATTGTATGCAAGCTTAGTTTGGATATTTTTATAGCAATTCAAAATTACTACCTATCACCTTTTGCATGAATATTACAATAAAATTAGTATACAAATTGTTGGACTGACTTTTTCCAAAATATCATTGCAGTGGAATTCAAGTCTAACAGGATTGTAAGTATGCATTATTTTATCACCTTGCACTTTCACCAATTGACTGTTTTCTACAGCAGTTTGTTAAAATTTCTGACCAGTTGAACAGTTTGGTTTGATAAAAGAAATTGCAATTTTGTCAGAATTTAGAATAAACTGCAATAGGCGGAGAGCAACACATACAGTCAAGTCACAGTAAATATTTCAATGTAAAAAAAACTAGAGTAAGATTTATTAACCTAAAAGAATCAATGCTATCTTTCACTACTCTTACCTTTCATTGTTAGTTTGAGTTTATTAGCATTTTCTGCTAGTGTACAATGCCATTGGTTGGTCATCAGACATTTGATCCCTGTCAGACTGGTTAACATAGCCATTTCTACTGGTTTCTCAAGATTCAGGATACTAGAACTACAATAACAAATCACATTGGTCAGAAAACATTATATATCAGGGTGAATAAGTGACCATTTATAAACATTTCAAATTTTTGTCAACTTCTGCTGAATGGCTCACAACTTACTACCTTTATGCAATAAAAAGTTTGCCCTTGTCAAAGTCACAGTAATCTTTAGTCAACACTTTTTATCAGATGCCTAAGACTTTTATCTATTAAAATTGAAATTAGATCAACCATTTTATCAGTTTGCAAGTAACATCAATTTCTTATATGATAATTTCTCATATACAAATGAAGTTTGACAGTACAGTTCATAGGTACCTTACATTCCATATTCTTAGCTGTGTCCAATAGTAAGAAACATCATGATGATACAATCATTAAAAGATTATAATTTTTAAATCTTTTTTGATTCCTTGATTTTTCATATTAAATGTAGGAGTGAAAATTGATACTGTATGAAAAGTATATGAAATATAAAAGGAAGCTGAAATATTTTCATAAAAGTTTATTTGAAACGAACAATTTACAAACTTTTGACTACATAGCCTGCTTAAAAGCTATAATGTGTGAGGTCAATATCAGTTATAATATTCTTTCAAAGAAAACATTTCCGAAAATAAATTTTCATGTTTTATTTGTTTGTTTTTTTCCTTCAAATTTAGAAGAAATATATAAATAGAAATATATTATAAATAAGAGTCTGTATATAGTACTATGTGTTTACTAAGGAAGAATATTTAGCGACCTTGTGATATTTTATGTTTTACAAGCTGTTACTTGTTTTTGTGTTGAGTTGCTGTCTCAACATTGAATTTCCAATTTAATCTCAACTTCGGTTTGGTATTTGTCTGAACATACCGGTATTACGTTTACCTCCTTGGTTCTTACCTTTTTAAATAAGAAGAATTAAATGATATTTCTTAAAATAATGACAGCTTGATCAGAAAAAAAAAATAATCTCACCTTTTAAGAACATCCAGTTTAGATTGTCTGGTAAAACTTTTGCTTGTCTGTGCCATGTCCAACAGATATACAATACTACACTCTATGAACAAAAAGTTTGCTTGTTTAAATTTATGAGACTGATTGATGGCTGCTTTAAGTCCAGTGACAAATATTACATGCTTATAGTACAGGATAACAAATGAAAATGAATATACCTTGCTTTATACTAGACCTGTGGTCATAGTTTTACCCTGCAGGTTAATAGAAAGAAATGTCCCGGTACATTAACCCATTATTCTTTCTTAAAGCCAACCAGTCCTTGCTCTTACACTTACTACATCAAGCTTAGTAGAGAAGCAGCAAATCTCCTTTTTCAAATCTGGTTTTATGTAACAAGGCCTCCTGCACATAATGCAGCTAACATGGGACTACTCAGGCAGTTTTCATTAAATATCATAACTCAGAAGAGATGGTGTGATAACAGGAATTATTTGGCCACCAAAACAATAAAATATTCTTGAATTCATAAATCCTTAAGTTATGTTAAACTCATATATCCAAAAAGAGTGATAAATAAAATTTAGCCAATTTAGTAAAAGTTAAAGACAGGTTTATCATGTTTGGAAGTGTTATTTTCAAAAATACCAGTCATAAGAAGGAATTTCCATTGGCTGAGGACATTTTACCTTCTTTAGACTGGTATTTTTCATAAATCAAATGTCAGAACATGATATAAAATTGAGAATGGAAATGGGGAATATGTCAAAGAGACAACAACCAGACCAAAGAGCAGACAACAGCCAAAGGCCACCAATGGGTCCAACGCAGCGAGAAAATCAAGCACCTGGAGGTGGTCCTCAGCTGGCCCTTAAATAAAATTGTATACTAGTTTAGTGAAAATGGACGTCACAATAAACTCCAAAACATATAAATGAACTAAAATTAAAAAAACATACAAGACTAACAAAGGCTATCTGTTTAAATATCAATAAGGATGGTTAAGTTAAACATTTAATCTAATTCAATTACATTATTCTTTTTCTATCAAGACATTAGCAACAAGAATGTGTCCATAGTACATGGATGCCCCACTCGCACTATCATTTTCTATGTTCAGTGGACCGTGAAATTGGGGTCAAAACTCTAATTTGGAATTAAAATTAGAAAGATCATATCATAGGGAAAATGTGTACTAAGTTTCAAGTTGATTGGACTTCAACTTCATCAAAAACTACTTTGACCAAAAACTTTAACCTGAAGTGGGACAGACCGACAAACAGACGAATAAAGGGACGAACGAACGGACGCACAGACCGAAAAACATAATGCCCCTCTACTATCGTAAGTGGTGGATAAAAACAGCTGCATTTAACAAATGCTTAAACACTTCGAAAATACCAAAGCAGAGTGTGTAAAAAAGAGACATCCTTGTGGATATTTCCTGGTGCCAGCGAGATATTGAAGAAATTCGTCATTTAAGAAAATACATGAAAAATACACTGGCTATCAACCAATTGAAATGCTTATACAAGACTGGACAAATTAAAAAACAAAATACATGAAAAATGCGCTGGCTATCAACCAATTGAAATGCTTATACAAGACTGGACAAATTAAAAAACAAATTCATGTTACTTCCCCAGACATTTTGAAATTGTTTCCTCCTGTACATCAACACACCTTTTTTCTGATTACAATTGTATGTATATTTACCTGGAATATTTAGAGCTGTGAGTTTTTCTGGTGGTATATATTTTATAAACTTCTCCATACCATAGAAAACAAATGATGAATTTTCTGCAAGATAGATCTCCCATTCACCAACACTGAAAGTATAAAAGTTTATATAGAAGGTAAAAACATTAATTTGTTTTACAGTAGCCATTATAGCATAACTAAGGCATGGTCATTCAAAAGCATACCTCACCCCTCTGAAAACAAACCTAGGATAAAGGAAATCTCTGATATCTAACCTATCCTTAATATAGTAAACCTAGGGGTATGGTCATCCTCATAGCCTATCTTAACCTTCAGATGACAAACTTTAAGGCATGGTCATTTCCAATAAATTAAAAACATGAAATAAAATATCCACTAAAATGCAAGTTTAACTCAATCTAAGACAATTGGTAACCATGAAAAATAAATGGGGAATGTGTCCATGGGACACAGATGATGCCCCGCTTGCATACAACGTTAAAAAGGGACATAACTCAAGAACTGTAAAAGTGACGCTACCCAAATTTGTACTTGATCTGAGTTTTGTGGTTTTAATCATTGTGTATAAGTTTCATAACATTTGGTTGAGGTAAACTAAAGAACGGAAACCAATTTTGGGACCCACTTACAGACGGACAAGGGTAAAACTTAATGCCCCCTCCGCTACAGCAGGGGCATAAAAATGAATCCACAGTACCTACAAACAATTTCAAATGATATAAATATGAGCATGGTCATCTTCCAAGCCTTCTACACCATCAAGATAGCATATCTAGGAGCATGTTCATCTCCCCTACCTACCCCAGCCTTCAGATAACATAGCTAGGAGCATGGTCAGATAACATACTTTTAAACATGGTCATCTCACATACCTACCCTACCTGTCAGATAACTTACTTAGGGACATGATCATGTTCCCTACCTATGCTACAATTCATATAACATATCTATGGGTGGTAATCTATACCTAATATACCCTTCAGAAAACATACATAAGAGAATGGTTATCTATCCTGCATATTCCATCCTTCAGAGAGAATACATAGCAGCATGGAATCTCACTGATTACTCTTCAGATAACATACCTAGGGGCATGACCATTTTGAAAACACCAGCCCTTCAAGCTGTTAAATGGTAATGGTACCCCTTAACCTACCCCAACTTTTAGATAATCTACCTTGGGGCATGATCATCTCCCATAACACCAAGCCATCTAGCTGTAAATTGTTGATCATATTCTTCTAGAACTGTTTGGAATACTTCAACTGGTTTATTTTCCTCTGTTGAAAATAAAATTAGAATGAATAAAAATTTTCAGTTTTAACAAATGTGCTGACTGAATATCAGTCACAACAGAAATTCACTGATTGTGTGTATCTGTAAAGAAATATCTTTTGAAATCAAAGTTTAGCAAGAGTTAAATTTAGCATCATATGCCTGTACCTAAACTATAATTCTACTATTTATCATCAAAAAATATGTCGATAGTGATTAGATTTTGATATATTTTATGGGTGAGGACCAGATACTGTCACTTCTGAATCTATCCACTAAATGGATATTTTTTTTTCCACTTAATACATTATTAAAGACATGTTTTGTTATTGTGTAGTAAGAAGAGAAGAATTTATTTCAATGTATCAAATACATTATTATCCTGTTTTCAAATTCAGATGCTGTTATCTTTCTCTAAATCGGAATTTGACAAGAATTTGTCTCACTTGAAATCAACAAAATATAAGGTTCTGTAGAAGCATGCATTCTAATTGTAAACATTTGTATATGTATTGAATTCATTTGTAAGTAATTGTATTCTAAAGCAGGCTTAGTTATTGCTTAGTCTGAAAAACATGTAATTCTTCAAAATTAAGGGCAGCATCAAGTAATGACAAAATGGCCCCACAAATGTTTCTTCCCACAATGCACTAAAAACAGAAAACTAGGCATTGCTTTGTATTAACCAGATGAAAGAAAATGATCTTTTTTCAACTAAAGTTCAACATATGTTGGAAATCTACATCAGTGTGTAGTATTTACAAAGCATACCTATTACTGAATAAAGTGACATTAACTGGTCCTTAAGCAGTATATAAAAAAGTTTATTCTTTAACAAATGAACAGACAGTTTCTCAGATAGTGATTATTTGCCAACATAAATACTAAAATAGGCTAATTTGGAGTTGAGGGTTACAGACATACAAAAAAAATGAGAAATAAAAAATCATAACAGTATTTTGTGATGAACGCTTTGACACATTTTCTAGTAGTCTTCAGATATAAAGATCATGTAGCACTGAAATATGATTAAATAAATGAAGAATGTGACCATGGGACACAGATGATGCCCCCACTTACATATAATGTTATAATGGGGCATAACTCTAGAACAGTAAAAGTGACGCCACCAAAATTCGTACTTGATCTGCGTCTCTTCACAAAAAATCTGAAGAGTAAAAATACTCGTAAGTCATACACATTTCAGTATAACTTACTATAAATTTTAATCGTAAGATTTTTTGTGAAAAGAGTCGCTGTATTTTGTGGTAATACGCATTGTGTATAAGTTTCATATTTGGTTGAGGCAGACTAAAAACAAGAAATGATTGTAACAGGATGCTGTTACGAAGTCTCCCAAACGAAGCTCCCATAATTCGTAATTCCCAGGGTCGCCTGACATTGGGCAACGTCCAGTGAAAATTGGTTTGGTCCAGTGAAGTTATATGCATTAGTGATGCCTGGGGACTAACCCTGTATATCATTCAAATCATCTTGGCATGACAAACCAGAATATATATGGTTTAGGGGTGGGGATCTCGACCATTTACAAGATTCTAGTACATTGGGGGTGGGGGAACCCCTGGGGACTGACCCTATACGTCATTGAAATGTTCGTTACAAGACGAACAGGAATATATATGGTTTAGGGGTAGGGATCTCAACCATTTACTAGATATTAGAACATTGGGGGTCGGGGGAACCCCTGGGGACTGACCGTATAGGTCATTCAAATGTTCGAGACATGACAAATAGGAATATATATGGTTTAGGGGTGGGGATCTCAACCATTTACAAGATATTAGAACTTTCTCAAATTGCAGGGGGTCGGGATGACCCCTGGGGACTAACCCTGTATATCATTCAAACCATCTTAGCATGACAAACCAGAATATATATGGTTTAGGGGTGGGGATCTTGACCACTTACAAGGTATTAAAACTTTCTTAAATGGCAGGGGGTGGGGGTGACCCCTGGGGACTAACCCTGTATTTCATTTGATGTGCTTTATTATGACAAACCAGAATATATATGGCTTAGGGGTGGGGATCTCGACCATTTACAAGATATTAGAACTTTCTCAAATGGCAGGGGGTCGAGATGACCACTGGGGACTAACCCTGTATATCATTCAAACCATCTTAGCATGACAAACCAGAATATATATGGTTTAGGGGTGGGGATCTTGACCACTCAGAAGTGGTTATTAGAAGATATTAGAACTTTCTTAAATGGCATGGGGTGGGGGGTGACCCCTAGGGACTAACCCTGTATTACATTTGATGGGCTTTATCATGACAAACCAGAATATATATGGTTTAGGGGTGGGGATCTCGACCATTTACAAGATATTAGAACTTTTTCAAAAGGCAGGGGGTCAGGATGACCCCTTGGGACTAACCCTGTATATCATTCAAACCATCTTAGCATGACAAACCAGAACATATATGGTTTAGGGGTGGGGATCTTGACCACTTACAAGGTATTAGAACTTTCTTAAATGGCAGGGGGTGGGAGTGACCCCTGGGGACTAACCCTGTATTTCATTTGATGTGCTTTATCATGACAAACCAGAATATATATGGTTTAGGGGTGGGGATCTCGACCATTTACAAGATATTAGAACTTTCTCAAATGGCAGGGGGTCGGGATGACCCCTGGGGACTAACCCTGTATATCATTCAAACCATCTTAGCATGACAAACCAGAATATATATGGTTTAGGGGTGGGGATCTCGACCACTTACAAGATATTAGAACTTTCTCAAATGGCAGGGGGTCAGGATGACCCCTGGGGACTAACCCTGTATATCATTCAAACCATCTTAGCATGACAAACCAGAATATATATGGTTTAGGGGTGGGGATCTTGACCACTTACAAGATATTAGAACTTTCTTAAATGGCAGGGGGTGGGGGTGACCCCTGGGGACTAACCCTGTATTTCATTTGATGTGCTTTATCATGACAAACCAGAATATATATGGTTTAGGGGTGGGGATCTCGACCATTTACAAGATATTAGAACTTTCTCAAATGGCAGGCAGTTGGGATGACCCCTGGGGACTAACCCTGTATATCATTTAAACCATCTTAGCATGACAAAACAAAATATATATGGTTTAGGGGTGGGGATCTTGACCACTTACAAGGTATTAGAACTTTCTTAAATGGCAGGGGGTGGGGTGACCCCTGGGGACTAACCCTGTATTTCATTTAATGGGCTTTATCATTTAGAACATTTTCAATTAAAAAGATTGTGTTTATCACAAACGGTTTTCAATTTATAATCATTTGAAAATTTAAAAAAATAAAATCCCATAGGGTTCTATAGTAAAACCCTCTTTTCTTTTTGACCCTCAAAATACCCCTTTATAACCCCCATTGCACAAACAAAACCCTGATTGCACCACTAGACATGTTAGTCTAACATATTGTGAAACCCTAAGTTAATCTGACAAGGGGTTTTGGAGAACGGGTGCGGACAAGTTCAATTTTAAAAGCGGCGGAAGAAGAAGAAGAAGAAGAATAAAAATAATAATAACTGAGCAAAAACAATAAGTCTTCCCAAACTTCGTTTGGGAGACTTAGAGAACAGAAACCAATTTTTGGGCATACGTTCGTTACGGAGAGACCGACGGATGGACAGACAAGGTAAACACTTAATGCCCCCTCTTGTAACGGCAGGGGCATAAAAAACAGTTTGTAGAATATATTCAAAGCATCAACAAGTAAGTTTTAAAGAATTGTTTTACACAATTTATTTGATACTTTTCTACTGAACTTATCATATAAAATTATAACTTTCAAAATTTAAAATGAAGATACCCTTACTGTAATAAACATACCTGTTTCAGCACTATCTAAATGTGTATCCACAAAATCTTATAATCAGTTAAGGTTATTCAAACTACCTAAATAATCAAGATTTTCATGCACTTTCCCATATGGAAAGGAAAACCTAAATCCAATTTGCCCACTGCCTCTGTGTTCTATCCTCTTTTGAAGGCAAAAAACATTCCAAATTTTTCATATTCATAATAGTTATATTTTTAACAGACTGACTTGTTTTTTTTAACCGACTTTTCATCATTTTAAAACCATATGAAAGTCATTCTACACAACTGAATCATTCTAAATATTCCCAAAAAAACTGTTGATAAATAATTGAAAAAAGTTACAAAATAGATATAAGAAGATGTGGTATGAGTGACAAAAGCCTTTATTTCCATTATTGGTAAAAATTATGTAAGATGAAAGGATACATCTAAAATTATGAGTATCAACTGCATGGCACCAACTTGGAACATCTCTACTGAGAGGAATCTGAAAGAGAAAACAGAAAATGTTATAATACAAACAAATTCAACTTATATTGGTGTACATTTCTGACCATGATTTCTTCTGAACATGCTGGATATTTATTTTTACTAAATAAGTGCAGGCTAATTATTATTTATAGAATGTAATTTTCAAATCAAATAATTGGTAATGTTATAAAAACAAGAGTGCACACGCTGAAATGTCTTGCCTTCTTTACTAACCATTGATTTTATGTTGATAGTCCTAAATATAAAGCTTTACTACAAGCAACACATAAATTTAACATGACCCAAGAAAATGAGGTCAAGGTCAGATAAACCAAACGAGAAATACATGTACACCTTACAATCATTCAATAAACCAAACATAGTTGACCTATTGCTTATAGTTTCTAAGAAACAGTCTTAACCAAGAAAACTTAACATTGACCAATGAACCATAAAAATGAGGTCAATGTCAGATGAACCATGCCAGACAGACATGTACACCTTACATTCAATGTATGCATTAAATATAGTTGACCTATTGCTTATAGTATCTAAGAAACAAACTTAACCATGAAAACTTAACATTGACCAATGAACAATGAAAATGAGGTCAAGGTCAGATGATACCTGCCAGACAGACATATACACCTTACAATCCTTCCATACAACAAATAAAGTTGATCTATTGCTTATAGTTGAAGAAAAACAGACCAAAACACACAAACTTAACACTGAGAAATGAACTGTGAAAATGAGGTCAAGGTCAAATAAAACCTGCGAGACTGACATGTACATCATAAAATATTTCCATACACCAAATATAGTTGACCTATTGCCTATAGTATTAGAAAAAAAGACCAAAACTCAAAAACTTAACTTTGACCACTGAACCATGAAAATGAGGTCAAGGTTAGATGACACCTACCAGTTGGACATGTACACCTTACAATCATTCCATATACCAAATATAGTAGACCTACTGCTTATAGTATCTGATATATGGACTTGACCACGAAAACCTTACCTTGTTCACTGATCCATGAAATGAGGTAGAGGTCAAATGAAAATTGTCTGACAGGCATGAGGACCTTGCAAGGTACGCACATACTAAATACAGTTATCCTATTACTCATAATAAGAAAGAAATTAACATTACAAAAAATGTTCACTTTTTTTTCAAGTAGTCACTGAACCATGAAAATGAGGTCAAGGACAATGGACATATGACAGACGGAAACTTCGTAACATAAGGCATCTATATACAAAGTATGAAGCATCCAGGTCTTCTAGCTTCTAAAATATAAAGCTTTTTAGAAGTGAGCTAACGCCGCCACCACCGCCGCTGGATCACTATCCCTTAGTCAAGCTTTCTGCGACAAAAGTCGCAGGCTCGACAATAAACTGTTCACACAGAGATATGTCTCGCCTTTTTTGTTATTTTGATAATGCAAATGTTGAAATTAAAATAGCAATACTTAAACATGCAATTAGTTATGCAAATTATTCAAAGTCAATGAACCATGACTGAAGGTACAGGGCCAAACAATCTCAACAGAAATAAGATGTGCCAATGCTTATACAACTGCATACCAAATACCATTGACTTATCATAAGACGTTCCATTTAAAAAAACCTAAGCACAAACATCAACTTAAAAACAATGTAAAAGTTTCAAAGTCAATGAACAGTGGTGAGGGGGTGGGGCCATATAATTTCCATGGAAACGAAAGTTGCAAATGCAAATACATTTGCATACCATATATCACTGACTTAACATTAGAGGTTCATCTTAAACTGATCTAATCACAAACTAATACATGTAAACTATGCAAAACATTTAAAGTCAATAGACCATGACTGAAGGGGCAGGGCCAAAAAATCTCCATGGAAATGAGATCTGCCAATGCTTATACAACTGCATACCAAACATCATTGACTTACCACTAATTGTTCCGCTTAAACTGACTTAATCAAAAACTAATACATGTAAACTAAGGGGGGGGGGGGGCAAATAATCTCCATGGAAATGAGATGTACCACTAGTGGTTCACCATAAACTAGACCTAATCACAAACTAATACATTGTTGATGCCGTTGCCGACGCCAGACACAGCATACCTATGTCTCGCATTTCGACTCCATCAAGACGAGACAAAAACCAACTGGAAATACTGGGTTATGTGCTTATGCAACAAAATTTTAAAACTTTTTGACCGGATCCTTACAACAATTTTAGTAAAATTCTATCAAAAACTTACTGGCATTCCTGTTACCAAGAATCTTAAATAAGATATTATCTCAATTATATAAAAAAATTCGTAAGGGTTCCACGAAACACAGTGTCTCGCCTACTTTTGCTGTTAGTCGCAGGCTCAACAAAAATGGGGAAAAAATTATTAAAAATTTTCCTCTAGATACTATCTTTTGATTGTAAGGAGCTTCTATCCAAGTTTGGTAAAAATCCAGGATGGTTTATGAATCTAATAAATGTTTTAAAAACTTCAACTGCAGACTGTATGTAATGTTAACTGGAAGAAAAAGTCCATTTATAAGTAATTAAGGAAAAACATGAAATAATTTTTTACAAAATTTCCTTCTAGATACTAGCTTTTGATCATAAACAAGCTTCTGTCAAAGTTTGGTAAAAATCCAGGATAGTTTATGAAAGTTATTAAAATTTTAAAAACTTAAACCACAGAGTGAATGTAATGTTAACTGGCAGAAAAAAAAGTCCATTTATAAGTAAAATACGGATAAACAGGATTTTTATTTTTACAAAATTTACTTCTGGATACTATCTTATGATCATAAACAAGCTTCTGTCCAAGTTAGGTAGAAATCCAGGATAGTTTAAGAAAGTTATTAAAATTTCAAAAACTTTAACCACAGAGTGAATATTTGTGGACGCCGACAACGCCGACCAAGGAATGTAGGATCGCTATGTCTCGCTTTTGCGACAAAATTTGCAGGCTCGACAAAAAAATGACAGACACTTACAATTTTGGCTGTCCTCTTACTGGCATCTCTCATACCAGGAATCCTAGATAGTGGATTTTCTGCAGTCTTTGAAGATTTTGGTTTCTTCTTGTCACCCCCAGCTGTTTCCTCTGAAATAGTGAAATATTACTCTGAGATTAGTTTTTATATTCACTGGATCTAAGACTTGATTCACTCAATGTAACATTCTTTTACGTATGCAATGTGACTATAATCTAATTTGATGTTCTGTAAACTTTTCTTGATACAAAATCTTCTAATGGAAATCGTTTAATGATGAACTAGCTATACTTACAAAGTGCCTTAAGTGACAATGTGTACAATTGTTAAAATACAATTATATTAAAGCATTCTGTGAAGAAGAAATGTCTATGGCTAGATTTTTTACAGACATATTATATCCAAGATAAACATGTAGTATATAGTCAATGAAATTTAGTGTCTTCAATAGTAATAGTAGACTTGTAAATAACAAATATTTATGTGATCATGGACATTAGTAAAATTTACTATGTGATAATTATAGAATAACTTATTCAAGAATTCAAACATTGAAAATACTCAACAAGTGATCATAACAACAATTCACTGAAGTGAAAATAGCACGTGAGTGAACTGTCAGTGTTGTTTTGTCAGGACTTGAATATTTTTTTTATATATTTGATTTTCTTGGATTAGTTATTCTTTTAATTACATTGACTTTTAATGTAACCATGTTAGAAAATGTGACCATATCTTTTTCTATGACTTCTCCCTATGTTTTGATGCAATGTCATTGACAACATCTATTGTTGTATGACATCAGGGGAGTTAAATTACAGGATATCTTTCACATGTGAAATCATTGACCTTTTTACATGCACGACTTAATACTTACAGTAAATTATTAAATTGTGCATTCTTCAAAGCCCAAGTAAATTTTTAACAAAAAAAGCCTTACTTTTACATATTTTGTTTGTAAATTGCCAAAAATAAAAGAATGATTTCTCTGCATGATACAAATTATGAATGGGGTAGCAATATCAATGGCAAGGACAGCATGCAAGTACAATAATGTGTACAGTGTGCAATACATAATTTACATATTCAAGTGTAACCTGTGTATTTATACTTTAAAACATATGTATTGATTTTATGAACTTATTATTAAAATAAACGAAGGCTTCTGTAAAACAAATAATCATAATCAACTTAACAATATAAAATAAAAAAACAAGATCTGTCCATTTTTGTGATCTTGTTTTGTTGGGTTGCTCTCCTATTGACAAATGAAAAACAAACTTTTCAGAAAAAAAAAGAAACAGAAATTAAGAATAAAAATATCAACAACAAGTGTAAAAGTACAGCAGAAGCCTACTTATTGGAGTGATTTCTAAATCATCTAACCAGTGATTTTGTTGCAACTTGCAAATGTTCAAAGCATTGGTGAAGATTCTAGCTGGGTTTTAATCGATAAAAAAGTTCTAAAATAATTAACACTCATTTTCATATCAGTAGAAAAGTATGTTACAATTAAATAAAATGGACCAAACTTTGGAAAGATTGATGAGAACAGAATAGAAATGAGACGAGACGAGACTGTAAATCAAGAAAGATACAATGTGAAATAACAATAGGTAAATAACCCTTAAATAATAATAAAATAAGAAGTAAGAACAGCAGTTAAATAAAAAGTTAAACAAGTAACAAAAACTAAAACAAAATGTTTGGCATACATGATATTTGACCTTAGTCTGTAATCAATTTTGATACTGAAACTAATCAAATATATTTGCTAATGGTGTGTTATGACTGATGACAATTAGAAAAAAAAGTTATTATACAAGTAATTTTTCACTTTTATTAAAATGTAAAATAATTATATCAAAGGTCAAATATCAAACCTTTGCATAACATAAGTGGCTAAAATTTTATTTTACACAAAATAATTTGACAGACGATACATTTTGCACACAATACTTTGACGAACTTAAACAATACATCAATTTGGTATTTTGTGCATTCATACTAACGCCTTGACATTTGCCCATTTAAAATAGATCTTGTAGATGTTTGTTTTTGTAGAATCGACACTCGCCCATTTAAAATAGACCTTGTTGATGATTGTTTTTGTAGAATCGACACTCGCCCACTCATGACAGAACTCCTTGATTGCTGTTTTTTGAATGATGCCTGTTTATTCAGTGGTTTTGGCATACCTCTGCCCATCACAGACACTTTTCCATCTTGTTGTAGTAAACCAAATTCTGTATTTTAAACTGATCTTATCACCTTCAGAACTATTAAATTCCATACACTTTTATATGCTATTCTTTCTTTGGCAACTTATATTTGCCATACTTACCTTGTTCTACCTTAGTAACTTATATTTGCTTTTATTATTTTTTATTTTATTTCATTTCATCAAAAATATATTATTTTGTTTGTCAAAGAAGTATTTTCATTGTTTTTTACTTTCTTCTTCAAAAATTGATTATTATCAAAAGATATACAAATATATAAAATTCATGCATATTGCAAAGTCTATTCCATGAAAATGGAGGTGGGACAGTACTAAGGGAATTTCAAAGTCCACTCCCCCCCCCCCCCCCCCCCCCCCCCCACAAATTAGAATTTTGCATACATCTATCACCATCACCATAAACTATTGGTAACCAATGTCCAAAAATTAGAATTCCCTTCCTACTGTACCCCATTCATTTTAATGGAATAGACCTAAGAATAAAAAACAACTTCATAAAATACAGAAAGAACCGATGTTTTGATTGCACACATACTTGGTCGTTTCATCTGACTTGCCCCTGAGCTTGACCCTGTTTTTAGTAATATTTCAGCAAGTTAGTTATGACTGTTATTAGAATTCTCAACCTTGACCTTACAGTGGTCTTGACCCCTTTATCTCAATTCATTATCTTTAAAAAACATCAAACAATCACAAAGTTCTGTTAAAGCAAAGTTGTAGCATTATTACATTCATTTTAAGGGTCACTGTTCATCATTGATCTTGCCAGACAGTATCTGGCTGCATAGATTGAATCAACTGTTCTTTGTTGAAATACATGCAAAGTGAAAAATGAAAAAATGAAATGTTTGATGAAAATGCATAAAATATACAATTTAATGATACATTCAATATAGTATGATAAAGTTTTAATAACCTGTTAATTGAAAAAACAAAACAAATTTAAAAAACACACAAACACTAATAATACTGAGTCAGAACTAATTCTATAAAATATGGAATCAAAGGAGTAAAGGCCCTACCAATAACTGGAGTTTTAGTGACTAAAGGAAGCTGTTAGAGTGGAAAATCTCTACCTACCCTCATTTCCTGTTGGAAAAAATACGTCTGGTCAAATATGGTCAATGTATTTGGTTTTTTTTCACAATTTTTCTCCAGGTGTTTTATCCCTTTCCCCTTTCCACTATAATTTGTGTATTTCTCACTTTTTGCTATCATAAAATGTAATTTATTGATTCTCTTGTCATATCTCATAAAAAGATAAAACACTAACTTTCCATTAATTTCCAAATTTATCTTTTAAGAAGTAAATAGTTTAGTAATGTGATTAAATAAAGCATTTACTATATATGCTTTTAACTCACAATAACACACCATATTTAACTAGCTTTTTGTGTCTCCATTAATGATGCTTTTTGTGCAAGTTAGTGTGCCACATGCTTTCAAAATTTCCCATATCAAAGTGAGTTGTAATTTGTGAATTTGGTGTCTTCATTGATTTCTGGTTTAAAAGAAAAACTTGCTGTTTAAAGTTACTGTAAACGTGGTAATTTACACACAATCACAGAAAATACTAGAATTTGTCCTCCACACAAATAATATGTCCTAATAAACAATATTGGAATGAATGGCAAAGTTATTGTTCAATGCATGAATTAAACTGCTGCAAGAAAAGTTTTTTGCATTGAAATCAGGAAAATAAAAACCCGAGAAAATATCCACGTTTACAGATAGTTTTTGGTGTTTCCTATTTTTTTACAGCAAACAGTAGACAAATATAGATAACAACTGTGGATTATTTTACCAATATTCAAATTATTTCACTTGACACCTTTATTTGTATATTCATTATTTACCACAAGCATATATAAGTTATGTGTGACTTTTACTTCAAAACCATTTCATGCATATAATTCAGATATCTTTCATTAAAACATCTAAGGTACCTACCGAAACAATTTTTATGATAAAGGAACCAGGAAAAGAAGCAATATAGAATTTTGGGTTTGCCATCCTACTGAGAGTGAAGGTTTGATACAATCCTCAACAGCAGAAGTTTAAAGCTTTTTTCCCAAGGTACCTAATATGTTTTAAATGTAGCGGCTGTTATATGTATTGTCTACATTGAAAGACACTGAATGTAAAATCAGTCATTTAATATCACATATATTACCTTGTGCACCATCCTCCTTGTAACCTCGGTGGTTGAACATTTGTAAGGAGAAATCTCGTGAAATAGAGATAATGTTATCTAACTGTAGGAACTGCAGTGCCTCTAGTGGCATTTGCATCAGCATTGGGTCAGCCAGTAATATTACACACTCACTACTGGGTGGGGGCTCTAGGGACGCTTTCTGGTTTGGGTTGCTGGCAGGTGTCAAAGCTTCAGGGCTGAAAATATTAATTATATTATTGTTATCATAGTTATTATAATCAGCAGTAGGTAGGAGCTTCATATCCACATCAGAAGCAAGAATATAAAATCATAAAAGAATATGAAAATGTGGTAATCAAAGTAAAACCAGAACACATAAAAATCTAGGGTTGCAAATCACATTTAGGACCCTTCAACCATGTGAGCACTCATTCCTGAGATTTTATAGCGAAACTAAATCTTGGTATATGTGATTCATTCATAATTTGTGCAAAAATTTGATATATAATGTTCCTTATTCCAACACATTAATCAATCTAAAAGACTTGCCGACGAACAGCACTGGTACCGATCTGTCTGGGATAGAAATTAATAAAAAACATTACATAGAGAATAAAACAAAATAATCAAGGGCCATAACTCCTGATCAGCATAAGTGTAAATTTTTAAAAACAAACATGATCTCAAATTTGTAATCAGAAACAACATATCAAAATTGGAAAAGAATTAGTGGAATGGTTGACAAGTTATCAGAACACAAACCACATCAAGAAGCATTTGTCAAACCATCCATGATTGGAACTCCATAATGGAAAAAGTGAAAATTGTCAATATCAAACTTGACCTTTAATTTGCTATGAAAAACAACATACCAAAATTTTAAAAGGATTGATTGAATGTTTCTCAAATTATTTCACTGTAATATATGGAGTCACATGCCTGCCAACCTGTTGAACTACCATATAGAAAACTCTTAAAGGCTTTGACACAAGCATACCAGTATGCCAAGATTATTTTCTTTATTTTGTTTCTTCTGCCTAGCTGTGGCCTTGTTAATTTCAGCTTTATCTCAGTATCCATGAAAGGTAGGTTGTGATTGTTAAGTCCAGCCATACTTTTTTTCTATGGTCTCTGCTTAAGAGATGTCTCATTGGCAATCATACCACATCTTCTAATTTTTGTATCTTTTAATGCCCCTGTATTGTACAACTTTACCCTAATTGATCTTCTAAAATGTGGTGTTATTAATATACCTTAACCTTACCTTAGAGTCCCTGTAAGCTGTGCTGTGATTGGCTTAAGATAAGCCTCCATGTCATTCAGTAGTTCCTTGAATTCTTCCTGCAACCTTGCTTCTTCTTCAGCATCGTCTTCATCATAAATGGGACCCTGAAAAAAATAAACAAAATTAAATCTTCACAATAAAAACAGCAGAATTTTCAATTTGCTGTCATGTTGTTTGAGTAAAATAAACTGTTATTGATCTTTAATTGATTGATTGATTGTTGGTTGCTTAACGTCCAGTGGCAAATATTTCATGCATATTCAGGACGAGATCTTTAATTGAAGACACAAGTTAAAAAAACATATGTCAGGAGACAGCAACCCACTGACCTATACAAAATTCTTCTATTGTTTTCTAAAAATGGGGTTTCCTTTAGCATAACATTTTCTGTTTAACTAATTTACATTTTTGCATGTGATTTTACCCTTGTACTTTTCTTTAGGCTCTCATCCAAGTTTTCTAACATTTTCTGTCTCATCATGGCCTGTGCTCTCTGATATTCTTGTTTCAACAGAAGTTGTTGCACACTCTGTTTATGATCAGCAAACTTCGTAAGCAGTTCGTCTAACAGCTGTGGACTTGTTTCTACACCATATACTTTTGATCTACTTGGAACTGTTAAGAAAACAATTTTACAATAACAAATCCAAGAATTTGAATTTGGAGAAAATATTGAGTGAACAAACAACACATTAATTCAGGTTTGTGCATAGCAAATGGTTAAGATATCAGTGTTGTTCAGTCATAAGTTGAACATCTTTCAATACTTGAATTCTTTGATTAGTTATTTCTTGTAATTTCATTGAATCTTAATGTAAATAAAGTAAAAAAATTGCAAGAAATTTTTCTTCTTTCAAAATCTTGTTAACACAATGATATGTCTCATCTGCTTTGGAGCAATACCCGAAACAGCAATTTGATAGACTAACATATAGTTGTCCATTCATAGGAGTGTAAATGGGATCTTCTTCTATAACTCATCATATCAAATAACTTTAAAATGAACATTAATTTTTTTAACTCATTAAACTCATATTGGCATTACGTAACAGTTAGGCCTCAAAATCTTCTTTACAAGGAGATACTCAGAGTATTAATATAATAGTATTCCAGATATTTAAATTAGAGGTTGTTTGTGCCTTATGACTTTTGATCACCAGTGAGGTTTTTTCCCCCTACTTACTCATGTTTTTTTTTAATTTTTGCACCTTACTACTTACCAGGGGTTGTTTGAGCCTTTGGATTTTTACCACCAGCTGGCTGAGCCTTTGGTTTATCTAATAAAGCACCATACAAATAGGACCTGAAATGGAAAACAAAAAATGATAACATCTGATATCTTAGTTTTCTGCATGTATTTTTTTTAGTTTGAAGATGTAAGATATAACAAAGATTTATTTTAAAATCAATATCTTTAATGCAAAGAGGAAAATATAAGCTTGATGAAAAAGCACAACTCACTGCAAGTTTAATTAAAACAGGTCCTAGCTCTCAAATTTATACTGTAATCAAACTATTTTCAAGAATACTTATTTTTGCCTTTAGCCCTTTCTAGCCTATTTCACAGTGGTTTGTTTCTTATTTTCTTACTCTGCTGGTGCATTATAGTAATATAAGAGAAGGTCCTAGTATGACATACTCGTGACAATTTATATTATAGTTTCTGAGTTGGTTTACAGTATTGTATCTTACCTATCTGGACTGTGTTGGAGTATAATGAAATTAAAGTTGGCTGGAAATTCTTTCAGTATATCTAAATGATTGGGTTGAATTATCAATCTCTTCCATGCCTGAAAGTGAAAACATAAATAAGGCTAAAAAAAATCTATTGCTTCTTGTAATTACATGGTACATTACAACTGTATTTGTTTCATTGTTTATTTTAAAAACTGAAATTCAGTCTTTTATAGTTTTCAACATGTAGCGAAGGATCATTGTTTTCTTTTTCAAACAAAGAAAATGCATAATTTTTTTTATTATCAAAATGCTTCAAATTTAATGATTTATATCTTAATATTGTTGATTTAACAGATGTACAATTTGAATCAAGGGTCCGGAAACGGTCATATATGCCAGTCATGTCCTAAGATGAAACTATTTGTCCTAAACGAGAAATTGGGATTTAGGACAAATTTTATTTTTTTAAAGAAATAATTTCGGTCATTTCATTGACTCAATCAAGGATTTGTATAGTGTACACTATACAAATCCTTGACTCAATGTTTGAAATCGGATTTCTTAATCGCCATTTTGCACTGTCTTGTGTAAGTTGTGATCACTTGTTTTTGTTTATAATCCCTTTCCTGTAATAAAACTGCCACTCCAGTAGTTTGATAATCCTGAGGGCCCTCCTAATATCTATATCAAAGCCTTCGGGACACATTGGCTAATGATCGCTAATCACTTTTTACCTGTGGTTTTAATATTCACACCTGACAGTGATCACAAGCTCAGAATAATATCTTAACAAAAATTGAAATTCCCTGACAAGTGTATTCATTATTTATTTACTTTTAAGCAAAGACAATCATCAAATCTGATTTAAGAATTAAACCTAAATTTACGGAGAAAAAAGTTTTTTTTTTCATGTGCTTTATTTACTATATAATACGCATGCGTGAAATTGTCTTCAGCAAATTTAATATTTAATCGTAAAATGCAAATTGATTTAATGCTAAATTAAACGAGTGCAACTATTGTCTGTTACATTCAAACACTTTTAAAGGTAATAAAATAAAAAAGCCGGTGATTTCCTGTCAATTTGATAAACAAAACAAATCCCGGAAATGAATCCGGAATTATTCCTACTTTAACTTTATCGCAAACTTCCGGTTTTAACATTTGTCAAATCGAAAGAAACGTAAGCAATGTCTGAAAGATTTACCATTTTGAGTCATTAAAATTATTTCAATTTTAAACTATTGCCTTCCCTTAACTGTTCTTCATGGTAATGGTAAGACATTTACTTAGTTAATGCGATGAAACAGCAATACAAGTTCGTTGATGCTATGAATCTAGTTAAGTTGACATCGACAATTTGGAAAGGGCACCAACTTTTCAATCATTTCAAAATGACCGAAATTGTGTGGAAAAATTTCCGGATCCTTGATTTGAATAGCATAGTTGACCATTGACAGAATCCTAATGATCTTACAGAAACGGATATTGTTATAAGACCTCTAGATTTTGTTTTTCTTTATTGTAAGATTGTCCTTGGTTTGCAGTCTTATTGTCATATACCCTTCATCTCCTTTCATTCATACAAATGGAATCTGGTCTATCCTTACATTATACATACCTGCCAGTTATCATCTAGTGACTTCTGTACTGTTGACATTAGAGAACCACATGATAGATTGGCTGTCAGGTCACCATCTATCAAATGGTCTCTTTGGTGAAGTAAAGCAGCTAACTTGGATGTTCTTGGATCAACTTGGGCTTTACTGAGTAAGGTCTTCAAAGTCTGGGAAGCTGAACAACTCTGTAACAAACAAAGTTTGGCTTATAAAACAATGAAATTTGAAAAGGGAACCATGTCTCTTGCCTGCTACTGCTGCTATCAGAAAAAGTGTTATGTTGACTTCCAAAATATAATTCTATTGATCAGTAATGTACACTAAAAATATTTCAATTTTTTTTTTCTTAAGATGCCATTTCTTACTTCATAACTTTCCATAAAGGTTGAACAAAGTCCATTTATCATTACATCTACACATTTTTCAATATTTTGCTTCAGACATTATCTCTTTATCATAAAAAAAAAATTTCTGTTGACAACGATGTTATGTAGGATTGCTACATTTTGTTCTGCAACAAAATGATGCAGGCTCAACAAAAAATATCTAGAAATCTGGTGATCAAGTATATCCCCTTGTCCAAATCTGATGATTTATAATTTATCTTTCATATTTTTTACCTATGGCCTAATTTCATGAATTATTATATAGCCTACTCAAATTTTATATGATCCAACAATTAATAGAATATAGATTTTTACAGGTTCAAAATGCTTCAAAAATAAAATTAAAAACTTTCTCTATATACTCATTGAAAAAAAAAGTGTTATTCATGAAAATATTCCATTTTAATTACATTATATGAAGCAACTTCAATAGATTGAAAATGTGCCCAATTGTCAGCTTATATCATTGATCTTTTTAAATTGTTATAATGTTCTAAATAAATGGTACAAAATGTCACTAAACAGTTACAGGAAAATCTCCCCTCATATGAAACCCTTTCATGAAAAGCATAATTTCTATTGATTAACATCTGACATGTGACTTTTCTTACTTGGAACAGAGCTAAGAATTGACTAGCTGATTGTGGGTCATATTGTCCATAACAGTCCACCAACTCAAGAGATGTGGTACCAGCAATGTCCTGAAATAGATAAAAGTCAATATAAGTAGACACATTATTATCAACAGTCTACCAAATCCAGGTATTTGGTACCAGCAATGTTATGAAATAGAGTCAATACATGTATTAGTACATTTGTAAAACCCATCAGATGAGGATAAAGTTCCACATAAAATTCACTTCAATGAACTTCCTTATCCTGTTTATAACATGGGAATGGATATCACTTACCTTGTACTTCAAAAACTCACCTTTGCTGAAAACTTAACACTGAACAATGAAATTACTTTGAATTCAACATGGACTAAAGAGTAACGTATCACAATCTTCTTCAAAAAGGAGATATCACTAGGCTCATACAATAGTTTTTTTTTTTAAATATCAATGGTCTTTGTAACTTATTCTCCTTTTGAAACCCAATTAGAATGTAACAAGAATATGTGTCCTTAGAGAAATATGCCCTGCTAGCACTATCACCTTTTTATGTTCAGTGAGCAGTGAAATCTAGGTCAAAACCATAATTTGACATATATTTTTAAAAGTTTGAATCATATTGAACATGTGTAGAATTAAAGTTTAAAGTTGATATGACCACCACAACTTCATGGTAAACTAATTTAAACAAAAACTTTAACCTGATACAGGACTGGTGTACGAACAGACATAGGAACCTTCTAAGTTACAGAATGAAGAAGTATGATGGATGGATACTGCATGCAACTAACATGCATGAATCTTAATATAAAACCACACCAAATATCAATTGTTTATTGTAAGTCTTTCTTCATAATCATATTAGAAAACTAACATTTTTAACAATGTGAAACTTCCAAAGTCATTGAACAAAGGTTTATAACAGATCATGTCCCCTCCCCATTTCTCTACTGTCAACTTAATCCATTAGGACCAGATACTCACCACAAAGCCTTTCTGTAATGACAGATTAAGAGCTTGAACCAAACATTCTGATGCTTGTAACATGTAATGTCTGCTGACTTCATCCTGATCCTGAAAAAGAAGAAGACTAGTGTTGTTGGGTTGCTGTTTTTTTATGTTTACCCTTTATTTTTATTTATGTCTCTCTTTTCATTCATATAATAATTCTCTTTATTTTTCTGATTATGAAGTAGAAGTTTTCTCATGCTTATGAAAGCCCAGCTCATATATAAATTTGCCCATTATTCCTTCTTCTAAGATCTGGTTTTCATACAAATAGGTTACTGCTATATTTTATTTGCCTTTCATTTTTCTTGTTGTCTAAAATATGAATAGTAATTCAATACAGCTCTATCATATAATTGAAACATTTGCAAAATGTCTGTGATGAAGTAAAACTCTAAGAAGACATGGACATACATCCTCCTATCTAAGACACTATCTGATTGATGTTAGAAGAATCTCTGGCTTTCATTCTATGCACTTACTTTCATATCCTTTATCTGTTTAGAATATCTGATATAATTTTTGGAAGCCATATCAACCTCAGGCTTTTCCTCTTTCTCTTCCTCTTCTACAGAATCTGCTACCTTTTCTAATTCCTGGAAATTATATGAATGATATAAACTAAAGACAAATCATAAATAGACAAAACTCATTTCTTGAAAACCCAAATCCTTGCTTGAAAACTTTTGTCCATAAAGTCTTTAAGGCCATATAGTGACCTATAGTTGCTAATGTCTACATCATTTGCTCTCTGGTAGCGAGTTGTCACATTGGCAATCATATCACATCTTCTTATCTTTATATCTAAATTAAAGTGTTTTCTTATTTGAATTTTTCAAAAATATTTAATGTAATTCTATCAGAATGTTATGATGTGAAATTGTTGTCAGTATTACAAGGAAATGGGCTACCATCTTTGAAAAATAAACAGCTGCACCAGGACCACAAGATACGTCCCTAGTATGCATATTGAAATTGTTGCAAGATTCCAAGGGAATACAGTGGAAAGTATTAAAAAGATATTAAAATAGTCCTGCAATAAAACTTGAAATCCTAGGGTTAGAAATTGCCTTTAATTTGACAGTTAAAGACTCATAACTCTGTAGTGTAATGACAAATCATGAAATTTTCAAAATTGAAAAGGGGCTTACTTTCACCAATCCAAACAAATCAAGTAAATCAATCAGAGCATACTCAAGTTAGTGAAAAATTGTCTTAAATCTTATGGCAAAAGATCCATAGATCTGAAATGATTGTACATGGAAAAAATTCCAAATGGAAAGTGTGATTTCTCCTACCAAGTCAAACTTTATTGAAATTGGATCAAAGCATTCTTTGAATTTTGTATGTCATGTGGACAAAAACACAGATGGACCATGGTATACCATAATACCATGTGATATGAAATACTTTTCATGTATTTATAAGAAACCATCAATATTTTTCTTCATGCTGTAAAAAAATGAGTAACCCTTGGTCCCTTTAAATTATTATGTGTAAAATTTCTCCTGTTTCCTATTTTTTGGCACCTGGCATATTAAAACAAACTTTTTCTGAGACCATTTAACAGTACATGATTTTCTAGAACTTACCATTTCATGGACTAACCACTGTGTGGGTGGATCTGGACTTATAAATGTAGAATAAGCTCTCATGGTCTGGCCAAGACAACACAAAGCCTGAAAAAAAAGAAACACTTATAAACATCCAAATATGATTTTTTTGGTCTGGCAAAAAACTCACAATTCCTGCATAAAGAATTAAATGAGTTATTACATATGTAGAATACCTGTAAGCCATCATGGCTGATCCAGGCAATACAAAATCCCTGAAAAGCACAAAAAAGTTTACGAGATCTCACCGGAATATCAAAGATGATCGGAGTCAAGAGTCATTATATTAGCCAGTCATCAACTAAATTTGGACTTTAATGACATTGATAAATATTCAAAACTCATTTATTCAGAATTATAAAGATAGGTCATTTTTTTTTCAGTCACTAGCATATTAACCAGATACCATTTAAATACAAATGTATCTGTCAGGTAATAAAACTGTGATTTTTACAGTATCCTAAGCCTGAAAAAATATAAACATGTACATGTATATTTACCTCTTATGATTTAGATAGTTAAAGGGGGAGGTTTGAGCACACAAAATCTGGTTTAACCCCACCACATTTTCTGCCGTTAACAATTTAGGAAAACACGGCCATGAATTGATCATTGTTGTCTGTTGTTTTCCGGAGGAGATGGTTGTTGGTGGTTGATGTTTGTTTGTTGTACTGTCCAATATTTTTAGTGATTCCTATTATCCTTTTTAAGTATTACTCTTCTCATCCTTCTTACTTCACTATGGTTTGCTCGAGAATTTATTAGACATGTCACATTTCACAAGCTATTCACTTATGTTTAAATCACCAGGCAAGTGATCAGGTACATAAAGACTTAATTGTTTGCCACATTATAATATAAGATAATTAATTATAAATCATCAAAAATACTCTGAAAATTACCATTTTACTTTAGTTCTTCGATTAAATGGTTTTAGCCCACACATATATATACCTCTATACTTTTAACATCACCACACTTTTAGCCAATTAGCACTTATGCAACCTGGCCAAGATATAAGTCCAGGCCTTTCAATAAATGTAGTTTTACCCATCAATATTATGATGAGGAGTTACCTACCCTTGCTCTTATTCTAGGTACAGACATTCCTAAATTATGAGCATCTTCAAACTTCAGAATAGCATCTTCTCCCAAAACCCTGCAATAAACAACAGATCACTTTATAAATAGATCATGTTATTTTTAAATTAAATTTGTGTAGTACAGCTTGAATTGATTTTTTTTTTTTTAATAAATAGTATTTGTATATATTTGTTCATTGTTCATGCATTGACTTATTTACTGACTCTGACAGAGTACACAGTATGGCAGTACTTTGATTTTCTATTCACAAGTATTTACATCCTGGGTTTTCTAATTCTTTATTCCGATTGGTTACTCTGTGAACTCCTTTGATATTGAGGCACTCTTTTCAAATTCTTCACGGAGATATAGAACACTGACACTTTATTGTGATATTCATATATATTTATTATTCTTATTCTGGAAACCATTCTTTATATTCAGGTCAGTTGATAAACAATAACTTTTTTAACTCGTTGTCATAATCAACCTGTATAATCTAATCAACCATAAAATTTTAATATGAATTAGTAAAAAAAAAAAATGGAAATTTGTCCAAAACTAACCTACTTTTTGAAAATAAAAAAATACAGAAAAACAGTTGTTTTTATATATTTTATCTACATCTTGTACCTTATCAAAAATATATTATTTTTGACTGGACGTTAAGCACGTAACATGATTGATTGTTGGTTGCTTATTGTCAAATGGCAAATATTTCATGCATGTTCAGGACGAAAAGCAAGTAACAATCGATCTTCATAATAAAATATATCTATAAATAAACTAAATAATGCTTCAATAAAAAATTGTAGCAGTAAATGAAGAATTATCTACAATACATCAAATACATTGTTTTAATCTTACTTGGTCATATCAACCCATTCTTTTTCCATGTGAGTATAATGTGGGGTGGTTCTAATGAAATCTTCTACCATCTGAAAATAAAGATTAATATCATTTATTAAATCAGATTCAATTGCATGAATGTTTGTTAAAATATCTTTTTACCTAAGATACTAACATTTTTCACAAATTGTCTTTTTTTTTAAATTATTTAAGGAATGACTGATATATTTTGTATTCTAAATAATAATTCTAAATTCCATTTTTAAGGAGTGAATCATGAAAAAACATTGATAACGTCACGGTCATGTGACAAAATTATGTCTGAGCTGATAGACAAAAAACTTTCAGCCAATCAGAAGACGTGTTACATCCAAAATTAAATTGTCATTATATAATTGGAATTGTTCAGAAGATACAATATTAAAATAGATTCTACTGTATTTTTTTCTATTTTGATATCTAAAAATAAAAACAGTTTTAGTGATCATGATTTTAATTTCTAAAATAGTTAAATGAGAGCTATCTTTTTAATCTCATTTCAAAATTCCATCAATTAGTTTTCTATATGGTCACATAATTTGTGTTTTCCCTGTATAATCCTAATGAAATATGAGGAATGTGTACGAACAAGCTTGATGGCACATACTTTTTACTGTGAGTTGGAAATACCAAGTTAGAGCATTCTTAATCAAAATACTATGTAAGTATTCTACTTTGTGGGGTACTAATTTTGGGGAATTATGTGGTTCCCTTCAATAAGAAAATCATTTCCTGTGATTTCAAATGGGGCAATGATGAAATCCATTACCATCATTACTGATCCTTTCCTCATGTCCTGTAGTTGTATGTTTCTCATTTCTTTAGAATGAACCTGGAACATTTCTAACATCAGCTCACCACAACAAATTTTAATGTCTGCTAACTCTCTCTGTATAGGTAAACTCAAATTTCTAACCTACAATTATATATTCTTTTTTTTTACTTTTTAGACCAGTTCAATGTGACAATTCCTTGTGGCTAAACTTAAATTTCAAACCTATAATTAAATTGCAATATGAACATTATTTCAAAATTGTTGAATATTTGAATTGTCATTGCTTTAGTTTGAACTTTGCATGGCATATATATGATTCAAAAGCTCACATCGCACTTCTTTGACAAAATAATTAAAATCATGCCTGAATTGAATGAATTCATATCATTCCATATAAAATAAGAAGATGTGGTATGATTGCCAATGAGACAACTCTCCACCAGAGACAAAATGATGTAGAAGTTAACAACTATAGGTCACCTTACAGTTTTTATTAAGAGCCTACAATTGTTCATTTCATGCAAAGCTTAATTTCCGAAAAGTTTTGCAAGAAAAATGTTTCAATTCTCACTATATTCAGAGACTAACACACATGAAAAATTCTAATCCTGTAACAAACCTACCTCTTGTAATGAGAGGAGTGTGAGAACATCTTGATAAGCCTCCTCAGCTATGCAGACTGCCTCTTTTAGCACCATCACTCCCTGGTAATAAATCAAACAGAAATTCAGAAATTATTTTATGGTCCAAGGTTCAATATGTTTGTATGGAAATTTAAAGAAAAGGTGAGAACTTATGAATATAAAATTGCTATGTGTCATGTAAGTGTAATTATGATGCAATTATCTTAATTAAAAGATGCAGTAAAACAAAATTTGTCCTAGTAAAAATAAAAAACTTTATATGGTTTTCTCACCTGTAAATAATAAGTATGACAAATTTCTTTCTCTATAGCTTTTCTTGCAAGTTTCTGCAGAACTCCAGCATGTTTCTTCATTATAGGTAACACTTCTCGTCTGAACTTCATCATGATAAGTTTTTCAGAGGCAGACTCAAATTTCTGTAACATGTAATCATTGCAAATAGAGAAAACTATGTCCCTAAGTTCAATAAGCTAACTTATAAAAATATAGCAAAGCCAAAACATGCTCTCAAAAAGACAAACTGACAAAAAGCATAAAGGATTAATGGCTAAGAGAATCTAGCACATGGGGAATAAATATTAAAATCTGGTACCATCAGTTTTACATTGGTAGGGAAATTACTAGTAATATCTAAATATGGTACCATCGATTTTATGGAAATTAAAGACAAAACTCTAAATGGGTAATTGCACCTACAGTGAGAATCAAACACGAACTGAATATTATAGTAGGTAGTAATGTTGCAAAGTTATTAAAGTACATTTCCAAAGCATACTAAAGTTATCTTTCTGAATCCATTATCACTCATAAATTCAAGGGCCATAACTCTGGAAAAGTAATAGCAGCAACATTGAAAATCGAATAGGTCTAATAAGTCTGAAGTATTATAATTGAGGGACTACCTACCTCACATGCTGTTAATACAGCCTTCATGACCTTTGGATCATTTAGATCTCTTTCTTCATCTTCAAATATAATGTCAGTCTGAATCTCCGCTAGTCTATAAATAAAACAATTTTACAACTACAATAAAATATTATATGATAGAATAATACTATTGAAACAATTATCATTCTAAAATTTCTTATACCGGTTCTACAACTCTGAAATATACAATCCCAGACTACTTTTAAACATAGAAAATTTTGAAAATCAAACAAACATTAAAAGGAACTTCTATCTACATCTGATAAATTTAGGTTCTTTTTTTTTACATCCCAGTCTTGACCATAGCTATCTTATATCTATTTATGTGAATTAAATTAATTTTCTTGAAATAATTAATATTTTCAGAAGTCTTACTTGGCCTCCATCATAGCAACTATAAATGCCGTAACACTATTTCTGTTTGGTCTCTCATCACATATTCTCATGAACTCATTCAAACCATGAATCAAAACTCCACGAGCCTAAAACAATATTAAAAATGAAAAACTCAATTTTATCAGAAATTAATCAGTGTATAAAAAGGATTATATATAGTATGATTTATTTGATCATGTCATGTATTGGAGAAAAATTAGTTACAGTCCATATCAGTCTTTTTGATAAAAAGCCTATATTGTTTATCTGAGATCTTTTTACTACAGGTGTATTTAAGGACCTTGACTGCCCATGAGGGTATCCAATATTCGGGGACGAGTTCTTTTCACAATATTGACTCAAATTTATATGTAATATAAAGTATGTAGGCTCAGTTCGACAGGAATTATCTGATAATGATCCAAACATCAACTCTCAACCAGGTAACAAATCTTTCATTGTGTATTTGTACAGGAAAATACTAATATTCATGTTTTGTCCATTTTTCTTTTGATAGAAACTGAAGTCATATCAGTTATTGGAACTGGTTGCATAATTATTTTTTTTCGATCATGTGATGATCAAGTTTCTGTTTTATAGCAATGGTGGCCATATTGGTTAGGCAATGGGATTACATATTCTAAAAGTGCATCATAAGATTAGTTCACCATCATTTGGTTCAAACAGATTTTATAATTGCAGCAAATTAATCTCAGTATTTTTTTTAGTATTCTATTTATAAAGTAAACTTACAATTCTTTTACAATTTCTGCTTTCATAATCATGTAGAGTAGCATCAACCATCAGCATAGTTGTCTCATACCAAAACATTTCATCTCCATGGTGGATTGCCTAAAGAAATATAAACAGTCAGTGTTCTATATATGTATTTATTCCCACTGCACATCATAAAGTAACATTGAAAACTTTTGCAACTTGTGCTCCCGTATCTAAAAATCTATTATATTATTGATTATATTCATGTTTAGTTTTGCTGGCTAAAAATATATTAACATAAGCTCATTATGAACCATATATCATACAAAAAAAGATACAGTAAGACATTGAAACAATGTTGTTCATGGCTATTCCATTAAAACATACATGGTACCCAGGGGAGGCATTTTGAAAATGGGGTAATAATGTATAGAAGCAATTATGTGTTTATTATTTGCGTTCAGTTCCAATACTTTGTGTGCTTAATTAGATCAACAAATTACTGCACAAATAAAGGGAACCTGCTATAACACTTGTTTACTAACCTGAGCTTGCTGACAAAAGTTAAATGCCTGTCCATGCTGAGATTCTGCCAATGAAAGTTTCCCAAGGAAATATAAGATTTTAGCTTGTAGAATCTTGTCTTCAAAGGCCTGTCGATAGAAAAATTTTAAACAAAAATTAGAATGATATTTATGCTAGTATATCTTACCTGACAATTTACTCAATAGAACATTGGGTAAATTTAGCAAGGAATATTTCTTATTTTTTAATTTGTTTATTGAAAAATACTTCAAAAATCATTTTTTTACATTATACAAGTCTATTGTGTTGCAATTCAAAATTCCTCCTTTTAATGATCTGTGTTCTGAAAGCCAGGTAACAAACCAATTAAGTCCATTCCATCACCTATAGTATATGCTTATACTGATAATGAAACCCAGCTATGGTAGAATGAATGCTTCTTCTCTGTCATTTGGTCTCTGGTGGAGAGTTGTCTCATTAGCAATCCTACCACATCTACTTATTTTTATATTACTTATTTCCCCATTCTTTGTTTAATAAAGTCTCAAGTATACACCTAGATACCCTTGTCTAATTTAGCTGTTTCTGGTAAACTATGACTGCTTTAAGAGATGATAAATTAATGTTGAAGAAAAAGAATTATTAAGAAATTGTAATGTTTCATCACAGAATTTCATTTTTTCAAACAAAAAGAATCACTTTTGGAAAGAAACAGCACCTACATATATATGCTTTTGAAAGGAAAATACTTTGAAAGTTTTAGACTCTAAAACAGACTAGTGTATGATATTTGTTCTCAGTATTTCACAAACTAATACAAAACTCACCAAAGCAGCATTGAAAGCTTCATTCAGATACTCTCGCGCTGCTTGGTAATTACACTGAAAAAGAAAATATTTTCATTGGTAGGAAATATTATTTTAGTGCCAAATATTTAATAAAAACTTAAATAAAAAATAAACAGTTGTTGTCTAGGAATATACTATATATTTACATTCCTTGTATAAGTTCATATTTATCAGTGAGGGAAATTCTATCATGTATCAACTGGTGTACATTAAACACAATATAATTTTTCATTATTTCTTCTGAAAAATCATTCATTTAAACTAGTTGACCAAAATTCTGTCTTTACTCATTAAAAGATCTCCCCATTCGTACAAATCTCTTATGACCAATATCCCTTGGAAAACAGCTATTTATGCACAAATAAAATTTATTCAACTCTGTTTATGATAGATTTTTCCATTACTTTATAATCACCTGTCTGATAAGTAGTTCTGCAGTGTCTGTCCATACCTCTCTGTAAGTAATGATACTCAATACCTTTCCAAGATGTGATTCAATCACTTGGTCTTCAACCTGAAATATCAAATTATTAATGCATAAACATACTACATCGTATAAAAATCACCTGCTATATAAATCCAATGGTTAATTCATGTCAGGATTTGCTTAGGATCTTGCAGATATATCAATTAAGTACATGATTGTTAATGTTAATTTACAGATTTCTAAACATGGACCTCCCAAGTCATTCTTAGAGTCATGAAAATGACTCTGAAAACTTCCTGAATCCATACATCTTATAGGCAATCCTTAAAACTGAACATGACTGTTTTATCAAGTTTTTAACAGTATATTGTCCACTTACTAGGTATCAAATGTTTTTAGAACATGCACTATAGATTAACAAAGTGTAATAAACTGGCACTGAACAATTTTACCTTACTAACGGCAGCACTTGATGGAGCAGTTCTAGGCTGAGGTGTCTTCTTCTGATTCTGTGCCTCTTCTTTCAATCTAGCTAATGATTCTTTCACTCTCATTTCCTCCCTTGCTACCTGTATCTGTTTCTCTTTCCATAAAGCTATTTCATCTCTCGATCTATAAATAAACAGTGCTATCTTTAGTTAGATGATCTTAGATTGTAAGCATACCAATAGTTACGGAAATTGTAATACTTTACCAATTAAACAGCTTTTCCTGTAAGTACTGCATATTTTTTGACATTTTTTCAACTTGTATTAAGGTATCATATAGAGCATAATAATCATTTGTGGAAATAATTTCAAAGAGATTGTTTTTGCACATACTTCTCTCTACAAGTCATTAAGAGAATGAACATCTTAATTATAAGTATAACATCAACTTTTCTTTGAAATTATAACCCAATATTTGGTCATACTAATTTGTTTTTACTTACAGAGCTTGATCATCTTCATTCAGTAATACAGGTCCTGCTAACTTTTCATGGAAACTATAACCATTCTTTAAATTCAGTTCTAAACAGATCTCACTAGCCCTGAAAAAAGTTAAATGTCAAATTAGTTTACTGAAAAATGTTTCACTTTACTTATTTACTTCAAAATAATGTGTGAAAAGTACAAGATAATTGTGGAACTATTTACCCTAATTTAATAATAATAAAAAAACTCTTCCATGAGCACATGTAAAAATTTGCATATAATTCAGGCAAAAGAATTTTCATATAAAATGTGAAAAATACACATTTTCCCACAAAACTGTGGTAAAAAATGTGAAACATCAATGGCAGCATATGTCAAGATTTCATGAGATTTAATGATAGAAAACTTCAGTTATTATTTATCTATGTGGAAAAAATAAATGTTTTTACATTATCAACATCCCTAATTCTAAAAAACCTTGATCTAAAGATGATGTAAAAGATCAAATGAAGTTCAGTCATAGTAAACTTGAGTTGTCACAGGAAATGTGAAAATGTGAACAGTCAGACAGCCATATTTTTGTTATATTCAAAGTTATTGTGATTAAGAATTTAAAATTCTTTATAAAATTTAAGAAAATGATTCCACAATTTCAATATCACATGCAAAGCATAAATGAAAAGGAATGATCGAAAACTGTGTTGGAAATTTGTTTGTAAATGAGTTTTTAATTGCTGGTGATATTATCCATACCTTGAGTGAACCAACACATAGAGTGGATTATTCTTTAACAGATTTCTGGATAGAATATCACATGTGACTAAGATTGGGAAAGTCAGGTGGTTGTAGCCTATACCTCTTAGTCTCACTAACAACTGATCAAGGTAGTACATTGTCAACATCTGTAAAGTATAAAATATGTAGTCTGAAAAATGTACAGGGTCAAAACTTGTATTATTGTATCTTACCAATATTAGGCCGACTAAAATTAATTAGTAGATTTTCATCCAGATTTTTGAAAAAAATGGGGCGGGTGGGAGGATTTTATTTTTTTATTTTTATTTCCTCCGAAACCCTTTTGTGACGTGTTCTTCATATGCAAGGGAAATCATAAGCTTATATCATGTATATATAATGTTCTACATAATTTTTCAGATTCTTAATTACATATTTTTGATTGGCAACCACTGCTCTACATGTAATTGTCACTTTAGAAACCTATTTTTAGTAAATAGCAAAAACGTGGAGAAATGCTCTCTTTTAGACTACCTACATCAAATTTATTTTGATTTCTAAGCTATGGTTTGTAGTGCCCATAAAATGAAGCATATGCATTGGTATGCAACACAAGTATTATGAGTACAGAGTGAAATGAAAACTCAATACTAGGGTTGATGCTTTTAAGATTATTATGCAAGGTGCAAATTTAATTACAATTGAAAACATGGACTTAACCAAAAAGAAGAAGTTGTTAAATGACTCTATTGAAGGACTGGGATAAAATAAAGCATATGCATTGGTATGCAACACAAGTATTATGAGTACAGAGTGAAATGAAAACTCAAACTGTGTTGAAAATACTAGGGTTTATGCTTTTAAGATTATTATGCAAGGTGCAAATATAATTACAATTGAAAACATGGACTTGACCATAAAGAAGTTGTTAAATGACTCTATTGAGGGACTGGGGACAGAAGGTGTTTGCTGTTTGTCAACAAAAAAACGACAGCCTTGTGGTACATCTAAGGACTTGCTATAATTCATTTTGTTCGTTGGCCGACTTTTTTAATTGACAATACGGTCATAAATCGGACAAGTTCCTGCTTGTGTCAATTTATTTATTCCGTCATGTTTTTGTACCAATGTGTTCCTTGATTCTTGCGCTTCGGATATCATTCACAGTCCAATTTCCTAACACGAAGTCATTGTATTAATAAAAAAATCCACGGTTTTCTAATCACTGAATTTTGTGACATATCGCGATTTGCGTTCTTAGACACTGCCTATTACTCGTAACCCGAATATTTCATGCCCTTCTCGTAATCAATCTCTATTCTCGGAAGATAATGTTGTCATCATAGAGCAGCAGAATAAGTCGACTTTATCATTTTGGTTAAATTACTCGAAGAAATACGAAAAACGAAATTTTAAACAGGAAGTTATGAATGAAACGAAATTATTGACGGTTACCGGTAACAGAAATGAACAAAATCCGGAAATCGTAACTTTTTGAAAAATAAAAAAATTCGGGGCGGGACGATTTCAGAGGGGCGGGCGGGGATGAAAATCTATCAATTAATTTTAATTGGCCTTAGAGATCATCTCCTTTTCTTTGAAAGATTCCATAATTACTAGAAACATTGAAACATAAAGGTATGTTCTATATCATAAAACTGTAAGTTAGCTGATAACAACCATCACATTTTTCTTGGTCTTCCATTGAGATATTGAAAAATAGAAACTTATATAATCTTAAAAAAAGTTGTCAGCATATTTTTAGCCATCATAGTAAAATATTAAAAAAAATTGTATTTTACTTACAGGTTTGACAATAGTAGTATTATTAATTCCTGAGGTCTTCATCATATCATGATTAAATGCTTCCATTACCTACAAAAATAATCATAACAGATTTAATAACTGATCTTGAAAGAATTTTTTAGGATTTTATTGTGTCAAACTTTATATATGATTTTCACTGCAGTCAACTTGTTTTGTTTTATCTACATGTCATCTTTCTCTTGGGTAAAGTTTCCATATAAATATTCTGTGGTAGCCTTCATGGCTGTTTTGTTCAAATGTTTAATTTTAGCAAAAATTAGGAAAAATTGTAAAACAACTTGATCAGTTTTGTTGATATTCATTTATATACTCCTGCAAATTTGTGTAAAAGCAGCACATACATAACTGTTGTCAACATGTAGAAGGAAATAAAGCTTGTGTAAATGCTAAATATCATCTAGATCTTGAACTTGAAATAAGAGTCTCATCAAAATTGGAAACTTTATGAGGACAATTAAGATGAATAACAGCAATAAAAACACTATTCTAATGCAACTACTGATTGGATGACTTCTGCCTGTATTGACAGTCAGAGTCATTGATACTAGCGTAGCACAATTGCAGTGACTGTTTCTAGGATATTTCAAATTTAAATTTTGAACAGTTCACTTGTATTGCATTAGAATTAAGATAACAGTTCTGTATTTGAAGAGCTGCCCATATCAATTGGGGGTTGTCCGACGAAAATATCTGTTCTTCTGGCTGCACTCTGCATGGCCAATAAAACTACATTTTTCAACTGTTAAATCCCAGATGACCAGCTTGTGAATATACAGCAAATTGGACAATTTTTCCATTTAAAATGGAATATAACTTGAGAACAGGAAAAGAGATGCCACCCAAATTTGATCTTGATTTGTGTTTGTTGGTAATATGTTAAAGTTTATATAACATTTGGTTGAGGCATAAAAAAGACTATCATGTGTTTTTATGTGAAAATAAAAAACTTCATTGTCAAGATTAAAGTGATAAATTAAGTTTCCAAATAACAAATCCCCCCTTAATCAACAAACAATGATGACCATTATAACATAGGTTTTTATAAACAGCTGTAACTTACCTCTTCTGGTATATCATAGATAGACCATTCCTCCACAGTTGATGGTAAAATATCCAAAGGTCCCTTCCTCTTAGGTTTCTCCTTTGGTGGAGCTGCCTCTTTCTCTTTACCTCCCTTCTTGCCTTTAGCAGATGTAGCTTTTGGATCCTGAGCAGGAGGATTTTTGGCAATTTCTTTGATCACTGGACCTGTCTGACTAACTGTCACCTTCAGATAATATTAAACAGAGAAAAATATTATTATTGCAACAAGAATGCAAGAATGTCTTGCCTGTTTTACCGACCATAAATTTTATGTTGAAAGTCTTAAAGATAAAGGTTTAACTACAAGTATCATATAAACTTAACATTTTAAAGATCCATCACAATGAGTTCAAGGTCAGATAAATCCTGCCAGACAGACATCAGACATGTACACCTTACAATTATTCCATTCACAAAATATAGTTGAATAAATTAATTGAAAAAACGAACCAAAACACAAAATCTTATCATTGACTAATGAACCATGAAAATGAGTTCAAGGTCAGTTGATACCTGCCAGACAGACATGTACACCAAACATATTTGACCTATTGCTTATAGTACTTGAAAATCATACCAAAACACAACAAACAGCTGCGCCATAATTTATAAAAATCGAAAGGGAGCTCACATCAATAGATATAAACAATTCTCTAAAGTTTCATGCAAATCGGTTAAAGCGTTTTTGAGTTATTGGCTGACATGATGACGACAGACGGACTACAATATACCATAAAAACCTCCCGTAAACGGGCGTATAAAATCCTAACATTGATCAATTAACCATGAAAATGAGGTCAAGGTTAAATGAAACCTGCCAGATTGACATGTACCCTTTACAATCATTTCATACACCACATATAGTTGACCTACTGCTTATAGTATCGGATAAAACGGACTAATCATGTAACTTTAACCTTGATCACTGATAAATATAATGAGGTCAAGGTCAGGTGAACTCTGTTTGTTGGACATGTAGATGTTGCAAGGAACCCATATACCAAATATAGTTATCCTATTGCTCATAACAAGTGAGAAATTCACATGAGAAAAAAATATTGCTGAACCATGAAAATGAGGTCAATGACAATGAACATATGACAGACGGAAACTTCATAACATAAGGTATCTGCATACAAGGTATAAAGCATCCTGGTCTTCTACCTTCTGAAATATAAAATTTTATACAAATAGTTGACATTGTCACCGCCAGATAGTAATCAATATGTCTCGCATACTGCAACTTTTGTTGCAGGCAAGACAAAAAACGCTCATCTCACCAAGACTAAATTCAAACCTTGAATATGAAATTTGAAGTAGAAGTGATCTATGAAATACAGAAAACAAAGAACAAGTGTCCTGATTAATGCTGCTCTACCTTGGTTTGATCAGACCTGTAACAACCTTAGTATCTATGTCTAAGTGGTCATAATTCATTTACCCTAGCACATGGAGAAGCATGTCCAGCTAACTCGACCAGTAAGATGTGTGTTCTAGTCAATCTTACCTGTAACAATCTAAGTATGTATGTCTGAGCCATTAGAAGGTAATCTTTATAACATGGAGAGTCATGTCCAGCTAACTCGGCCAGTAAGATGTGTGTCCTTATCAAACTATCTATCTGTCTGACATCTTCAAGGTCACTGACTGTCAAAGATGTGTTAGCTGGTAAAACACCTGAAACATACACATTCACTTTGAGATGCATATGAATAAAAGGAGAAGTTTCATCAGTGAGATGGCATTTCAACAAGGCAAATACATTGGCAATTTTGAAGTGAATTTAAAGAACCAAATACTTCATAATCAACATTTATAGATATCCAAAATTTAGCTTTATTCTTATAGCTAAATACCCAAAATTTTGCTTTTAACTTGTAATACTTACCAATGATAGCCTGTTTGGTGACTGGGACAATACCCTCAGGATTAAGTTCACTATCACTATCACTAGTTATACTCCTCGTATCTGATCCGGTTCCATCACCTACTTTCTTAACCTCCTCTTGGGTAGGAACTGGGGTGGCAGCACCACGACTCTTAGCTGAACTCCTTCCTTTAGGTTTCCCTTTATCACCTTTCTTCCCTGAAAGATTGAAGTACATTTCTCAGTACTTTGAAAGTTTTTATATTTCTACTTATATATCTGACAGAATATATACAGAATAATTATATACAAGAGTCTCAGTCATCATACTGAACAACCTTTCAATTTCTCTTGTTAAACTTATTAGTAAATTCAGTAAGATTTTCTATAGCTAAAGTTACACTGAATATTATGAACAGAGTTGATATCTTATAAGATGTATAAAATGTATCTTAAATTTTGTATATAAGAATAATCAAATCATCTACCATCCTCAGCAATCATGTTGGGAAGCTATATAGGGATTGAAAATGTTCTCATTAAAAGGATATCATTTTATTTTTTTTTATAATTCATAAAATCACATGATAATTATTAAAAAAAAAATGAGCAATATGACAAGATCTTTTTGGTTGCCTATCAACAACCGATTGTTCTTTTTACTCTATGAATACATGAAATATTAGGCTGCAATGAAAAAATAGCTGGCATGCAGTTATTCAGATATATCACAGGAAAATCAATAATAAATCTAGATGAACATGTAATGCTGCGAAGTACAAACAACAACACAGTCCTGCAGCGCTGTATGATGAATGGTTAAAAAATCTGAAATAATATATCAATGATTCAAACTAATCAGACATTTTGACTGTTGATAGTTGTTTTTAGCTTGTTTATGATATTAAGCTTCACCAGACTGAAACACTATATATTGCATTATTATGATTAAATGTCTTACTTTGTCTTTTATCTTTACTGATATTGCTTGACCAAAATAACAAACTGAGATATGATAGCGTAACATTAAGAAATTTTGTAATGAGTTACATGTGCTACTCATTTTCAACTGGAACTTAACGAATATTTTTTTTTAGACAATCCAGCATTTTGACTGAAGACGATGATTTTTGTTTGGCAAAAACAATTCTGCACTCAAGCAACATTTAAAGCAACAGTAATTACCAAATACTACACTCTTTTCTGAAAGATAATATTGAAATCTGTCTTTAGTAAAAATAGAGAATATCAGATTATCATAGTTAAAATACATATTTTATTTGATGTTGGTATATATTTCTTGAAAAAAATAATGAAGACATCATTCAGCGTAAATGTTTAAGGTTTTAATATTTCATTATTCAAAATGTGTCATAATATACAAGCACCCAAAGATTGTTCCGAGTAGGGATTTGTGTTAGTGTTTATAAAATATTTTTGGACGTGCGATAAAATATTATATTTTTTGAAGTTATGGCAAGTGCATGTTTTGTTTTAAAAAACTCAAAATATCATTTGCTTAAAAAAATAAAATATAAGTGCACAAAACCATTAGTGACTAAGGATAAAGAGGGTTTGCAGATATAAAGTGTGAGGTCAGAGGAGTAACCCAATGGACAAAACAATACCCAACTCCCTGCTTTTCTATGTCTAACCTTATCAAATATTGAAAAGGTATCCAAAAATAAAACATTAAACTTTGACCTTTGACTTTCACAGGTGCAAGATCAAAATTTTAAGTGGAGAGGTATACATATGTGAGGATATTTCGAGAGGAGGGGTTTAAGTCCATATAATGAATATAAATACTGTATACAACACAATATTCACCTTTCATTTTACCCATTCCTAAATACATGAAAGAAAACAACAGTGAATAAATATGTTTTTCAGATATATATCTTCTTACAAGTTATTTTCATATCTGTAAATTTCTATTTAGAAATATTACACAAATACTTGAACTGTCTCTAATGCATTGTGCTGCAAGATTTCACTTTAATAAAATTTCAAATCAAATTAATGATGTAAAAGCTTCAAAATGTAGCATAACTGCAAACTGCAAAGTTTTCTTCTGCAAAAGAGCACATTTTTATTGAAACTCCTAAAAGAAACTCATATCAAAACAGCTTGTCAGATAATCTTGCTTCAAAATAAGAGCGAAGAAAATCACAGAAGAAAGTACAAAACACACACTGTATAAGCAATCTTGTCTTGATATAAAAAAATATTAGAGATTTTTAAAATTAAGATTTTATATAACCTTCATCTTCATTTATTTATTACTGTTTTATATTATATCTTGCAACTAATTTTGCAGGGTATAATAAAAGAAAAGCAAGCACATGTATTTCTTAAACTAATAACAAAAATATATAATTCACTATTTCAAAATGTACCGGTACTGTAATGGAGAATATGTCCATGGGACACAAATGATGTCCCCGCTTCCATATAACGTTATAAAGGGACATAACTCAAGAAGGGTAAAAGTGACGCAACCCAAATTCGAACTTGATCTGTGTTGTGTATTAATAAGCATTGTGTATAAGTTTCATAACATTTGGTTGAGGCAAACTAAAGTTAGAGAACAGAAACCAATTTTGGGACGTACGGACAGACGGGTTGACATACAGACGGACAAGGGTAACATTAAATGCCCCTTCCGCTGCAGCCACACCATATCCTATTTTAACCTCTCCTAATGTTTTAGTTCAGCTTACATATAGTACATGATTTAGTACAGTGAAATGGTTCAGGGATGTATCCCTTATTCCAAAAATACTTTCTTGTGAGTTATTAATGATCTTACATATTACAATACTAAATTTAATGCTTACTTCAAAAATAGGTCAAACTGATCTACTGTAACTGAATGCAGACTAATTAACTAATATATTCAGAAGGCAATATAGAACTTAAGATTTCAATATTGATGTAAATTTAAACCAATGTAAGTTCAGCATGGAAAGTAGCTCAGTAGCTATCCTATTATGGTAAGGATAGTAATCTATTAAACTGCAGCTATCTATAAGACTACTGTATATGATATTTTTTTAAATAGTGAAACATGTTGGGAAAAACTAAAATTTTTGTCTAGAATAATATGTATACATGCAATACAAATTTACTGGTTTTTTTCTCAAAAGTGATGTTTCCACTTAGAAGTTTCTATATTGATCAATATTGTGGACATAATAGTCTTTCAAGCATCAGATATTATTTGTGCTAAAAGGTAGTGTTACCTTCAAAATAAATCAAAATGGCAACAGAGATATGTGTCTTGCCAAATAGCAGAAAAAATATGTCTTTCCAAATAGCAGAAAAAAAACCCAAAAAAACAATCTGATGGATTGTATCCTAAATTCTGAGCACTATATGTACATGAGGTTAATATCATTTGGCATTTACTCTTAAAACTGGTTGTTAATCAAAGGCCTAATTTTCTTAACTAATTGTAATATGCAAAAAGAAAAAAATTCAAAAGTAAAACATCTGTAGCTAACCAATTATTTGAAAAAAAGCATAAAATATCCTTGAAATTGAGATACTATAAAACTAACAAAGCCACATACATAATACCATGGACTTATACAAATTATTTCTTATAAAACTTCATAGTTGTAAACTGCATATGTAAGCATTGTATATATTAAGACTGAGAGTGGTTCTTTTAAACTGACCTAGTCACAAACAGTACTTGTAAACCATGCAAGCAAAAAAAAATTCTTACAGTCAATTAACCATGACTGAAAGGGCCGGGATAATCTCCATGCTAATAAAAATTAAAAATGCAGTTGACTTGAATGGCGCCAACTGATCTAATTATAAACTTAAACAATTGTTGATGCTAACGTAGACACATTTATCAACAGTAGAAAAGCAGTGCCTTTTTCTTGCCAACCCTAACTTTCATCAAAAGTATGACAAAAACAATTGGTAAAATAATGTGCTTTATGATAAAGAAGTAAAAGGATCTAGGGAAAAAGTGCAACTACAGCATGTGTGTTTGTGTGTATACCTTTTCTCCTGTCTGCACCAGCTGATTTTCCTGTGAGGTAAATATTACATAAATAAATGTATAAACTACATATAGTCAAAGTTTTAAACATAACAAATGTTAATACAAGTAGTATTAAAGTTTTGAAAAAGGAAAAAATGTCAGGGTTGCATGTATCAACTAACGTTTTAACTGAATACAAATCAATGGAGTTTACAATATATATTTTCAATTGCATCACTGTATTTACCAGAAAACTGCTATGGTATTTTCACTATTTGCTTTTAAAAGATTGTAAGATCTCTGTTTGTTCTGTTTTAAATGTTTTGCTCCTCAAACTCAACCTTCAAAATGATTTATAATTATTTACAATAATGCCCAGTGATGTTTAAATATTTGTGTCAATTTTTATCTTTATCTATGCCCTCTTAAAACGGAAAACAGAATTCAGTAATAAAATTTGAGTATTATCTTTCAATGCTCTTCTTAAATGCAACCCTGAAAAATTTACATTTTCAGTTTCGTAATGGAAACTTAGGGTACTAGCACTATAAAAACATGCTAATTTGTAATCTTCTTTAAAAAACCATGCACCAACAAAAAGTGGTTATCAAATATTAGCATGCAAATAATTCATTTCAAAAAGATGGAAACATGCAAAATTTGAGATTGTTTACATTCTTCAAAATTAAGACTTTAGTATCACTATGTAATTGAAAACAAAAAATAATTGGCTGCAGCCCTTTTGGGTAAATTGCAATTTTTGAGATATATCATTTGATTCAATTATTAATTTTCAAAGGTATCAATTGCGTCAGAATACAGAAAAAAAAGGAAGAAAAAAATCAGATTTCCTAAACTGATTATACTATCAATGACTATTGCTGACAATTAGTTTCAAGATTCAAACACAGATTACCAAAATTATGAAGGTTGTAGAAAGCAAATTCAACTTTTTAACCTCAGAAAATGGGCTCCCCTACTTTTTTTAACACCAAGAACTATAATTCAAACTAATGCTTATCACCTATAAAAACCAACATAAATACATATAAGATCATTCTCTAGCATGAATATTCATATAGAGTTATCTACCTTGTTCTTTCTTTAGATCTGTTTCCGTTTTCATATTAAGAATAATATCAACAGCCCATTCTATTTGATCAATGGCATCCTGTAGTGGGAATTCATTGCTGTACAACCACTGTCCAAACTCGATCAATAAGTCAACCTTCAACCATTCGTTACTGGGGCTCTGTTAAAAATCAAATATATACAGGGTGTCATCACATTGCACTCAGAACTCATTTGTGTAAAGAATGCAAAAGACGTAGAAGTTCATCTCTACTGTAAATAGACTTTTCATCAATTAGAAATGAATATTATTAGTTCAGAAAAAAATCTTTATTGAGGAGGGATGGGGGATGATTAAACTCACTTATAACTTATAAATTTATTGCACAAAAGAAATAACCTTACTGCTAACAGCTTACTGCTAACAGCAAGGTACCCTGATAATGTTAAAAGCTTTACAGCATTATGAAATTAAAACATCTTGTTGATATTAAATAAAATTTCCAATACAAACTTAATCCATTATTTGAGTTATTGAATTGAATATTTTGTTTTCCGTTCATTTGGTTACATACATCTATTGTTTGGATATTTAATTTTTATTAATGTGGAATATAAGTAAAATTAGAAATTTGTTACATATAGGAATAACATGAGTTGTGGGGTGTCAATGAGGCAGCAACCAAATGATCAAAATTTTCAGACGTCTAGATGGCAGCATACAGTCTAAAACAATTGACAGGTGTCGGAACAATATGTCATGCTATAAATCGTCCTGAGTCGATACAAGTTGTGAATAAATTTAACAAAATCTATCAAAGATCTACCATTAACATCCAATTCTCTAAATAATGAAAAAAACATTAAAATATGACACACTACAATATGTTCCCTTAATTATGTAAAGAAAGTAAAGAAACCATGCAGTGATTTCAACTGGAACTTCCCTCTTAAAGAAAGCCTTGATTGATAAGGTAAAGTGGTAGAATTTGTTTGTCTGATGATTTAATGAAAAACTCTATGTGTTATATTCTGCATTGATTTAAAACATCATTAAATGGTCAGAATTTTTAAATGCATGAAGAATTGTAGAAATGATCCTTACATTGAGAGCTTCAATAGCAGCTTGGTATGATATAAGTTGTTCTAATGTTTCTTTAGAACTCAATGCCACTCTTCTCCACATGTGTGCCACATAATCTTCACTCTCATCCTATCAAAACAAAAAGCATCAACAGTTTTGTTCTGTGAAAATAATTAGTACAAATCAACATACATTTACATATATATAAAGGTGTGCAGTAAAATTATTAAACAAACTGGTATTTTTTTTACTATTATCCATCTGACATTCTAATCAAAGTCAATTTATTGTTTGGAGAAATTTGTCATATATCCAAGAGTGATTTTGTCAAGAAAAATAATATTATTATGAAACTGATGAACTACCTTTACAAAGTTAGCAATTTTAGCAGTTCTTACCAATTTTTATTATTTTCATTGTTCATTAACTTTTTAACAAATTTCAAGAAGTAAAATTACTGAAATCAGTTCAAAAACCAACTGTACATGTATATTGCTAAATATCTAAATATCATAATATTGGTAAGAAACATATATTCAAGTTAATAACTTCTTTTGTCTGATTTTTAATTTATCAATTATAGTAAATGACTTTTATAAATTTTTCCTCATCTTTCTCCTCCATCGATTTTGTCATTTTTGTTTTTTTTTCTATATTTCAATGATTTTAGTTGCACACACTGATTCAATTTCTGCACTTTGCACACCCTATTAAGCCTTGTACAAACTCTAAGGGGAATGGAATCACATATATGGCAATTACAGACAACATAAGCTACATGATGTGTATCATTCAACTAATTTGTGTCACTGCACACATTTTATATCTATACTAAAACCATTTGATGACTATATTCTAATCAATGTCATGCAGATGTTTGGGTGATAAACAAATTACCTGGTCCTATCAGCGTGAAAATAGAAAATAACAGACTTACACCTGGGTTACAGTCAAATCTACTGAAACTGGGATACATATGTACAAGGAAATTCAGACCAATTTTGATTTGTTTCTTCATTTTGAAAGCTTTGTAATCATTCAATTTTTATTTTGAAAGTTGAAAGAACTATATGAAAATTACATTTATGTTTGTAAGTGATCTGTATGAATTTTCCTGCAATTCACATAACCTTTCAGTTCTCAAAAGTTTTGGGGCCAATAAACAAGGATTCCAATAAAAAATGATAGTAGATTATTTCAAACCATTGAAAAAATGTTAAGGTACAGCAGGTTTGACTGTAATAAGCTTTCATGTGTGTCAAATTACACAGGAATTCTCTGTTTCACTCTTGAAAAGTTTTTTATTGACAGAAATACATTTTTTTCTATGTTTAAATATACTCATTATTGATAGTGAGATATTTTTCAAAGTTTTTACTACAAGATATATTATCTGTTCAACAATGAAACAAAATTCCTTGTGCAGATTTTCTACCTTTTTTTATTATCTAAATTACAATTATCAAACCTTATTGACATGTCTCAATCCATCCTTTATAAAAATGAAACAAAATAACATGTTTTTATAAATAAGGATTTTATTTGTTGTTCATCCAATTTTCTGTAATGGCCAAATGTCATGATTGAAAAAAAAAAGTTTGTTGCTTGATTTCCAATGTCACTGTAGTTTGTAGGTTGACAAAATTATTCTTAAAACTGCATTTTTCTATGTGAAGATATGTGATTTTAAAAGTACAGCTTAAAACTTTTTTGTAGAATGGAAAATTTCTGAGTGGAGAGCAGGCTTCACAAACAACCCTATTTCTATTTTAGGTCCAAAAATACTTATAATAAATCCTTTTCACATTCAATAGCAAATTATATAATAATTTACTAAAATAAAACTTTACAATAATAAATACATGCCAAAATATAAAAATATTTCTAAACGAATATTTGAGAATAAAATGACTTAACTATGCAAGTAAATTACAGCAAAAAAATAAAATGTACCGGAAAGGCATAAATTTTATTAGATAGATGTAATAAATATTTCTAAAGCATCAGCTAATGTCAGAAATAATCATTTACACGGACTCCTATAAAATTTATGCCTAAAAACAAGAACTTTAACTGAAAAATAATATTTTGACAATTAAGTTGTCTCACTTTTGTTCCATGAAGCTAAATATGAATAAATAAAATATAACTATCACTATGTTGAAACTACTGATAGAAAAAAAAAAAAAATTTAAATATAAAAGCCATTGTTATATCAAAGCAAAACTAGATGTAAAATCTGATGATATAATATCATCATTTTCTTCTAATGTGTCTGTTCTGATTAAGTTTGAAATATAATTCATCTGCTTTAAACACTGGAGTATATATAATCAATTTAAATTCTACTATTTACATGTAATGCTATAATAATATTTGTCATATCAAATGCTTAAAACACTTTAACAAAGCAAGCTAGTAATGTTGACAATTACAAACAAGAAGAAAAGTATTATACATAAAGTTGAAGAAAATGGTCAAACCATGCTTTGATAAAAAGAACACCCTTCAAACAACAAACTTCTAGAAACTTTGATCCTCTATTCTTTACCTAATCAGTTTCAATTTGAAAAAAAGAACATTAAAAAGTACCTTGAATTTCTGGATATCCATATTAACACTTCTTCCAAGTTTAGCTTTAGTCATTACTCTGTGTTTGAAGATCAACCTAGAAAACAGGAATTTTATCTTTATAAACAAAATTTTTCAAAATCAGTATGTTAGGTTTCTTGTTTGAATTGTTTTACATTTGTCATTTCGGGACCTTTTATAGCATACTATGGGGTATGAGTTTTGCTCATTGTAGAAGGCCATACAGTGACCTATTGCTGTTAACTTCTGTCATTTGGTCTTTGCTGGAGAGTTGTCTCATTGGCAATCATACCATATCTTCTTATTCTTATAAGTAAATTATTATAGTCTTAATTGACTTGTCTTAGCAGAAGACAAATTTTTTTGCTTTCAGAAATGTTTCCAAAAGTTGATTGGAATGTTAGAAAAAGATTCCAACATATGTCTCTTGTGGTTTTATTGTGGTTTTGAGTTGCTGCTCTGCTGATCTTATATCTATTCAAACCAGTCATACCTTTTTCAGACAGTTACACTCTTTGAATGTTGATAAACAAAATGCTCTCTCCTGACTTTAACCCAACTTTCCTAACTATCAAGTCACAAACTTTGGGACTTTATCCTGTTGGCTTCAATCCTTAATGTCCCTCAGCATAATACTTGGGATTTATGTTTTAGTCTTTGGAATTTCATTCGTGGCTTGATACCTATTATCCCCTGACGACAGTATTTGCCATCTAAATTTAGTCTTTGAAGTGTCTTTTATAGCCTTGTCAAGATTCTCAATAGTAAAACTTGTCTTAACTCTCTCCCTACAAGTACTTACAATCTATGTTTTGTCCTTGGCATGTCATTAATGGCCTGGTCCATAGTTCTCAATCCTTCCTCCCATTGTTTCTGAAATGACAATGCATCTTACTTGTTATTTCTTACAATTTTCCTGTTTGTCTTTTTTGGTATTTTTATTGCAATAAAATATTGATAAAATAACATGTAATTGTTCACATTTTTGTACTTCGGTCTTTACAGATAGTTGCCTCATTGGCAATCATACCATATCTCCTTATTTTCATATAGAACAACTTACAAAAAGTTACATCTGTCTATAAAATAAAATAAGATTGCTACACCCTAGTGAAATGTCACAAGCCCTGTATCAATGAGAAATTAAAATTGAGGCCCTAATCATTTGCAGGATTTACTATAGATTGCTCATTGTTGAAGGCCAAAAAGTCACCTGTTATTGCTCACATCTTTTTTTCATTTTGTCTCTAATGGATTGTTGTCTCATTGGCAATCATACCACCTCTCTTTATTTCTATATAGAGGCATAGACTCTTTGCCAACTAATCACCAGGTCTTTACAGATCAAAAGGACTAACCTTGACAGCAAATAACTAGAACAGAAACCATACATTAAGATCCTAATTATTTGAAGGACTAACTATAAAGGTCCTTTACTCTTGGGACTAATAATCAGCATTATCTACAGAGACCAACAGGACTAACCTTGTCAGCAAATGACTGGAACAGAACACCATACATTGAAGCCCTGAGAGTTAAATCATCTTCAGGACTACCAATAGTAGACTGTGATTTCTGTGGTACTGCTACTTCTTTTGTTGTTTCCTCGTTCTCTTCTCCCTCTCCTTCTTGCTTTTCCTATAAAAAAAAAACCAACATTTCCATAATTTATCAAAAATTAAATAAATTAACTGCCTTGCACTCAAGACTTTAAAATTATGTCTCTAAAAAAAAAGAACATTTTTGGCATCTATTTCTACATGTAAGAAGTTATATACTTTTCTGAGTTTGTACAGGCCAAATTTTCATAATTGTTTTACATCTATACACATTCTTCAATACTCCTGTTACAGCAGCAATTGTACTGCACATCACAGTTGTGATCCTGTTTCAGCAGTAATTTAAAAAAATTGGAATTTATAAATGAGATATTTCAATAGAATTACTTATCTAGAATCAAATGCAGGTGAAATGATAAAAGATCAAATCTTAAATTTTTATATTTAACAGAAGACAATTAATTACCTCTTTCTTTTTTATTTTCTCAGCAGTAGCTGTTATACATTGTAAGATCATTTTAATGGGTTCTCTCAGTAGTTCTCTCTCTATAGGCTGACTGACCAGTGGTACACAAGCATTCCAATAATGTCGGGCTGCTGTCATCACCATCTCATAATTATCTGCATTTCTGGCATATCTGTAAAATATACAAACAGTGTCAAATCTCTATGTACAAGCTGTCTCTGAAGGTGACTGACAAATGGTGTACAAACATTCAAATATTCTAATGCAATATGACATGTAATACCACTTTTTGGATTATGACAATCACTGTACAATCATGTTTAAAAGATATCAAAAACGTTTTATATTGATTTTTTAAGATCAATGAATTAAAATTAGAATAATAATACTGTTATTTCTTAAATGTATGGCTGCTGTCCTTTTTGTACAATACATATCTGCATTCCAGGCATTACCTTTCAAATGTTTAAAAGTACAATAAAATCTCTCTATACAAGCAAACTGACCTCTGGTCAACAGTCACAAAACCTCACTTATTTAAACTCAAAGGCATTCTACTATTTTGACCAATATTATCACATCTTATAAATATGCATTCCTGGTATACCTCATATTTTATTCACATACTTATAATTTTCCACCTTTTACTGATCCTTACTATTATCAGATATGTACAATTAATACCTGGCACTGTTTAGGAATGCTTCCATTGCCTCTCTTCTGATAGCATTCTTGCCAGCCATATTGTCCATCAAACTCTGTCCCAGAATTCCACTGGCATAGGATAACATTTCCTGTTCTACCAAATATCTGTGACTGTGTCATATGAAATAAATTATATTTTTAATAATATGCAAGAAACAAACTAGTTAATATCAATTTCCCTTGCAAATTAGCTTCCCGAACCTTTAGAAACATAATTTATAAAAAAAAAATGCTGACAGGTAATGAAATTTATGAATAACTTTAATTTCCTCTCTGGAACTGTTACTTTATCCTGCCCCCTCCCCCCTTGTCTCTTGTCTGTTGTTAAAGACTTTATGTTGACCTTTATATGTCTTCTGGTTATTTTTGTCATTAGGTTGCTGTCACATTGATGTACACCCCAAATCTCCTTTTATTCAAATCTAACTAAATGCAACTTACGCCTCAATTTTTTTGCCTTTAGGCTGTGTCCCTGTCACAGCAAATCTCAAGGCATTTTTACTGCATCTCATAACAAGGGTGTGGTTCTTCTGCAGGTATGATAGGTAAGTCAACCTTGCCCATAACTGTAGTTCTACAAACTTGTCTGCCCATTTACATTCTTCTATCATGGAAGCAATCTGAAGTAAGCAATATAGACAATTCAAACTTGATACTCTCAATGTATTAAGGTAAACCTAGGTAATAACTGAAGATTGGCAACAGAGAAAATCTTTGCTGATTTTAAGTGAAATCAAAAATTTATTTTACATAATCATTCAGTATAATACTTGCTGGATTTTGAATTTCTGAGTCCAAAAGTCCATTTTATAAAATAATTTGTCTCCATATTAGGGATCAATAGCTTGAACTAGTCAAATATAGACCAGGTCAGTACCAGATAAAATTACTGTCTTCTGGGCTCTCACTGAATAGTTGCCAGGACCCATGGTAAAAAAGACTTTTCTCCCATTGGTGGGTTAAACTGACTTTCCAAAAGTTATTTTAGGTGCTGCAATAAGTAGCTAATTCATTATGATGTCAAATTACTAACAACTTTGTTGTCAACAGTGCCATCATTGTGTCATTGGATCATAAGATTTCACACAATTAAGACTGAAAAAAAACATATCGGAGAAAAGGGGACGCTATATTCTAAGTATCTACAACTATTACCTCTGCAACTGGTGGTGTGTCTTTAAACTCCAAAATACCATTCCTACTGAGATGTAACATTTCTACAGCCACAATAGCTCTGGTCATCTGTCTCTGACCCTCTGTGTACGGTTCATCATCAGCACCAAATGTTTTAGCTATCTGTTGCTGTGCCATCTGTTTGGCAGCCACCCACGTCTGTAGTAATGCTAATCTGTTAGCCATTGGTATTACATGTAAAGGATTGTTACCATTGGTCACTTCTATAGCATACTCACAAACCTAAAATTACAATAGTTATTTACAATGACTTCCTGAGTGATACCTCAATTTAGTTACATAAATGGTCAAAGAGTTTTAGAATTGTTAAACTATTTTATTAGTTTAAACAAATATTCCTGATTTGAGCCAGTAAACTTGAGCCATTTTGGGTTCTTTCCGTTGTTTTTTTTGGAGGGGAGGTGATTAGAGGGTAATCACAGTTTTAATTATTGCAACTTGATACATCTTAATGTTTTGATTTTGGAATGTGATATACTTCTATCTCTATAAATAATACACATATATTATTTCTAGGGTCAGGGAATATTTTCCTTTATTGATATTCAATGTTGAATTTTTTTCATTGAATTTAATATTGTCTATAAACAATGCTCTAGCTTTAAAAATCTATCATTATCTAATAACCCTATATATACAATAATACTTCAAACAGCCACAGGCAGCAATGAACAACGATTTATGTTTTGTTAGGTGTATGTTGAGATTTTGTGTCATGGATTAATAGACATGACCCTTCTTTTCCAAGAAGATGATATATATCAAAAATGTAGGATCTTATCCTAATTCCTACCTCTATAGCTTTCTTGAGATCAGGTAGAGCATCAGGACTTATAGAGATCTGTGTTGTGGAGGATGGTTTATTCTTAGCATCCTTTGGTGCTTTGCCTCCTTTTTTACTAGCTGGGGACTGTGACGGTGTTGGGCTTGGAAGTTCTGGCTCCTTGGGTCCATCTGGAATCCAGGGCTTCATTAAAGCAAAAGCCAATGCACCACATACATTCACCAACATAACTGTTTCTCTGAAATTATAACGATATATGCTTACTGAAACAAGAAAACAGAAACTTGAAACTGTCTTAATTTACAAGTAATACATTTACATATTATCACAACATTCAGTAAGTATTTAGAAAAATAGAACTACACTAATTTAAATACAGATCATTTCAAAATTAGGAATTACAAAATTAAATATAATTTGATATGTTCATATTTAGCTAAGCGATACAAGCATTGATTATGAACTCTGAAAGAGTAAATACATGGTACATTACTAACTGGTTACTGTTTGAATTTGTATTAATCATTAGTATACATTTCATGGCTATGTGTTTATCCTAGGCATATAAAACAAATGTATATATAACATAATTCTGTACCGTGAACCCTATACAAATAGAACTCAAGTGATAATTGAGGATTTTGACATTCAATCCTCCAATGTGGGGAGAAACTTCTATGGGGAGTTTCTGTTATAGAACCTATTTTTTGTTGTTTTTCATATTTAATGATATTTTTGGGGTAAACTATTAAAAGCGAAATAAAATGAATAAAATCTTTAATGAATTAATAAGGAAATAATAATGATATTGTATATCTTACATGTATTATATTGTATGTAATGTATATGCTTTAATTTTGGAAATAAAAAAAATTCAAAAATTAATTAGGTAAAATAACATGACAGGTATTTGACACTCTAAATAGAGTAAACTAACAATACTCTGACCATTATCAATCTTTTACAGGACAAATTCCTACTTAAAACAAAGAAAATGTGTAAAACTGGGAAATTGGGAGATTTGACCTGCCTGTCAGCAGACTTTTCATGGAAAATTTCTTTTCTTTTTAACTTGAAGACGAAAAATGGGAGGCTCTTACAGATATGTACCTATGGGTCAGAATACATATTTACCCAGCATGGCCAACTTTCTTCAAGCCTTCAAAACATGCCATTAAAGGATCCATGATTTCCCTATGTCTATTCTGTGTCAGTACATGATTATTGTAGTTCCAAATGTAGGCAGTGGCACAACAGACCAGCCATGGTTCCTCCAATTCTACACCAAGGTCAAGGCCACGCAGGAAACTCTTAGTGCAATCTTGTGATAACGATTGAATCCAATCACTAAAACAAAAGAATTGATATCGATTATTGTGAGTCTTTATTTCAACTTTTAAATACTCTTTCTGAGTATTTTAAGCTTTCATTGTCTAAACATTGTCATTTAATTCACTCAAAATCTTATATCATACTTACCAGTATTCTAGCCAATCAGGATCTTCCTCTGGTTTTTTGGCAACATAACCTTTAGGTCGTTTACTTTTATCTACTGGAGGTATAGGCATGTCATTTAGTTCTACACCTTCTGTTCTCAGTAAATGTACCATAGCCTTTAATATAAAAAAAGATATTGCGTTAACAAAACATTATCTGGCACCTGCTTTGAAGGCATCAATCTAAAATACACTGACACTGGGAAAAAAACTTATGGAATAATGACAAAATAAGGTTGTAACATAAGAGGTTTTTGACACTCCTGGCCAAAATGCAGATAAAAATATGTTCTGACATTCAACAACCAGCATTACCTCTCCTTGAATAAACTGTACTTCTGCCAGCATACGAATCAAGTCTTTATCATATAATGGTACAGGTCTCTCTGGACTGGATGGTCTGGTTCCAAGTTTACTATCTGCCTTAGATTTATCACCTAAATCAGTACCAGATGTTGTTCCTTCAGGAACAGTTGAAACTACAGAAGCTCCTGTGTCTCTCATTTTTTCTGGTTTAGGACTGAAAAAGTTAATTTTCAAAATTAATTCCATTGAACTGTTTTTTTACATGAATATGTATTAACAGGTAAATAAAAGTATAAATAGAATTAATATAAAAACAGAATGTACTGTCAGGCAATGTAAAAACAATCCTGTGGGTAACAGAATTAATTTGCAAAGATCCTGTGAAAAACAGCAGTTTATTGGATGGTATTTCCACTCTAACTGATTTAATCGTGTAACTTAAAAGCCCTGTAACCTAAGATTACTCAAGGATTAAATTAGTACTGGTACCAAAATTGGTTATAATTTATACATTCAGTGTTTTTATTTCATCCAGTAACCATTTAATTTGTTAACATTCTTCTTCTGTGTTGATGGACGATCAAATTCTAAACACCATATCTTGTGTTTTAAAATGTCTTAACTGTATTTCAATATGTATTGGTGCTAATAGTAACAGTAAACAGCAAGAACATTTTGTGCATAAAATATTTGTAGATGTCTGATTTACAATTCCCAACAATTTCTTTTGTAAAATGAAAGGAATAAAATATTCAAGGGAAGCATCAATCACTGATAAACTTTGTGACAGACTTCCAGTATCTCACCTTTCCTGCTTAATGGGAGAAACATTTTTCCATCTATCATCATCATACAGGAGACAGAATCTAGCTGCTACACGGCACACATCCCAAACTTCTTGTTTTCTCGCTGTCTTAGCCAAATCTCCCCATAGACGTGCCCTAAAATTAGTAACACAATTTTAACACAATTTATTATATGTCAAATTTTCTCTTAACTGATTTCCAAATATATTAACAAAATGAAAAATAACCAATATATTTTATTTTCTATCTCTTTACTTAATCTTAAAACTGAAAGCCCCCAAAACAAGTTCTCAAAACATAACAAGCATTATTCTTTTATTACATGTATTACAAATAAATATTAATTATATAAACTCCAAAATCTCTGCTCCTCTTTCAATTTTCACTATCATTAAAAGTTATAAGTATAAAAAAAAATGTACTTTCCTAAATACCATACAAACACAGCTCATAATATAAGGGAATGCCATTGAGTTTTACAATGTTTTATTAACAATATATATATAAAATTGTTGTAACTATGTCATTGTTAATTTTACTGTTAATGCTACTTGTCTAATACAAACAATATTTCAATACATCATTCAAACAATAGTCACTCCTCAAAATTTGTAAAGTTAATCTTCAGATACAAATTAAGCTAATTTCTAATATTTTATGTAATTTACATTAGAGTCACATGAATTCATTTAAATTATTGAGTTAGAATTATACAGAAGCACTATTAACAACTAGCCACAAACAAAAACACGATACTTAACTCTTCCCTCCCGTCGCCATGGCTGTAACGAGCATCAACATATTATTTCCCATAAAAATAAGACATTTCTGTAACACCTTAATTCTCTAGGAATGTAAATTTATGGGTTAAAGACAAATGGGCAGAAATGGGTTTCCATCTGGTATTTAGACAAAAACAATGCATCGTTGCTCCTATTATATTGCAATGCTTCAAACCATTCAAGTGAACATATTTTGGATTAATAATGTAAATTTTGGACATGGACTGGAGCATAAGGAGTTATTCCCAGAAATATTGTAAGGTTGGGGGTTTTACAACAATACATGGATGATGATGTTCAGGACTTTTCTCAGCATCTCTCTCTTAAGAACACCTTGATTACATACATTTATCAAATTTGTAAAGATTGAAGGTTATTGTAAAAAGGTGATTTCCAAACCCCAAATCTTATCTTTTCCTGGCATAACTATAACATAATTTTAAGAATCCTTTGTAACATATCAAATTCTCGCATCACATACTATTTACATCACATGTAACCTTTCATGTAAGGTAAATATACAGTGATTGTTTTTGTATGATATTACTGTTGCTACATTTCAGTATTTTTTCAGCACTTCAGTTATCTTATTTTAAGTACAAAGTAACATGTGGAAAAAAACAAACAAAAATAACAATTGATTGTAAAAGTAGTGAAGAGTGCAATAAACAAAAGACAAAATCAAATCATTCTGTTCTGATCAACTTATTTGTGTTAACATCAAAACTACATACCGCCAGTGGGTTAGCTTATATAAATCTTCATAACTGTCATTTATAAAACTGGCAATCAAATATCCAATAAATATTAATCTATTTTTCAATGTGATTATTAAACGATGTTTAAATACACCTTTTTCTAATTCGTTTAATTATCAGAGAAAAAGAAGTTAAATTGTCAACTACTGCTTGCTAATGATACCCTTACTATATGTATTCGGTAAATAGGAAGTTAAAGAGCAATGGATCTGAAAACACATCAAACAGTATAGCATGCTCACAAAAATGTCAATACAAATTTCATGGTGCTCTGATTAGTATTTCTGGAGAAAAATAAAAGGGCATTATGTATAATAATAAGGGTCTTTTTATTTAATTTTTCTTCTAAGAGTCGACATAATTACATGCATAGGTTCTGTATTTGCCAATTAATGTTACCTACATGAAGCAACCCAAAGAAGGGCTAGGTAAACATATATTGGTGAAGCCAAAGAAAAACCAAAATTTATTTTTCAAATTTTAAATACACAACAGCTATTGCTATTCAAATACATGATAAATCAAAACATAATCATCTGCTTTTGTTTGGTTAAAATGAAACTGAAAGTTGATGAACTATTGTTCCAATTGGCACATAACTTTGAAGAAATTCCAAAAAACTCATATGAACATATAATTTTTGTTTACTTCGAATATGCTTTAAAATATCATGAAAAGTAGTTTTATGCAAGCCATCTTATTCTTTTTTTGCATTAGCATCTTAAATTTCAAATAATTACAACATGGCAGCTCCACAAAAAAGTAAACTCTTTGGTTACATTATGTAAATTAAGAACGATTCAACATGATAGCCAACTGAATCAGCTAAAGTTCCATTCATTTGGAAAATACATAAAACTAAAGGTTAAAAAGTAAATTTACAAAGAATAATGAAAGTATGGCACATGAAATTGAGTAAATTCTTTGGAAGATGTTGAAAATTGGGAATAGGAAATATTTTAATTCCTAATCACTTATCTAACACATAATTAGGTCCATAAAGTAAATATTCTGAATTTACAAATGTCTGTAATAAACTAAAAGAAGATAGCAACAATGTGTTTACATTTATTTAGTGCAACACAAATGGATAAATATATATATAACAAGCAACATATACAATGAGTTAATATTTAAAGAACTACGTAGTGCCTAAGAAATATCCAAGTATATATTGGTGCTTCCATTTAGAAATACATTTAACAGTACTTTGTGCTTCCATTACATGCATGATATTGGTAAATCTCACCTTTCTCTATCATTCTCATCCCCTAGCCTCTTTAAATGGCCTTCAGCTTTCTTCACACATTTGTTAAATTGTCTGGCTTTATTTGCAAGTTTCTTTATTTGTGTCTGGGGAGCTTTCCCACCTGTGACATCTAAAATTTAAAACATTACTGCAATGAACATACTAATTAGTTATACATGTGTTCAACGTTGATTTTTTTGGGAGGAGGGGGGATTCCAGACAATAATCAAGATATTGTGCATTTGTGCATATACAAATATTCTTAATATGTGGTTTTAAATATAATCAGATTGGTTTTATTTGAAAGAAGTGTCTTTTCTGTTACCAATAGAGATATATTGTCAATTTCTGACACCAAATTATGGTTTGTTTCTCTGTTTTTTTGTGATTTTAAGTTATGTGTCTGTATTTCTGTATTCCTTTTTAATTTAATTTAATTTAAGCTGTATATCTATTTGGATTTTTTAAGGAGAAACCCACATAAATTTCAGGTCATACTGTTTTCTAAATTATTCATATTTCATATCATGTTATTCACTATTGGTAACTAAATATTTAAATAAGATAAAAAGAATTATCTAAGTTGTTTAAAAAAAAATCACAGGTTAATTCTAAATACCAGCTTTATCAGTACTGAATTGTTCAGAATGTTCTTTTTTACATGTAATTAATTACGATTAAATAAGCCAATGAATATAATACAAAAGAACAAAAAATACAAATATGAATTTACTAAGAGTGTATGGAATAACATTGTTTTTTTTCAATAAACCAAACATTTCCTATAACAAAAGCATAGTTCTACACTGTCTCCCCCTAGCTGACAAGCAGATTTCATAAACTTTTGACAACCTAATGACTTCTTTATAAAAACATTAGTAAATAGAGATATTTTACATAGATATAAAGCCATTACCAAAGATGAGAATTATCAAATAATTGAAGTTATAACATATACAATTAATAATGAGGACACTGAATTTTAATTCAACTTTGAAACATGAAACCAAATTTAATATGAAAATAGGTACTGTGGATTTATAATTATTCGTGGGAGACCAATTGTCATGGATTTCATGGGTATAGGTGAAATACAAAGTACATATTTTCTATAGGCTTGTCTGCAGACTTTTACAAAATCATGAAATCAAATATCCACAAAAAATTTTTTTTTCCTCAATCCATGAAAATTGATACCAACAAAAATAAAGGAATCTGTACTAGCATACTGGTGATCTTTACTTGATAAATTTCTATGTTTTACAGTCTGTTAGTTAACTTTTATCTATCAGTTGTTGTTAAGTGAAACATACATATATCTTAGTGAATGAGTTAGTTCTACATTGTTAAAATAGAATTCTTGTTATCGACAGCTTATTGATTTCTTAAAAAAAATATATCCAGCCATTATTCCGTAATAGGTCATGCTATTACAAATCTGATACTTGGTTTTTGAGCTTGTATCCTGTGCTTATTCATGCAAAATAAAATTATTTGGTTGCTGTAAATCTAAAAGCACTAATTTAAAAAAAAAGGAGCTATGAAAAATATTCAAATTTTCTCCAAATATTGAACCTTTTAATATTTCCTTATTTGAAATATTGGTATCAGTGTTTGTAAGGAGTAGCTCATAGATTATTCTTTCTACTCAAGCTTAAAGTGACATCATAAAAAAATACAGCATTTCAAACATAAACAACTACATATTCAAAAATAGACTGTTGTTCTACCTTTAACAAAATGGTGTAAAAATTACCACAAAATTAAATAAAGAGTATGAAAAGTGAATAATCAGATTTTTTCTTTTAATTAAGCAAATAGCAAGTTATTAATTTTATTCATTTGTAATAGCAGCTAAGAGAACAGTCAAAATAATGGAACTAAGAAGGAATAGCAACTAAAATAAATACTAAATGTGGAACCTGAGTAACTATTGTCTCCATTCTTCTCTGAAAAAGGAAGGGTGCAAGCAAACTATCAATACAATATAAAATATGCATATCTAAAGTTCAATATGGTATCATATTTTGATAAAAATGGAAGGTTTAAGCAAAATAAGGCCATTGCAACTACAATATATATTTCTATTCGTCTAAACAGTATTCATTATACTTCCATGGACAATGAGGAGTTCAAGCAAAATGAATGTAAATTTTAATATGTCATGAGATTAATTCTGAATTTTATTGTAAAATTTTATATTATGAAAAGAACAACTCCTGTTCTAAGGGGTTTTTGGTACTAGTTCACTGCAATGTAGAGCTTTGAAGAAAAGTAAGCAAAAAATTATCATTTACCTAAATATATAATTATTTCCAACCACATTTAAGTTGAATACAAGTAAAATCTAAAAACATTTTTTTTTTTACTTTAACTAAATACTAATTGTACATGGAAATTAATAGGCAGAAATCCCTCATTGATTTTTATTGCAGTCGGAATCAGTGCTACTACCAAAAGAGGAGAGTAACTTCTTTTCTACTGTAAACTCATGCCTGGGTTCAGCAAATGACTTTTTGGTAAAATGTAATTGACCACAACTACCAAAAATAAGGAATGTATGGATAATCAAAAAAATGAATCAATTTACATAATACTAGATATTATAAAATCAACAATATCTACAAAGCAAATAGATACATCCATAAAAATAAGGGTAGATTAGTCTATAACATTGCAAATTGGGATCCAAGCAAACAAACATTCATTAAAGTTAAAATGTTACAGTACAAAAAAAACAAGGTTTCAAGCACATATTTATTTCACACATTTACACAAAAAAATAAAAAACAGATTAAAGCAAGTAAACATATCAAAATTATTTCATTAACGTGATTACATTAAAAATCAGGAGTTTGAGAATCAAACTGTAAAAGTAAAAACCTGCAAAAGGAAATGAATGCATATAGTTGTCAGGGTTACACTATAAGCACATAATAATCTACATCAAAATGAAAGTTATACCTTTAGTGTCACTTTCACTATCTAACACTAACTGGAAAGCGTCTGGTGCTAGAGCCTCTCCTGCCTTCACTAACAAGGATCGCTTCATTCTCATGGTACCTGAATCAGCTTTCCTAGCCTTAAATATAGAGAATTAAATATAGACAAAATCAATTACCATCAGGAAAGCACAGGGAGTTTGAGCCATTGAAGCCTTTACCTCAAATTATCTCTTTATTCAACAATGCCTATCTGAATCTATCCACTCAAGAAAATAAGTTGTCTAGACTCTGTGCAATTCAGAGCTTGACATATGGTATATATACTTGTTTATTGTTGAATAGTCTGTAGGTTGACCGCTGCATTGAAGATTTCACTTGTAGAATAGTTTCTTAATTTACAGTTAATAAACAAAACATGTCCTGTTCCTTCGTTCGGTTTAAAGAGATTTTCTTTCATTTGCATATTATATTAATCTAATATCTTTCTTATTGTCAGATTTCCTCATTAAGATATCCAACTTATAACAATAATTCACCTATTGCTGTTGAGCCATAACATTTGTTATGTGAATTGTCAAAGAAGTTACAAAACAGCTTTTTTGGTTTAAGGGCCAGCTGAAGCCCGCCTCTAGGTGCAGGATTTTCTCGCTGTGTTGAAGACCCATTGGTGGCCTTAGGCTGTTTTCAGCTTTTTGGTCGGGTTGTTGTCTCTTTGACACACTCGCCGTTTCCATTCTCAATTTGAATTATGTTTGTACTACATACATGACTTGGACATTAAATTATCCAGAATTTAAGAAGTTTAATTTGATTTTTTAATGTATAAGAAGCAACACTGTCCAAACCTGTTCTATGATCATGGCCGCCATGTCTTCAGGTCTGTCTGGCTGTTTATACAGCTGAGCTCGAAGTTCTAGTCTATGTAGAGCTACCTCTAATCTCTCCTTATACACACTTCCATCATCTAATTGTATTGCCTATAATATACATATATATGCATTATATACTTTTGTAATACAATCCATCTAAGTTCAACTTTTGTTTGTCAACCTTTGTAACGTTCTCTGCATAATATATTGTTCCTACTTTTTTAATTGGCTTTTTGCCTGATTGTTGACTCCTGTTTTTTTTTCCTAGTATGAACTGGAATATGTTGTGTTTTACTTACAACTAAGTTTTTTTAAACATTGATTTTTTTCTAACATGCCTAACTATTTTGAAGTCTACTAACAAAAAAGTCTTCTTCAAAGTAACTTTATTAAGGCTACAGTTATAAAATAGTTAATTGCACTTTCAATAATGATTTTTCTAGGATTTATTTTCATCTGTTGATTAATCCTACATTGTTCCTTTCAAAAAATATATTACAGTTAACAATGTAAGACAGTATCAACACTAGGGACACCTGTCTCAATCATATTGTCAAATGTAAACTTTCTTCCTCATATTCGAAAAAGCTGTTCCTTAGTTATATATAAAACTATATTTTGGTGTTTTCTTTGAACTGTTTTTTGATGTACATCTTACTGCTGTCTTTTCTTAACATTTGTAACAGTACATAATATTACCTTTAACTATTTATTCAGTCAGGAGCCTGTAATTCAGTGGTTGTCGTTTGTTGCTGTACACGTATATCATATTTATTTTTCGTTTATTGTTTGTAAATAAAATTAGGCTGTTAGCTTTCTCTTTGAGCAGGGTTCTCACTTAGGTGAGTCCATGAGTCCTGGACTCATCATTTTCAAAACTTGTGAGTCCAAAGATGCATGAAGATTGTAAAATGTTGTATCAACTAAGCGCACATATCCACATTTTAGACATGTTAGAGCAAAAGTTTGAAAATAATATAATTTTGATGTCATTTTCTTGCTTTATTTTGTCATGAAGACTGAAATTATAATGCAATAAAATTTCTTCTCATTATTGGATTCGTCATGGCCAAAAATGATGAGTCCCTGGACTCGTCTTCAAAAATCCCTATTGAGAACCCTGCTTTGAGTCATGTTGGAGTCTTTATTAATAGCTTACTACACAGAGTGGGTTTTGCTCATTGTTGAAAGTCGAACAGTGAATAACAGTTTCTAACTTTTACAACATTTGGTACCTGGTGGAAAGTTGTTCTCATTGCAGTGGCAATCATACCACTTCTTTTTATTTTTATAGCCGTCATATTACCTTTTTCAGATGATCCATAGCTACTTGTATTTGTTCCTGATCTTCTTCACATTTAGACAATTCTGTGTGGATCTGGCATCGTAAATTGATTAAAAGACTGAAATTAGAAACAAAAATCTTCACATTTGAAGATTTTATGTGGATCTAACACCACAAATTGATTAACGAACAGAAAGTAGAAACAAAAATCTTCACATTTAGACAATCCTGTATGGATCTGACATCACAGACTTATTAAAGGACCAAAATTGGAAACAAATCTCCACATTTAGATTTTCTATGTGGATCTGACATTGCAGGTAGATAAGCAGACTGAAATTACAAACAAACATTTTCAAATAATAGAATAGTATGATTTTGAAAATGATAATCAAAATACTTAAGTACCTACAAATTGCAGGACAGACATTTCTCTTAATATCCTGCAAAAAATGATATTTTTTGGCTGAATTAATCAATTATTCAAAATAAAATGTTACCTATGTATTCCTTCCAGGGCTTCAGCTAACAGTGTGAGAGGTTTTCTGATGTGTTTACGGAGATTGGACTGTATGAGAGGTAAGCAGAGATTGAATGTTGTAACACAGCCAGCTTGTATAACATTTGGATCTCCATTCCTTATAGCATTCATCATTGTCTCTTCACATCTCTTGATGGCTTGAAGTCTAACCTAATGATGTTAATAAAAGCTTTTTTACAATATATCAAATGTTATTTTCATTAAAAGGGATTATCATTACAAGTGTACAATCAGAATCATGTCATATTAATAATTTCTCACATTATGTATTTAAATACTACATCCATATAATCACTTTCTTTTCTTGTCTTCATATTTTTTTTAGACTGCTACTTATTTTCTCCATATTTCATTCTTTTTAAAAAATGTCAGAAATAATAATATAAAGTGAGAAATTGTGTGAGGTTTAAGGTTATTTTGTAATTAAGATAAAATTGTGAACAAAAATTTCCTTGAGTAAATTTAATCATTGAAGGAGATTAGAACCAGGGAAAAAAACCCACCAAAAACAGTTTAATTCATGAATCTTTTGTAATATAATACAATTGAGATTTTTTTTGTCATACTCAGGACAAAAATTAAACCATTATTTCTGGTAGCTCAACAACCCTCGTTTTTTATGCCTAGCCAGATCTATTTTACTCATATATAATTTTTAAAATGTGTCTACTATAGAAATTGGATAAATTATGGACTATCTGATGTCTTAAACATCATAAACAAGTTTAATAGTGTAAAACCATGTATGATCAATATTTTTAAGGCCTTTGTCTCCTTAACGTGTAATTCTAACCATTCATTTGGTCTATCTACTACTCAATGGCTGTCTGGGCTTTGTTACATCAATATAATATATGTATTATTGTCATTTTTCTTTTTTTGATGAGAAGGGTTTGCCTCAATGACTGTCTCTTTATGAATGTTTTATCACACTTTTTAATTCAGTGAAGAGTAGGATATTTGCCTCATCATCTTTGTTTCGTGGGGAGTGGGGGTTTGCCTCAATAACGGTCTCCTTAAACATGTATTATAGTCATTTTTTTTTTTGTTGGGGATGACGATTTGCCTATCTAGCTTTTCATTTCCAATTTATAAAACTTCATGACAAAATACCAGATTTTGATTGGTTAATACGATGGTGATAATGTACTTTATTGCTATTTTACAAAATTTTCCTTTGATTTTACTGACTGATAATTTCCTTTCTCAGCAATGTAGAGTGATATGAAAAATTATCGCTAGAAACTAAGGGCGCATGTGCTGTTGTCAATGAAATTAACAACGTTGTCATAGGTAAAATAGCGATGAAATTAACAACGTCGTCATAGGTAAAATAGCGATAAACAGATTATCATTGGTCATCTCAACTAGATTGCTTTTCTCAAGCGAGAAAATCAATCTCTTTGAGATGACAAACAATAATCTATAATTATCACAAGGCTATATTCTATTACCCTTCACTGAGATGCTTGATCAATAGTGTGCTTTACTTAAAACAGATGGTTGTTATTTACAAGACGTCATAGTTTATTACATTTAATTCAAAATTTAAAAGACAATAATAACTGAACATTCAGTATAATAAATTAATAACACATAGCTGAGATGATGAGGGAGCAGATTGTTACCCCTGGGAAAAAAAAGTATCAACCTTGGCTTCGCCTCAGACGGTCTATGTTTTCTGCGTGTAAGAATCTGCTCTATCACCCTCTCAGCTATATGCTATTTATATATTATGTTAACCTGCATAAATTTCAATCAACCTGTTAAATAAGATACTAATTCTTAAATTGAAAACAAAACTAACATCAACTGATGATTTCTGATACGACTCCTGCTTGTCTCCTAAACTTTTCACTGTTAAGTCACTCTGCAGAAACTCCAACTCTAAAAAAAATCCAGGATCCTACAAAAGATTTAGGTTTTATATAAAAATAAAGTGGATACTGAGTAATGCACGTCAGATGCATAAAATTGTACTGAATATAGAATATTTCAACAGGACAATATCTAGCAGTAAAATAAAAGATAATAATTATAAAAGTATTAAGGTGACTAGGGGGACTCAGCTTTACTGTCTATTGTTGTAGAATCAACTTTGTTACCAGTTCGTGTGTTAAAATCCCCAAGCAGACAAACATTATTACTTTTCACTGTGAGGTCAATGTATTCATTTGCAATTTGTAGAAATGCATCTGCTGTACAATGTGGACTGATTTATTTTTGTCTGTATGATGGTCTATTTGTGACATTCTGTGCATGGGGCATGAAATTAAATATCATGGAGCCACCAGATAAAAACATTTTCTAAATTGACTTTTGTGAATTTCATATGCCAGATGGGCTTTCCTTATTGAAAGTTTAATTCATTTTAGAATATCGAAATAATAACATCCAATTGACAATACCTTTACATTAGAATTTTTCATCTGGTCAACACAATCTTGAGCAAGATCAGGAAAATCTAACTCCAAACAGAACCTGGCTAATTCTAACAACAGATATGGTCTGAAAAACAGCATAAAGACAAATATTACATTATATCAAAAAATGTAGACAAAAAGTTTTTCTGGAATCACAGTTTGCTCAAAGTTATTTAGTAGAAATCTAGACCTAAACATTTAAAATTTTTCCTAATTCAATAGACCTTTAAAGAAACTGCAGTCCTCAGGTCAACATAATGACCTATTTTTGAATACTGAAATAACCAAATATTTTACATAAATTTATCTTTTAAAATTACATGCATGTAACCAAACTTCATAGCACCACTTCAGTTCAGCTTTTGAAACTATCTAGCCATGATACTTTTGTGATATGGTGGCATTAGGAAATCAACAATCACTCTAACTAGCAGGTGTCAAACAATCACTATGCACATTGTCAATTATTACAATTACTATGCATATTGTTAACTATAACAATTACTATGCAGATTGTCAATTATAACAAGTACTATGCATTGTCAATATTTACCTGAGCACACAGGTAATAAACAATTTTTGACACACAACTAGGACTGTTATAAATGCAACAAATGTGTCAATCATTGATTAAGCATAATTTCAACCATGGTTTAATGAAGAAACATATTTCGTTAAAAATCAAAATCGTGTAATAATAGTATGTGCAAAATGAAACAGCCTCAAAATCACAAGGCAACAAAGGGTAACCTTACTGAAAATTAAGGCTGACACAAACTCAAAAGCTTTGATGTGTGTTTAAAGCAAAATTATAAATTCTAGAGTGAGATTCTCTCATTTTTTGCCCTTCATGCAATTATATTTAGAACTTAATTTATTCCATTGAAGTACATATATGTTGCTTTTTTTTAAAGTTTTTGATGGGAGATGTAGTGGTGTAACAACAATAAAAAAGACCATCACCTTATCTAAGGTTTTGCTAGTTTCTTTCTCAAATTAAATCACTAAAAAGAAAGTTTGTTCTCTGATCCCCTCTAAAATTCTACTGGGCAACAAGTGACAACAGTTGTAATCATGTCGTTAATACCTTTCTAGCAGAGAAGATGAGAAGTAGACCAAAAGTAGTTAATGCCTCTTTGTATTATACAGAATAAAGCTTAATATTTGATAACAATACAGTAAAACACAGCTGTGTTCACAAGGTTGTGGCAGCCAGTTTACATAAACTTATTCATTATATTAACTAATCTGTTAACATTATCACAAATTATTTGTACATCTAAGTCTCATTTTTAAATGAAGTAGTTATAAATCATAATTTACATTAAAAATTTGAAACAGAAAAAATATGAAAAATACTATACATTAATTCCTTAATTTTGTAACCCATACTTTGTTTAATTCAATCTTAGCTATAAAAAAAAAAAAACACCATGGCAACAGATACAACAAAGATATGTATTTGTGAAAGTTCTTTTTATTTTACTTATGTTGATCTGATTCAAGCTGTCAACATAGACAATAAGAAAAAAGAAGTTTTGTGGTAACAGCCACTTTGTAAACTCTAAAGAAAATTCCACACAAACATGTTTGACTGTATGTACTTGAATATATACAAAACTAAATAGATTTCTTAAGACTTTCCAAATATGAATATATAAAACTACAATGATATTAGATGCCATTTTCAATACAAAATATATAATTAGACTTATTGCAAACCCAATGAAAGTTTTCCACAGTGCCATCTCTATCTTGACCAGGTATTTAAACTTTTGCAAGTTCACCTGTCCTATTGAATGAATACAATAGCTATTTTTCTCTGTGTAGTTTATTCACTGGGACCTTTAAATTTCTTCTAAGAGAAATCTATCATTCATTGATTAAATTACCTGTGTAAAAAAAAATTCTTATATATAGACAAAAATACTTTTTTTATACTCATTAATTGCCTGTGCTGATGTATTTATTCAATATTAATAATATATTTTCATTCAGTTTAATATAAACATTGATTCAATCATAAAAAGTTGATTTCTAACAAAAGTTTTATCAATGTTCCTATTGAAATTTGATTTTTTTTTGTTTAGTTATAGAATACATTTAAGAAGATCTTAATTTGAAACATCATTATTTTCAAGTTCTTATTCATGTCAAGCAAATTTTTTTTTAAAAGGAACAATGTTGAAAGTTTTGTCAGAAATCAAATTTTTATGATTGAATCAATGTTTATATTAAACTGAATGAAAATATATTATTAATATTGAATAACTACATCATCACATGCAATTAATGAGTATAAAAACAGTATTTTTGTCTATATATAAGATTTTCTTTTTACTCAGGTAAATTAATCAATGAATGATAGATTTCTCTTAGAAGAAATTTAAAGGTCCCAGAGAATAAACTACACAGAGAACAATAGCTATTGTATCTATTCAATAGGACAGGTGAACTTGCAAAAGTTTAAATACCTGGTCAAGATAGAGATGGCACTGTGGAAAACTTTCATTGGGTTCGCAATAAAAGATGTCACAAACTACAATATTTTCATGTTGAAAGAAAGTTATGTTAATTGTATATTTCTATATATATATATATAAAGATAAAGTACCATTATAAAATTCATTCATAAAAAACAAAACGCACATTATTCTGTATCTGATCAAACAATGATTTAAGACAGTAGGAAAAGTTATAATAAAAGTCCACATTATAAAAAAATATAAAGAAAAAAACAAACGCTGTACAGGTACTTGTAATTGTTCTTAAGTTGTCTCATTGGCAATCAAATCACAAATCCTTATTCGTATTTAAAGGCACATTTATGAATGAAATTAATATTGAAATTAACAGATGACAACCAAACAATTTTGTGGAAAAATGTCAAACACTTTTACCCCAAAATTGAAGTAGTCCTCATGTTTATTGAAAACATCGAATAAAAATCATACAATATCATTCAATGATCTATTATTTTTTTTGTCTAATTCAGATTCCTGAATAAATAATTCATCACATAAAGTAAGAACAAGGAATTGAAGCAAGAACACATCAAATTTCTGTCAAATTCAAATTGCTGCAATCATTACCTGTCTGGTGCATTTACATCTAAATTGCTGAAATAAGGTAACAATGAAAACAATAAACACATTTATCTTGGTTAATTCATAATGGCTGTTGTTAAAAAAGAAGCATTTTATCAATCAAAACCTGATATTATCTTATTGGTTCACAATTGAATTGAAGCACTGTGTCTAATTAATTGAGATGAATATTAAGTTTTCATCAAATAATTAAAAGCAAACAATTTAGACATGCATATATGACATACAAATTTCCCTACCACCAGCAAACGTCTACAGGGGCCTCACTTTGTCCAAATTAAACTTTAATCTAAAACTAATCATTATGTTTATACATAATAATTATCTACATAGAAGTAAATAAAAGTTATATCTGAAGAAATTGATGTAAAATATTTGGGTCAATAACAAGGACCTAATCAAACTTAGTTTTTCTTCAATAGACTTAATTAGTAATCAGACTGAAAATTATAAATTAAGTTCAAATATTTAAGACAGGAACAGGATTAATCTAAAATGAAAGAAAAAGTAGAATTGAATCAGCAATTATAACTCAACAAGAATTCTGAGAGTATTGCATGGCAATACATAGACCACTACCGGTTAAAAATTCATTGTAATGGAACAATATGCTAACTTGAACCACAACTTGTCATGGTGTAAACTATATAACAAATATCAAATCAATATCTTCATGAATCTGACAAATGACAAAAAATAAGTGTGAAAAAATACTTTGTCGGTAGGGGACTAAAACGTTTTGTGAAATAAATAATGTTTGATGTGTATATATACATTAATGAGAAATTTAAATAAGAACTATAAGTTTATTCCTTAGAAGAGAGATCTTAGGAAAAGGATCTTAGGGATACACTCCCTTTATACAAGTTCAAAACCCTGTGGAAGTGGTAGGAAATTCTAAAAGTGAATTTCTACATAATGCACCAGTAAATAAAGAGACACCAAGGGTCTGGTTTTAATAACTCATTTTATACAACTATACAACTAGTTATACAACTAAAAAAAAAGTTTGGCAAAAAGCAAGTTGTTAACTTAGTTTGGGTCATTTAAATAACAATGATAAAGAAATAAGATTTACTATCACAACATTGCAGAATTAATGAAACTGCATCTTTTCTGACTTTATGGATCAATGTGAACATGAATTCTCTGAATGTTGAAGATATGAAAAAATAACCAAAATCATTTGAAAAATACCTAAACCCTTGGTGGCTGTACTTACTGACACAATAGGGTACCAGTTCTATAGGTCTGGTTACGTGTACTTACTGACTCAATAGGGTACCAGTTCTATAGGTCTGGTTACATGTACTTACTGACTCTATTAGGTGCCAGTTCTATAGGTCCTATCTAGTTACATGACAGAAAAAACAAATATACCTTCCTACGGGTCTCACTTATTAGCGACAAGAAGCACCAAGATGAATAATTAAGCGACAAGAAAATAAATTTAGCATCAAGATATATCTAAATAATGATTATTTCAAATAAATATATATATAGAAACATGTATAAAAGTGTGTGGTTTTGTTTTAAATATAAGAGTATTTTCATTATTTCATGATACTGAGAGAAGAAAATAAACATTTGTTCATTTGTTCTAAAAAGAATTTTTTGTTATCAAGGATATGTTTAAAAAGATATATTTACAGTTTACAGTTTAGTATATGTATAAATGAATGAATTGATTTTATGTAAAAGTCAGCACGGGTGATATATCAAAGCTGGGACTATTATCAAAGGTTCAAACCAAATTATAAGATAATCTAATCTTTATTTTAACCACTAAAAAGATATTATAGGATGGGACATGGGATTGCTACAAAATGTTCAGATTGAAACATACTTTAAAATAATTTAATAAAATAATTGCAAGACGTACGTAGTGCTACTAAATATAACATAATTTGAAACTTTATAAAACAGCAAATAATCAACTGTAATTAATTGACTTTTCTATAATTTTATTGTTTTAATAGTATATAACTCTTGTCGCTAAATTTGTCTTCCTGTCGCTATTTTTTTCTTCTTGTCACTTCTTGATGCTTCCTGTCGCTAAAATTCTTCTTGTTTCTAATTAGTGAGACCGCCTTCCCTACAGGACCGAGGTTCCAAACAAACGATAGGTGATAAAACTCAGGAAAACTAGTGACCAAGGTCAGACAAAGTTATACAAAGGAGACAAGACAGGAGAGAAAGGAGAAACAAGACAAAACATAAACAACTCACTTGTCCAAGCTTTCTGGTTGTAGCTTTTTGGTAGATGTTGGGGTCGGAGTACGACGACCCTTAACTGGCGTCTTTCTGCGTGAAAAAAGTGAATAGTCTACTTGATTATGTTGTGTTTTGTGGAAATATTAAAAAATCAATACATTTTCTGTTCAAATAACAATTATCAGTAGTAATATTTTGTTAATTGAAACTAGTTATTTATTTAGCACAATCAAGGTCAAGTCAAATGAAGTTTCTGCCATCTGATGTTTATTTGTTATATTAATTTCTCTTAATTGTACAAAGTTGAAATGTTTAATGCTATCTTCATTCAAAATTATACACAAATAACTCTATTGCCTTATCAATCCTTTTACATAATGTACCTATAAAAAGACAGATTTGATAATAAGCTTTTATAAAAACGAAAAAGGTCTACTAGAATGTGTTTTTCTTTTTATTTTGATGCATCTCATATCATCCATCAGCATCACAAGAAATGTATGTAGGACACATGTAAATCATCAGACTTGACCTTTGTTCTCAGAACAAAATATTAAGACTAATGTAAAATCTGATATAATTTTTGAAGACCTCAAAATTTCAATAGCAAATCTTTTTCCTGAAGTGAATTATTTGTACAGAAAATGTATTGCCAATTTAGTAAATCAATTTCATATTAAAATTACAAATTTTTCACTTCTATGGTAATTGCTATAAATAATTCTACAAATTATATCTTAGTATTAAAGGTTGATTATTAGTTAATTCCACAACTTATTAATATTGTATCTTTAATCTCGAAAACAAATCATGATAAACTTTTTTTCATTTCATTCTATAACAGTTACATCAAGTTCTGGGGTTTACTACTCCTAAAAATATTTCTGAAAACACAAAAATCCCTAGAACTATATTATACAGTTCCTAAAAAATAATATAATGAGCACTTTAATTCAGACTAAATATAATAAACAATCCATGCTAAGAAGACAATCAAACAAAAAAGCAAGAGAAAAAACAAGAACAAATTCTTTCGTCATTCAGATTTACAATCAGAGGAAAAGCAAAGTATCAAAACATATTGTAAAGGTCTTTGCCAAATATTATCAACCTAGAATTCAGTCTTTTATTTCAATAATGAATCTCATTATACACTTCTAACTTAAAATGAATGCAATAGTATATTAACTTTTTAAAGCCCAAGGCTTTATTTCTATCTGACAAATGAACTTTTATAACAGATAACCAAATAGTTATTGTATTGATATTTGTAATTTTTTTGGAAAAAATATACATGTGAACAGGTTTTGTATGATTTTAAAATTTTTACTATGACAAAATTAAAAGTTTCTTCAAAACTCTTCGAACAGCAAATAGAAACATGAAATTAACTTATTTGGACACACCCGCCATCTGGCCTATTTTTAGAGGCATTTTGATCCATCTTTATATGATTTCCATCCATTTTCATTAAACTTGGTTTACCTATGGACATTTTAGAACCAACCATACTACAAACAGACAATACATACCAGTAAAAAATCTTTTCTGCATTAGTTTTTGACCATAATTATACATTATAAATTTGAGTTTTTGACATTAAATGAATGCATTGCTCCACTTAAGATCATCCAAAAGACCTGCCCAACCCAGAAATTTAATACAAAATATTCTGTTTTCTTTTGCATAAAGATACAATTTCATCTCCAATCTAGCATTTTGATTTTCTTTAAAGATTATCACTATTATTATATCATGCATATTCTTAGACTCATGCACATGGTAGCATTCTATTGATTCATGCCGTGACTTACACATCCCCCGGATCATTTTCTTCCTCCTCTAATGATACGTTACGTTTTGGTAATTCTATTTCACTGATTATATTATCTAGGTCCTCTAAACTGTTGATAAAAACCATCAAAGTTACGTTTCGTAATTAATAATTAATTACTTAAGTGCTTCAACTTCCTTTCTGTTCCTGTTATGCCTCGGAAAACTAAACACTTTAAGAATCTTACTTATTCTCCAAATTTATTATATATTTCTGATTTTTTCAATTTTTAAAGAAAAAACATAGCAATATAAAGAATATTTTTACATTACCATGATTCAAATGGAACTAATTCTATGTTAAATCATATTTGATTTGTAATTAATTGAGATGTTTATTTTTTTATTAGATATACATAAAAATAAACAATACAGGGTGCCTCATTTCAACGTCACTTCACATCAACATGTAACTGTCCCTTAGAGTGCAGAACTCATGCTATAACACTGGTACACAAATGTATTTGTGAAAACTCATTAAGATTGACAGATGGAGTTTAATGTCCAGTGAGTGAATTCTTTAACCAATAAACAACAAAAGCAGATATTCAAAAAGAAAAAAATATTTTTTTTCAAAAACCTTAACCTTTTTTTCTTTTTTCTTTTTATTTCTATACAAATAAAGTAATCTTTTAGCTAGAACTCATTTATATCGAAATGTCTTTAAAATATTTCCAACATAGACAGTGATTAAACCTGTGCTGTAAAATTTGTGATGACCACACATTGTGAATGATTTTCATATTTAAAATCACCACATTATTTTTACTCACGAGGGATATTTTGAGACTTCTTTACGAGACTCATGTTGTCCAGATGAAGAAGCTGATAATCTAATAATAAATCTTTATACATTCAAAACTTTATCTGATGAATCAAACCTATGCTTTTCAATTTTTTATTGTAAACATCACTATACTGTTGAATGTCTCACAATTCTAATTTACTATATAGTCTGCTTTGAAGTAAACATTGCAATCTTGGCAGTCAACTTTGTCATTTTATGCTTTGAAAATTAATGTACAACTAAATATAATGGATTCTTCAAAATCAAAAAACAAACTTTTACAATTCTTTAGGAGTATTAAACTAACAAATCATACATTGGTAAGATAGATGGAAAAATTAACTTTTCATGAAGCATACACAATTATTAAATGCTATTTAAGGAGAAATTATTTGGATAAATCTGAGCTCTATTCTATTTTCTAGATTGCTAACAAAATAATTTTACATATACAAAAGCAGTTCATTAATCATAAAACCTGTCAAACGAACAGAAAAAAATTGTAAATGCCTATACCTTTCTTCTTCCTGACTACGTCCAGCAGGACTGGTGGTTGTGGTAGGACGTGATGCCCTAGATTTGCCCCTGTTAGCGTTTAAGGTCTGTGGTACACCCATTTGATTGAGAATGTGTTGCATCTCACTATAGTAGTCTCTAGGTTCACTTATGTCATTTGCCCTGCAGAAACAGATGAATTATCAATACTGTGGATTTGAACACTGAAGAAAATTCACTCAAATTAACTAAATGTTACTCATAATTATAATTTTGTTTGTATCAACTCTACAGAACTATTTTTATTGTATCTGTTTTGTCTCTTTTTTTTTTTTAGTTAAAAAAATTGATACTTTTTTTAGCTGACTGTAATCTCTGTCCCAGTGAGAAGTCATTTTTTATGCTATAAATTCTCACAAAAAGATTCTAGTTCAAAATTCCTGGTTTACAAGAATGCAATATGAAATTTGTGGAGAGGACACTACATTTGTAAAGGTTTGAGTTGAATATTCAATAAATGAAGCATAAATACTCAGTTGTTACTATACTTACACTTTTAATTTCAATATTTTGTAATAAACTGCTAATTCAGGAGAATTTTTCACATCTTTGTGCAACTTGGCTGCTTCAAGCAATTGGTTTCTAACCTAAAATATATATGCAACAAATTTTTTTGTTAAAAACATTACCAGAAAAGTACCATATAAAATGGTTGACTGTTTAGCCCCATTGTAGCTAATTTCATGTCAGTGTTAAGATGGGGATTTTTATTCCAACTATCCAAGTTTCTTGTAACATTTGCCAATAGTTGGGCAGGATCTGCATACCCTTCAGAAGCAAATGAGTTCAACCCTGATTTTGGTATGGTTCGTGCTGCTTAGTCTTTATTCTAAATGTAGTGTTTTGTGGACTTGTCTTTTTGTTGTTTTTCATTTTTTTGCTATGTTGTTGTCAGTTCCTGTTTCACCTTTGAACTTTGAATGTCCCTTTGGTATTTTTAGATACTTTTCTTCATTATCCATTGATAGGCACACTCAAGCAGTAAGTTGGAAAACCACATAGTCTATAAACATACGAAAGGCTTCAATTCAAATGTAAGTGAAACATTTTATTATTTATATATTCAAAAATAAATTCAAAATGCCTAAATGGTTAAAGTCAATGTCTTTTTCATTTAGTTTTCTTCTTACCGAAACAAAATTAGCACAATAGTGTATACACTGATAAAAGAAAGATGTGTGTTACGAATCTATGAGACATCATTTTTTAAGGTAGAGACAAATCTAAATTAAAATATTGAAATGAAGCTTACAATGAGGCCAAAAACTTGTTTGTATAACTGAGGAACATTCTGTTTAATGAATGAAGCTGCAGGACCAGCTATTCCTGTGGCATCTGTCTTCTTACCAGCATCTAAATGGCATTCTATAAGTGCACTAAAAAAATAGGGAAGTGATTAATGGACTTTTTATGTACAACAAATGTTAACCGTTTACCTAGGTTATACTGACCTAACAGTTGGAAACAGCAATCTCATTCATGAAAACTGATGGTGTTGGATAAACTATAAAGTTTTGCAAACATTCATAGAGAATCAACTTCAATATTTTGACCCAGGATAGGTTTACAAACTTAGTTTGTGACAGAACCTGATATTTCAGCTGAACATTCTAAATTTCTATCACGATTTAATACTATTACTAGGTTTCTTGGTTACCGGATATATCCATCTTGTCAATGACTGACTGTTGTCTCATTACTAATGAAATCTAAAACAGCTTGACTCATCTATTCTCCAACTATAACAAGCAATCAATTTTCATAATGGATATCTCAAATCTAACAGAAATCTGATTATCATTCAAACAGAATATTTTATGTTTGTATCTGTATTTTTAAATAGGTTCATGTGCAACCTATTATTTTTCTGTTACTTTTATGATTCAATAGTACATGTTGCAAGTTATATTGGAGGAATTTTGATAATCATCAACCACAGGAGGTATATTACATACATACATATTTTTTTTCTCAAAATTAAAAGCAACAATAGGAAACAAAGTATATTACATCATCAACTGAGCTCTCCATTCAAAGTCTTGGTCATCAATATCATCCAAAGCCTTCACTACTTGATGTAAGCTGTGGGCAAGATATTGTCTGTATCTGGGTTTCAGAAAAGGACGACAGAACTGCCAGTAAATCACTGATGCATTGTAAACCAGAAAATGGTATCTGAAAAGAAAAATTAATAAAATGCAGAGATTTTAAAAATTATAAATACAAACCAGGATTCTTATCAAAAGACTCTAAATAACAATCATTATTGGACATGACAAAAAAAAATTTTGAAATAAAACTATCACAACTTTAAAAAAAAGCTAGTTATAGAAAGGTAAAGGTGTAATCCATTAAAACTGAATTCATGAGGTTAGATTAACTATTTGAAGAAAATGTATTCTTGTAAGGAGATAGAGTTGTCTCCCATGGACCAAATGCTGTTGTTGCATAAAAACAACATATCACAACACCATGCATACTTATTTGTATTTAACAAAAATATTTTAATAATTTTACAATGAAATAATTTTGATCCCAACACTCTTGATTTTGTCCTGGTGTATGTATCATATACTATAACTGTGAAAGTCCATCATATTCTTTGTATTAACTGGTTCACATCATGTATGTCTTATCATGTTTTTTTCAAACTGAGAAACAACAACTTAACTGCCCTGTCTGACCTAAGTCAGGTATCTGGATTAGTTGTTGTCACTATCTCTACATAATTAATCTTTAATCTTTGAATAATTTTCTGTCAGATGTAAGGTCATCTGTTATTTTACTCACAACCTGTCTAAACTTAAGGTGATTCAGAGCATGTTAAATGGTTTCAGTGATTGTCCATTGTTGAAGGTTAGATGGTGATTATCTTGGATAACTTTTGTTTTTGAGTTGCTGTCTCATTATAGTAAACCCCTCATTTCTCTTTATCAACAAGTAAATACTAGCCTACTTATGAAAGAGTTCATTTAACATACCTTGGATTGTTTTTGGCAAAATTGATGGCTTTTATCAGATAAACAACAGCTTTTTCTAACTGTTCCTACAAAAATAAAACAAAATTATATAAATAATGCTTAAATAACTCAATGGAAATTTTTCATTCATGTAAAAACATCTGGTAGGCATATTCATTTAATATTGGGTTTCTTGATATTAGACCCCCCAAAAACAAAAACAAAATGTCAAAACAGTTAAAGCACTTATAATTCCTGTTATTAAATTGGTTGCAAAGAATTACCTTGATTTCCCAGTGAAATAAAAACCGATAATTTCACATGTGAAATACATCTGCCAATTTCACTTATCTGGCGTCATACAACAAGGGGTGTTGTCAAGACGTTATCTATGACTTTGCATCAAAAAGAAATTGAGAATGCATGGAAAAAAATATAGTTCCTTTCATTTTCTACCTTATTTCAATTAATAAGTCCATGGTCAACTAATCTAAGAATTAAAATATAGAAAAATATTCAACTTGTGACCGACCAACACTGATAATTAACTCATGGGCTACACACATTTGTGAGTTAAATTAATAATGTGATGTTCTGTCACTTGTTGAATATTTTTCTATATTTGAATTTTTGGGTTAGTTATTCTATAATTATTATAAGAAGTATAACAACATATATATAGATCTCATATAAAATCTCCAATAAAACACTGACTGCAATGACTAAGTATAACAACATATATATAGATCTCATGTAAAATCTCCAATAAACCACTGACTGCAATGACTAAGTATAACAACATATATATAGATCTCATGTAAAATCTCCAATAAAACACTGACTGCAATAACTAAGTATAACAACATATATACAGATCTCATGTAAAATCTCCAATAAACCACTGACTGCAATGACTAAGTATAACAACATATATATAGATCTCATGTAAAATCTCCAATAAACCACTGACTGCAATGACTAAGTATAACAACATATATATAGATCTCATGTAAAATCTCCAATAAACCACTAACTGCAATGACTAAGTATAACAACATATATATAGATCTCATGTAAAATCTCCAATAAAACACTGACTGCAATGACTAAGTATAACAACATATATACAGATCTCATGTAAAATCTCCAATAAACCACTGACTGCAATGACTAAGTATAACAACATATATATAGATCTCATGTAAAATCTCCAATAAACCACTGACTGCAATGACTAAGTATAACAACATATATATATAGATCTCATGTAAAATCTCCAATAAACCACTGACTGCAATGACTAAGTATAACAACATATATATATAGATCTCATGTAAAATCTCCAATAAAACACTGACTGCAATGACTAAGTATAACAACATATATATAGATCTCATGTAAAATCTCCAATAAAACACTGACTGCAATGACTAAGTATAACAACATATATACAGATCTCATGTAAAATCTCCAATAAACCACTGACTGCAATGACTAAGTATAACAACATATATATAGATCTCATGTAAAATCTCCAATAAACCACTGACTGCAATGACTAAGTATAACAACATATATATAGATCTCATGTAAAACCTCCAATAATCCACTGACTGCAATGACTAAGTATAACAACATATATATAGATCTCATGTAAAACCTCCAATAAACCACTGACTGCAATGACTAAGTATAACAACATATATATATAGATCTCATGTAAAATCTCCAATAAACCACTGACTGCAATGACTAAGTATAACAACATATATATATAGATCTCATGTAAAATCTCCAATAAACCACTGACTGCAATGACTAAGTATAACAACATATATATAGATCTCATGTAAAATCTCCAATAAACCACTGACTGCAATGACTAAGTATAACAACATATATATAGATCTCATGTAAAATCTCCAATAAACCACTAACTGCAATGACTAAGTATTACAACATATATATAGATCTCATGTAAAATCTCCAATAAACCACTGACTGCAATGACTAAGTATAACAACATATATATATATAGATCTCATGTAAAATCTCCAATAAACCACTGACTGCAATGACTAAGTATAACAACATATATATAGATCTCATGTAAAATCTCCAATAAACCACTGACTGCAATGACTAAGTATAACAACATATATATATATATAGATCTCATGTAAAATCTCCAATAAACCACTGACTGCAATGACTAAGTATAACAACATATATATATATAGATCTCATGTAAAATCTCCAATAAACCACTGACTGCAATGACTAAGTATTACAACAGATATATAGATCTCATGTAAAATCTCCAATAAACCACTGACTGCAATGACTAAGTATTACAACATATATATAGATCTCATGTAAAATCTCCAAAAAAACACTGACTGCAATGACTAAGTATAACAACATATATATAGATCTCATGTAAAATCTCCAATAAACCACTGACTGCAATGACTAAGTATTACAACATATATATAGATCTCATGTAAAATCTCCAATAAACCACTGACGGCAATGACTAAGTATAACAACATATATATAGATCTCATGTAAAATCTCCAATAAACCACTGACTGCAATGACTAAGTATTACAACATATATATAGATCTCATGTAAAATCTCCAATAAACCACTGACTGCAATGACTAAGTATTACAACATATATATAGATCTCATGTAAAATCTCCAATAAACCACTGACTGCAATGACTAAGTATTACAACATATATATAGATCTCATGTAAAATCTCCAATAAACCACTGACGGCAATGACTAAGTATAACAACATATATATATATAGATCTCATGTAAAATCTCCAAAAAAACACTGACTGCAATGACTAAGTATAACAACATATATATAGATCTCATATAAAATCTCCAATAAACCACTGACTGCAATGACTAAGTATTACAACATATATATAGATCTCATGTAAAATCTCCAATAAACCACTGACTGCAATGACTAAGTATAACAACATATATATATAGATCTCATGTAAAATCTCCAATAAACCACTGACTGCAATGACTAAGTATAACAACATATATATAGATCTCATGTAAAATCTCCAATAAACCACTGACTGCAATGACTAAGTATAACAACATATATATAGATCTCATGTAAAATCTCCAATAAACCACTGACTGCAATGACTAAGTATAACAACATATATATATAGATCTCATGTAAAATCTCCAATAAACCACTGACTGCAATGACTAAGTATAACAACATATATATAGATCTCATGTAAAATCTCCAATAAACCACTGACTGCAATGACTAAGTATAACAACATATATATATAGATCTCATGTAAAATCTCCAATAAACCACTGACTGCAATGACTAAGTATAATAACATATATATAGATCTCATGTAAAATCTCCAATAAACCACTGACTGCAATGACTAAGTATAACAACATATATATATAGATCTCATGTAAAATCTCCAAAAAACCACTGACTGCAATGACTAAGTATAACAACATATATATAGATCTCATATAAAATCGCCAATAAACCACTGACTGCAATGACTAAGTATAACAACATATATATAGATCTCATGTAAAATCTCCAATAAACCACTGACTGCAATGACTAAGTATAACAACATATATATATAGATCTCATGTAAAATCTCCAATAAACCACTGACTGCAATGACTAAGTATAACAACATATATATAGATCTCATGTAAAATCTCCAATAAACCACTAACTGCAATGACTCACTTCATTAATATACATATTTAAGCCATTCAAGTATTTATATTTTAACAGATAAATCATATTTTCTGTTAATTTAACATACTGTGGATTCATTATTATTCGTTGGATACCAATTTTCCTGGGTTCCATGGGTACAGGGAAACCATGAATTTAAATGTTCAACAAATTACAAATTTTAAATAGGCTTGTATGAAGAAATTGGCAAAACCACGAAATCAAATATCCACGAAAAAGGAGGTTTTCCTCATCCACGAAATTTGGTACCCACGAAATTAAATGAATCCACAGTATGACATAATTTCAGACATTTATGAGTCAATTCTGATTACATTGATCATGTTGATTTCATTGTATTATTCTGAAAAGTGATTATCAACACCATTTTACAATTGCACTTGTCTTTTTGTATTTAGAATATAAAGATCATCATGGATATTAAAAGTCTAGTTGGCTTACAGGATCGTTAGCTTCTTTAGGTGCTAACAACTGTGCCTGACACAGGTAAGCTCTACACAGGAACTGGTTTCCTGGTGGTGGTTTCATAAAGTACATCTTCAAACACTCCCTTGCCATCTCGGTTAACCCATTCTGTAAAAGACAATATTGAATTATCATGAAAATGAAAAATATTAACCCATGTACACATGTAGATTATCAATACATTTTGAAAATGGAAAAATTTAAATACATGATATAAATCCAGTAACTACTTACAAATCTACACTATTAATAAACCTTTGAAGGGAAAGCAAAAAAAAAACAGGTTGACAAGTTGCCAGCGTTTCATTTTCTGATACCAAACAGTCATGAATTCAGAAAAGCATAGATTAAGTTTCATTTAAATGTAGTCATGTGTAGAAAGGAAGTCCAAGTCAACGACTTTGACTTGCCAGATGTCATATCTTCAAACTAATTTGATTCTAATGCTGAAAGATAACAGACTAATATTTAATCATCTGTGAGTATTGAAACATACTATAATACAATACTGTAAAAAGTATAAGTGTTTTTGAAGGCCTATAAATTCAAAGTTAAAAATCTTTTTGTTTTCTGTGTTATGAAATAATTATATTTTATAATTATATTTCATATTTATGAAATAATTATATTTCATATTTTAAGTGATGAAACTGTACCTGAAATGCAGTTTCAGCACATATGACATAGAGATCTGGACCAAAAGATTCTGGGGCATCTATTGCTGGTTTACTCTCAGCTACATTTCTCAATAAACTGTAAGCTTGATGCAGTGGCTGATTTTTCTCTGGCCCTGTAAAACACCATAACATCATTTTCATACAAAATTATACTGAAAACATGATAATTACAGACAAAACCTGTCAAGATTTGAAGGTTCAGATTTAACAAAATAATTGCCAGTGATAATTCTTATCATTCTTAATGGACAAATATTTACATATTATCATACGTTTGCCTGGACAGTGTTCCCTAGATGGTTTATGCAACGAGTCCTGGCTGCATGTGATGTTTGTGCTTTTTGATAGGACATTTTGGCTTTAATTCATAGGACATTTGCGCTTTATCAACATAACTTTTGAGTTAAAAGTTTAAAAATCATTTAATATAAAAAAAAACACAACATATTCATATAAAAGATTTAATCTTTTGCCATCATCCTTGTGTCAGATGAAAATGACAGCACTTAAAGAGGGGCCAGGGCAGATGAAAGTTAATTCCTTAAAACAACCATGACTCTTTAATTCAAAGTCAACATGAACAGCAGGGGGTTAAAAATCAAATTTCGTTCTTCACAAAGTGTATAAAGCTGCTTGAAGAATTTAGGGCAAAATTTGAATGTTCCATCCATAATAATATCATTTTCTCTATCGTATACCTGTCAGTATTTTTTTTTCTTCTGATTTTGTGGTTTGTACGGGAGAACTTTCAAGAATGAATAAAGATCTTTCCTTAACTTCGCTAAAGTATGGTTAAGATGGCAGTTAAAATATAAGTAAAAAGCACAGCCCAATCAATTAAGTTCAGGTGTAATAAAGTTTACAGCGCAAATGTACAGTCCTTTTGTGTTACAAGTAAAACAGTGCAAATGTTTTATCCCTAGGCAGCAAGGCCACCTCAACATCATAATATAATTCTACACAGGCACAAGCCAATTATATTTTATATCTTGTAGTATATAATTTGGGTGCTCTGTGTTCGTGGTAAAAAGATGATCAGCATATATTCACACATTGTTACATACAGAAAATAGTGAATTGCAAATATCTGTCTGAATAGTATGGCCGCAAATTACAAAATGTATATATATGGTTCTTTACCATTCTTGCACTGAGATAACTTCAACAACCTACAGCATTTAAATTGATTCCAGTTTTAATTCTTTTCCAGATTTTTTGTAAAACATAAGTGCACATGATTTCTTGCACATTTTTATCTGAAGAGCATCTAATTTCCCAAATTTATCTGATTACCGAACAGCATGATAGGCCATTGGTTTTCTCTTTTGAATTGTTTTACATTGTTGAAGGCTGTAGAATTGTGACGTATAACTGCTTGCCATTTATTATCTACCTGATTTGATCTCTGATGGATACACTGGATAGTTATCTAATTGACATTCAAACCATATCGTTTAGTCCACTTTAAAAGGCCCCGACACGAAAAATGTGAAACAATTCAATTGAGAAAACTAATGGCCTATAACAAAACAATTTACTAAAACAATTATGACAGAGACTGACTTACTTGAAGCTGCATTTGTCTAATAATATTTGGGGATTTATTTGTTTTAAAGGTTTTCTGTATTCAGTTTGATTTTTTTCACGTGTATGTGAAATTATATATAGTCGGTTAAAGAGCTCACAAGAGCTCATGTTTGTCTGTTATTGTGTACATATATGCCAACTTTAGATAAAAATTACTTACATTGTACTTAGGCCAAAAATATGATGTTAGATGTTGTCCTACCTACCCCAAAAAATTTATGACACAAATCGTTCCAAATTTTTTTTTGTAAAAGATTTTTTCCTGCTCTAATGTCTTTTTCTTGTCTAAAACATGGTGTTGGCCAAAAAAAATAAAATCCCTACCCACCTAGCGAACCCTACAAGAAATGTAAACGAGAGTCAGTGTACTTCATTGTAACAAATGAAATAATTAGCACCGAAACTAATTTCTATATAAACACTACTTTCTGATATATTCTATTTCATAGTTTATCTGGCATATTTAATTTCCATTTCATTGTAACCAACATGACCAATGTAATAATTTTCAATATAAAGTTCAAAAACTGTTTTGCCATAACCATTCATTGTAAATGAATTTTGCCAAATATATATTGTCTCAAAAATTTTAATGGCATTATTTTCTATAGCCCAGGGTCTGATTTCTGTATAAATACAACTTTCATTGCATTCTAAATTAACTAGCAAATTTAGTGCTTTGCACAAATCAAAGATTTTTTCACCATGGACTGCTCTTTTAACCATGTTAACTGGTTCTTCAGCAATATCTTTGAAGAATCTGAGTCAAAGCTAGTTGTAACAACAATCATGATTTTCAAAAACAGAACAATCATACCAAATTTGACTTTGTAAATACAAATTAACAGTAATCACATGAAATTAATATTTAATAATTAATTATCAATTCACTGAAAAATATTTCATTTAAAAATTACCGAATTTTTATTACTGAAAATTTAGATATGTTGATAAATTCACCTAAAAACATCTAATAATTCAACCAGTATTTGAAAAAATAGGGTGCATACGAACCCAGGAGGAGAACGTGTGAGGAGCGAACATGTAGGATGCGAACGAGTATTGGGAGCGAACGGACCCGATACCATCTTTGAAAAACTTGAGTGTTTGTTTTTTTTTTTAAATTATGTTGATTTTTCTTGTTGTCAGTAAGACCCTCAATTGCAAACTGTTAGGAATTGATGTACCTGAATGTTTTTGTGCTGCAGCCAAGAGAGTTCTTATACTTGTATCCATATTTGCTATTTATTTTGGATTTTTTTATTTTTAAGAGCACATTACTGTTCAGCAGACGCCATGTTGTTTGGCCTTTCGTAGTAATTCGGTTGACCAATTCGCTACAAAATAGTTTAATAGTTAGTATTACATTTGCCTAAAATTTGGTAAGTGGTGCTATTTTTTTTCTAAGATGTTTTCATATATTCTTTGAATTTTAACCTTAAAAGCACGTTATTGCTAAAATAACACCACAAAATGGTTTAAAATTTTCAAATTGCGGATGGATATATTGTCGTAGAAACAGTGTACTTCCGGCAAAATGCTTCCGGTTTTTGAAAGACTGGTTTTCGGTATTTATTCAGTGTTATTCTTGGCTAAAAACATATTTCAGAACCAGTTTAAAACTTAATGCAGACGAATCATAACTCCAAAGTTGTACACAATCAAGTTAAAAAACTATTCGATCTTAAAGAAATCATGTTGACTTTAACAGTTTAATTCCGAATTTGAATTATAGATGGCAACATCAGGACAGAAAAGGCTGGGTTCAGGCGGCTTGCCATCCAGAACACCACTTTTCGGTGCAAACAAAGCAGCAAGTTCAAAAGCAGAGAGCTCTACCAAATCTCAACAAAGCACAAGATTGACAAAACCATCAGATAAATTAAACCCCAAAACAGTAGACCCTGTAAGTGGAATGTCATAGACTTTATCCCTATTTCACCCCAGTTTTTGGTGGAGTTCGTGTTGCTCAGTCATTAGTTTTCTATGTTGTGTTTTGTGTACTGTTGTTTGTTGTTCTTTTTCTTTTTTAGCCATGGTGTTTTGTCAGTATATTTTCGACAAATGAGTTTGACTGTCCCTTTGGTATCTTTTGCCTCTCTTATTATTAATTATATATGAGATTTCGATTTTATGAATGAACTGGCCAGTTGACCTGGGGTCATTTGCCATGATGTGGGAGGAAAAGTGTGAGGGTAGGAATGCCCTTTACCGTCAGGCGTCAAACGGTCATTTTCGGCTACACTGTACGTTAGCGTCAAATTGGTTTAAATTTTACCGTGATTCGTCAAAATATCCTTATCGTGATTCGTCAAAGGTCTGAAATAATTATCGTTACCGTTATTTTAGGAAAAAATTTAACGTGATTTGTCAAAATCAGTTGATTTTTTTACCGTCTGAAAGAAAGGGTACATTTTATCGTCATGCACCAAAAATTACCGTTTTTCGTCATGAAGGTACCCTCATTATGACCCTCAAGTGTCATAGCACCTTGTGATGTAAAGATAGTTGCTTTGTGACGTCAAATTTTTCCTGGAAAAAGCATCAATTGGAAGATTATGTATTTAGAGAATGTCTTTGATTTTCACTAATGGTGTACAAATAGCAAATAGAATATTAAAATGAAAATCAGTTGTCTTTAGGTAAATTACAATATTCTGTAGGTGTGGCTGTTGACACTAGTTAATGTTGGTAATAAATTTACCTCTCGTGTGTAGAATTGTAGAATTGTCGCACTGGTAACTAATGCTTATGTAAGTAATTATAATAATTTAACACATGCTACCAATTTCAGTGCAAACAACAAAAGTTCCTAGTACAAAATCCATCAGGCATGTGTCAGGCAAATTAAAAAAAAAATTTGAAGTACAAAGCATCAGAGTCTAAATAGGCTTTATTAGAACAGTCAGAATTGTCCAGGTCTTCTTTGTCTGTGTATGGGAGCTACAAATTTAGTTTTATTCACAGGCACTTGAAATCCATTGTCTGTGTGATTCGGTTGATGTGAATTAATTTGTTTCATTATTTAATGTATATTCTAAATGCCAAATACTTAGTAATATTAACATGATAAAGAAACAGCAAATACCCATATTAGTTTATGGTTTGGCATTGCCTTAGATTGAATCAAGAACACTACCACACGACCATTGAGGGTGTGTTTCTGTTAGTAACAATTAATTAGTTTCATTATTTAATGTATATTTTCAGTTTAGCTCATCATCAAAGAGTCAGTCAGCATTTGCAGCTGTCTATACAAAAGGAGGGGTACCATGCAGGTATGTACAATGAAGATAATAACTAACCACTCGTATCTTGGTTCATTATTTTAGCATATTTGTTAAAAAGGAAGAATATTCTGATATCTTTTTACTGCTATTCTTTTAAAATAGCATTGATTACTTATAAAATGGATGGTTCTCAAAATCTGCCAGCCTATCCAGATTCATTGTCTACTCAGTATCATGGCCAACATAGAATTAAAAACTGAAAGAGTATATTACAGATGTGCCACCAACTTTAGCTGCCTTCTTTAAATCTTTTTTGAGAACCCTGTGTTAGTAGGAAAAGGGTTAAAGTTTCATAGGTTTTGTTAACAAATCTTCTTGAGTTCTGCAATAATGGTAATTCTATAATAGAAAGATTTGGTGAATTTCAGATAAAATTGATACAGTGTAAGTCTGTTGTTTAGTTGAAGGCAAGGATTCTTAGTGTTGGATTGCTGTAGCATTGATGTATACCCAAAACCTTGTTTTATTTAAATTCTTTGACATTGATTTTCTAGAAGTGACATCAAATTATGATGATGTACTTGCCATTAACAGTAATCCTGAAAGTGGTTTAATGATATGATGCTGTTGTTAAATTAATCAATATTTCATCAGATGTTTTCATCATTCAAGTTAGAATTTGTATAGGAACTTAGGTATAGAACATGTACATGTAGAAAGAAAATATTCAGGTAAATTTTCTTTGCAGTTCATATAATTTAAAAATAGTAAAGGGATACAAATGTACAGTTAAAAAAAATCAGATACACACAGTAAAGTCTACATTGTTATCAAAGGGCCTCATTTACTTACAAAATTTATATATTTTCAAATTAAGGTAATATTGATTTAACAGTGTCTTTTCAAATTATTACGAAAATGAGTGATATATTTGCTTTAATATCTTTTATATATGCAGGTTGCAACATGGATCTGTGAAACACAAATTAGGATGGGATACTCATCCAGATCAGCTTCCTTTTGATCCTGTGTTAGTAACATTATCAGAGGTAGGATGATCTATTAAGTATTTGTCATGGATATCAGAAAATTTCAGGTAAATGCAGCATGTTGCAGGATATAACTACAGAAATCCAGACATTTATTTATAATTTTCACCAATTTTTTTGGCCTTACAAAGTGAAAAGTATCACACACATACACACTTGTAAGTTCTTTTATGTCACCAGCACAGTTAAGGTGCCTTGTGATCAGTGCAAAAGAAATGACACATTATTCTCTTTTGAAACGATATTTATGCTATAAACTACTTGTAATAACTCACATAGATTACTCAGGTTTAAACAGAGTGCAACTGTATAATAGTCACCCTTTTTGCATACATTTGTTATTAAACATAAAAGAGACCAGCTGGTATCTGGAAGGTCAGGCAATATTGAATAAACCCTTTAACCTGGTATGTGTAAGGTCAATATTTTTTTCAATTGTTTTCCCCAAGAGAAAAAACAAAAGATTAAAAATGCCGATTGAATAATTTCCAGTTGCTCCCTTAAACCACACTTTATGCACAACCAAGTTAATTAATGTATGGTTAAGCTAATTTGTTTATAAAACATTAAAAATAATTTTTCATAATCTATAACAATGTATTGCTAATTATTTATCATGTTAATCAAAGATAACCTTAGTTAAATAGTCATGGGAAAAGAATATCATAAATCAATACAGTGGTCAATGACGGGAGATTTAATTACAGGTGTATTGTCAGATCAACTCTTCAATCCATTTGAATCCCCAACTTCACATTTTGACATATGTGTATTGGTTCAAGATAATTGACATAATTTAAATGCTTTTTTGTTTCGCCTGCTACAAAAGTCGCAGTATGCGAGACATACGGTAGGTATAACTATGCGGCAGCGTAAACTATTTGTTTAAAGCTTTATATTTCAGAAGGTAGAAGACCTGGATGATTCATATCTTGTATGCAGATACCTTATGTTACAAAGTGACTGTCTGTCATATGTCCAATGTCCTGGACCTCATTATCATGGTTCAGTGACTGCTTGAAAAAAAATTTGAGTTTTTTTGTCATGTGAATTTCTCACTTATTCATGTTATTATGAGTAATAGGATAACTATATTTGGTATATGGGTTCCTTTCAACATCTTAATGTCCGTCAGACAGGGTTCACCTGACCTCGACCTCATTTCATGGATCAGTGATTAAGGTGAAAGTTACATGATTAGGTCCGTTTCTCAAATACTATAAGCAGTAGGTCAACTATATGTGGTGTATGGAATGACTGGTTTGGGTACATGTCAGTCTGGCAGGTTTAATCTGACCTTGACCTCATTTTCATGGTTCATTGGTCAATGTTAAATTTGTTTTTATACAACCGCAAAACAATTTTGCGGTCGTATATTGGTATGACGTTGGCGGAGTCGTCGTCGTCCAAAGACACATTGGTTTTCGCACAATAACTTTAGTTTAAGTGAATGGATCTCTATGAAATTTTACCATAAGGTTCAATACCACAAAAGGAAGGTTGGGATTGATTTTGGGGGTTATGGTACAAACAGTTAAGGAATTAGGGGCCAAAAATAAGCATTTTTCTAGTTTCCAGACAATAACTTGTGGAACGGTGTATGGATCTCTCTGAAATTATACCACAAGTTTCCATACCACAAAGGGATGGTTGGGATTTGCTTTTGGGGGTTATGGCTCAAACCGTTTAGGAATTAGGGGCAAAAAAGGGGGAAAACAAGGGTGTCCTGGTTAATGGACAAATACTTTAGTACAAAACATAATTTAAAGCAGTGTAAGGGAGGTAATTCAAATACATCATTTGAATTACCTCCCTTACACTGCTTTCAAATTATGTATAAAGTAATGGTTAATGAACAATTAAGACAATTTAAAAGCAGTGTAAGGGAGGTAATCCAAATACAATGTTTTGATTACCTCCCTCACACTGCTTTTAAATTATGTTTAAAGAAATACATATTTCGGTAGACCAGTAAAAATATCTGCAAATGTTGCACCTTTTTTTTTACAAAAAAATCCATATGAAAGATTTGACACCATATTTTAAATTCTATTATAAAATAGATTAAGTTAGCACTATGGTAAATTTAAATGGGTAATTATGGTTGCAAACTCCATTGGAAATTTGAATTGAGATTATGACCATATCTTGAGGGAAAGAATTTTTTTGGGGGAAAGGGGGGGGGGGGGGGGTAAAAAGAAATTGTGGGGGGTCAATTTTTTCTTATTTCAGATTTCAGAAATTAAAAAGAAAAATTCTTCAAATATTCAGTTTGTGATTCAGTCTGAAAGACTGTTTTCAGTGAATAGATCTGAAATTGTAACTAACATTGCATACCAAGAACATTTTGTTTTAACAGCAATTTTGTTAAAAATTAAACTTGCATATACAGTCATTGAGAATAACAATGAATAATACTTTTTTCACATGATTTATTCTTTTTTTATGATTAAGGGTCTGCAAGAAAGCATACATCCCTACTCATTTGTAGCAAGGACAGGCTTTAAAGAAATGTTAGAATCCAATGGTGCCATTGAGAAAGTATTACCACTCCTGCCAAAAGTTTGCTATGGTGTTCGAGCTGCCCTAGTAAGTGTTATAATTCCTACCAAAAGTCTATACATAAAGTTAAAGGTCACACTGACTTGAAATTTAGTACACATGTTCATTATAATGAGAACTTTCTAAAATATATGCCTAATTGGTAATCGATAAAGACAATACATTGACCTGTAGTTGTTATTTTTGTAGTAATCTTATTGCCGAAATGATGTCTTACTTTTATCACCATACTTTATAACAATATATATTGTGGAAAGAAGTTTAATTAATTACAAATAATATTTGATCTGATGTGATTTTTTTCAGGGCAACAAAAACAGTGATGTATTTGCAGCAGGACTAGAGGCCACAATACAATTAAGTAATCTGACAGGACCTCACTTAAACCCACATCTTAAAAATCTTCTTGTTCCTGTAAGTTTGATAGAAATTTGAAAAAAATCAGAATTCTCCACTAATATTTGTTTCCCCCTAAATTTTAAAACTGTAAACTATAATCTGCAGATAATGTTATTATTATTAATGACTGTGTGGAATGATGTTTCACCTAAAGTATCTGTAGAATTTGTCCCATTTAGTGTTTCCTATATACTAAGATATCACAGTAAGCTGGTTCATGTCCGCATTAAAGTGAGTATAACAGAAAAGTAACAAAGTTTCACTTATTTGATTTGCATAATTTAAAAAGAGTAATTCTGTTCTAACGTAGACTGTTTAATCTTTTCTTATCACTTAGCAAAGTTTTTACCAAGAAGCTACTTCTCTGAAATCACTGGTGCAATTGCACAAACCAAACTTTGCCACAATTACCAAGCTTTTTTACTATGATAATGCTTCTGACCAATCAACTTGGCCAATGTTACTTTGAATAGAACATACGGGTAAAATAGGCAAAAACAATACATATAAATCATATGCTGCATACTTGTTGTCCAGCAAAATTTTTCCACGAAAGACCACATATCAGTGGGGTTAGACTGGGTTAATGCTACTGCTTCAATTCTTTTAAAGGTTCCAACAGGGATTTTAATGCTATTGAAATAAAGAAATTCTGTTCATTGTGCTCTCCTGTAGAGTTAAATTACATCAAGTGCAGGGTTCTCACTAAGGAATTTTGAATGGCGAGTCCAAGACTTGTCATGTTTGGCCATGGTGAGTACAACAGTGAGAAGATGAAATTTTATTGCTATATCATTTATTATTTCAGTCCTCATGACAAAAGTATAGCAAGGAAATAACATCAAGTTTTGATTATTTTTAAACTTTTGTCATAAAATGATGATATTTGTGCTCAGTTGACACAACATTTTACTATCTTGATGCTTCTTTGGACTCACCAGTTTTGAAAATGATGAGTCCAGGACTCATTGACTCACCTTAGTGAGAACCCTGAAATGCCCTTTAATTACTTAATTCCTATTTCATATTTGAAATGTGGGAAAAACACTAGATATAACAATGTATTATGCAAGATGAGTGGTCAAGGTGCCTGCATATATTTAATTGACCCCAATTATAAATTTCACTTGAAAGAAAATAATTATTTTAATTCCTTTCATATGTTTCTAAAATAAGTGTCAACAGGAACATTCAAGACAAAAGTTTTGAAAGCAAAAATATGATATGTCAGAGAGCTTTAAAAAATGCATAATATTATAGAGCAAATATTTGCCCAAAAATTGCTACTTCAGACAAATGACAGGACAGCATAACTTATTATATTAAAGCAGAACTCTCATCATACATCTATACTATTAAATGAGAAGACCTCATTTTGTGTGTCGCTTCTCTTCCTTCCTCTATAAATTAATCATCATGCCTCTATGTCCTATAGGTACCATGCATAGTCACATTTGTCATCCTGGCTTATAATTATTCAGTTTGGGTTATTTTGGGAGGAAAACGAAAATAAAGGCGTCCGAATATTGTTTCCGTCATCGGAAGGACTTTTAAGTCATAGACAAGTCTTCTGTTTAGGACTGTTTTAAAATTACTCATAATTTTCATAAGTACTTGGGGACAGGACAATTATTTTCACGTTTTTCTGTATACTATGATCATACATATACTATAAATAAAGTGTATTTGCTATTTACTATCAATTCCAAGTTTACTATCTACGGCGGTCACTGATTAATTATATAGAGAGTGACCGCCATGGATAGTATTAAACTTGGAATTGATAGTAAATAGAGTCTCTATATAATCAGAGACATATATATACGAAAATAATTGAAATTAACAGAAAACAAAAAATAACAGACTTTGGAAAAAAGGGGGAGGGCTAAAAAAATTGTCCTGTCCCCAAGTACCTATGATTTTTGATACCTTTCCTGAAATTCTCCAGTCATAAAATCTTTTGCAAAAATTCATCCTACAACAGTTTACATACTTTCAACCACGCTCTAAATGCCAGCGATTTCGCAGGTGTGCTCTAGTATTATATAACTAAATGACTTACGAAAAAAATAAGATGTACAGGGTATACCTCAATGAAAGAAACTCTTAAATCACAATACTATAAAAAAGACATCCATAGGCAACACGAGATATTTCATAAAATACATTCTGTGTCTAAACAATTTTTAAATGAATTTAACAGAGAGAACCAAAAATATGAAAAAAATGATTTCCAAATTTTTTGAATGGGAACTTTTTAACCTCTTAGCTTTTTATAGAAACTATTTTTGTCCAAAAAAGCACATATTAGGTTAACAATTGCAAGTTCCTGACTGCCATATAGCCTAACTTCCAATTTCATTGTTTAATATGATCAAGTATAAAAATAAGGAAATTTGGTATGATTGCTGATAATACAACTGTCCAAAAATACCAAAGAAATAAGATGTGAGTGAACATTGTTTTAAAGTGTATTTAATTTTTCAGGTTTCCAAAAGAATGATGGATAAAAAGTTTAGAGATAAAATTACAACAGCATTACAGACTTTTGAACAAAATGGAGGAAAGGTAAGTCTTGTTCTACATTTATAAACATATACTCCAAGGGGGCATCAGTAATGTATTATTTAGCTGAGTTGCAACAGTGTCAAGCTTTGCTAAAAATATGAATGATGCTCTGATGTATACATTTTGGTTTCTAGACAAAATTGTTTGAGTCATAATGAATATAATTGCAAAAATAGGCATGATGATAAAACCCCATTTGAAGAGAAAGACCCCATTGATTTTTGGGGTCAAAAGTCCCAGAAGGTATTAATATTTTAACATTTTGGCAAGATTTATATCTAACTATCTTGAAACTTGGATAAATAATGTTTCAAGGGATAAGGAAGAACCCTAATGATTTTAGGATCAAATGTTAAGGTCACAGCAGCTATTGATAGACTGATATTTTTGCAATGTATTTTTGTTTCTGGATGTTATCTTTTGAATCACATGTCCAACTCGTATAAAAATTGGTTTGATGGTGCCCCTTGTGATTGGAAAGACCCTTATTGTTTTTGGGATCTAGGTTAAAAGTGAAGATCACAGCAGCTATGGATAAAATGAAATTTGGTTTCCACACATCTTTTGAAACATATGCTCATCTTTTACCAAATTAGATTTGATAATGCCTTATAAGATGACTAAACACCCCTTTTGATTTTGATGTCACAAAGTCAAGGTTAAGGGAACATCAGCAATTGGCTTACTGAAATTGTTGTTTACATTGGTTTTGGATGTTATCATTTGAATCATTTGTAAATCTCTCACTTAACTTAGCTGGATACTGTCACTTTACTTGGATAGATGGATACCATGTTAATCATTTGTTAATTTTTTAGTCATTAGGTAACTATAAATACATTAACAGATTGGGAAAACTTTTGGTTAAGGGACAATTTATTTTGAGCCATTTATCAGATCTTTCCCTTCCTTTTGAGAATAATACACCTTGGATTGAAAAAAAAACCTTTTGGTGTTGTGTCAGGGTCAGGGTTACAGCAACAATCAATAGACTAAAATTTGGGCAATTTTTTTCCACACCATTTGTCATAAATTGTCAGCAGACTTTAAGTCTTCAATGTACTTGACACAAAAAACAGGTTATTTCTGCTACAGATTCATAAAGAATACAACTTGGATCATGAACCCATGGTGCTTCTGTAATTTAATTTATATCCAATATCATATATCCAATGACTGGAAAATATCATCATCCATACAGTCATTGAAAAACCTTCAATGATGGCAAAAGATCAACATTCTAAAACTTAAAAGTCATATTTAGATCTACAAGGAATGGAAATTTCCTACACTTCACTTGTTTTAAAGTTCTTGTTGACTTTTTTTTCTAACTAACTAGTGAATATGTATAGAAATATCTTACAGCTGAGACATCTGCTTCAGTCAGATGGTAAATTGTTTGATTAATGCAGATTATAATCTGTATTTATTGATTGAATAAAAGTTTGTTAAATAATGTTTTTTCTTCAATTTTCCAGGAAGCTTTACCAGTGATCAAGTCAAAGGTGCCAACATATACAACAATATTTATGTGAGCTGATTAATATATGTGAGGGTACTGGCTTTCTGAAGATTTACATGCAGAAAACACTATTCTAATATGTGTATCTCAGATGAATTTAATGATAAGGTTGTGGTTTACACAAGCTCTCTGTGATGACTTATGATGATATATAACTTGTAACGTTTATGTTTGGTTTGTACTAGACTGTGCTAGTCCATTTGCCATAATTTGTACCAAAAATGTTTTTTATTCATTGTTAGATCTGTTCTGTTTAAAGGCCCTACATACCTAGTTATTTCATTGTTAGATAGTTTCATTTAGCTTACTTCACAAAGGGCTCCTTTGTCTGCCTTGTTAAGGAGCCCTTTGCAAAAATTCTCTGAGAGGTCTGTAGGTGACATGAAGGAAGGCTAAATCAATGGCCTATCCAACATACCCTAATTTTCGCAGTGGCAGTTCTAAGCTTTTATTATCCAATTCAAGTGTTGAAATTAGTGGCCTTATTATGCCTTCCTCTCTTTCTATTGTTACAGATGACAGAAAAAAAAATCATGCTATATTTTTTTATCAGTATAATTTTCCTTCCAGGCCAAAAGACATTGGCTGTGTTGAAAGAATTTCTTCCAATTTTTTCTGAATGGAATTGAAAAATGAGAATATCTTATATTACATAGGAAATTACTGTATGACAAATTTCTCCATTTAATTTTAATTTTTTGTCTGGCGTACAAAATGATAAGCCTGGTATCTTTGATGAGTTTCTTTTTAATAAGTCTTTAAAAGATTACTTTAATGTTTAGTTGATTAATGTATATAATCCCTTATATATTTTTGTCATTATTGTACTTTTTTTACTGTACCTTATAAAGATTCAGTTTTGTTTACCACATATTTTATTTTGCTTTTCACACAAGGGCACTACTGTTGTGTGGTTTTAATCATTAGCTACAATCAAAGCACCTGTAAATAAGTATTTTTTTATATCATCATTATAATGTAATTTATTATATTATCATTGTTGCCTATATTGATATATCCAACAATTCAATGAAAAGAACCTTGGACAGCCAAACACAAAAGACTGTTACTTTATGTTGGTAGTCTCAATTCCCCTGCTACCAATAGACATGTACAATATTTTTTTTCAGTACAAGAAAAACCACCATCAGGTACATAAGACAAGAAATTTAGGAGGCAAATATATATTTGTAAAACTACGTGCCAAAATTCATTTAACGGTAATCCCTAAAAGTGTCTAAATTCACATGCATATATACAAAAGGTTAATTGAAAAATGTCAATCTAAGGATATCTGAATTATGATACAATTGCATCTAAATATTTACTTATTAATAAATTAAACATAATTTTGTTCTCAATTTTCCCTGATAATACCAGATTGTAATGAATATTTCCACTGGGCATTAAGCAAATAGCAACTAGAGGTTACCATAGAGTAACAGACTTTCAACATGCCCTGCAAATCAGTCCATTTGTAAGTTATGGTCAAGGTCAGGAACAATCCTCTAAGGACATTTTTACTGTAGAAAAAACCAAGCCAATTGCATAGACAAAGTCAACATCTAACCATTGAAAGATGTCAAAATTATATGTATAACCAAGTGTTGCATGCATATTTTCAAAATATTTAATATTTTTTATTTGAGTCAGATTTTAAGTGTAATTCCTAGGGTATTTTAAAAATAGAAAAATTGACAAATTATACATGTGTAACTAGCAAATCAAATTTCTGTGTTATAGGTATAATCATGACTACAGTTTAAAATTTAATTTAACATTTACTTTTAACCTCAAAATGAATTATTACAGATGTTATAAAAGCTTCAAATGTTTAAGATTACAGATTACTTTCACCAAATGTCTTGACATCATGAATAAATAAGTATAATTATGATGTCTGATGTCAGCAAACCTATGGTTTCATTATGGTATTTCAGTGACAATGCTAATGCTAATTCTTTCATTCAATTAATTTTTGAATGAGTTAGAACATTGTTTGCAGCTTAAGCAGGTAAAGTACTATATGATTTACCTCTGTCTACCTATAACACATTTCTGGTCCATTTCTTGGAGTAACTACATGATACCTACTGATATATGAAGCAAAGCTTCAAGTGTTACACATTTTTAGTTGCTTTGATGTTCTACATTCTGTTTGCCAAAAAATTGTGTCTTAAAAAATGTCATCCAAATATACGAATTTTTTTCTAAATTTTTCTCAGCAACAAGGAGTCAAAGCTGCTTGACATATGGCACCCAGCTTTATCTTGTCGTGTCTTTTAAAATGTGTGACATATTTTAAATTCCTTATATGTTCTACATGTTTATGGCCAAGGAACAGTAAATGACCTGTGTCACAGATTTTGGTAAATATTTTGCAAACAACTTTGCCACCTTGAACTTTAACTGATAAAATTAAGACAGTGGTGCCCAATAAATAATATAATACTCCCTTTATTTGGGTGGGGGGGTTACATCAGTCAAAGTGTTTCTTGTGTAAAAAATACTACAAATGTCGACATAACGTGTCAGCAGTGTAAAGCTGTAAAACAACATTTTTAGACATTTTTCAGTACCCGCTAGGTACCAAAATAGTTCAATTTTATGTGCTTTCAATTCAAATATACATCTATTTTGAAAGAATTCATTTAATAATACTTTTGAAAATAAAAGAGAAGAATGCATTATTTTTTTTATTTTCAGTTCAAGTTTAACATACTACATCTGTATGCAAAATTTTATAAAAATCTGTGGTATGACCCATTTACTGTTACTTGACCATAAAGAATTCACATGGGAAATTTGATTGCTTCAAATATTTACTGCAAAATAGTCAACACCATTGGACAAGAGTTTAATACAGAACAATAGCTCAGAGTCCATCTTTTTTTAATTACTGCTTGCCATTATACTGCTAGTCACATGTTAAAATTTTCATGCCATGTAATGTGGTTCTTTGAAAAGAAGAGCATTATAATCTTATGTTTTATATATATATTTCTGTATTGATGGATCATTCAGTGATTTTTATAACATTAAATAATTATAACTTGATTTCGGTTGCCTGCTGTGTTTGTTATATGTTCTGATTCTACTTCATAGATATTTAATGTCCTTAACATCAGTGTTTTTATTATTTTGGAATTAAACCGGCCTCCTGTTATCTCTGTAAAATGTGAAAATAAGATTATGTCAAAATTTGATTATACACCAACAAAAACTTTCGGCCAAATAGTTAATTGATTTTCTGGTATCTCATGCATATTGAAGACGGGAACAAACTAACAATACATGCAATGGGTAGGTTCTGTAAGGTGGGTTGAGAGGGACATAGGACTACAACTGGAAAATGAGGGTATGATTGATAGGAACATACATTATTTTTCTTTGCAACAGGACACATGCAGAATTCCCAATGAGTTGATGAAATGTTCTTTTAAATTTATATCCCCATATTGGCCAGATGTGGCTGCATATTTATACTTCTAGCACAGCCAAAAGGATGCCTCCCTTTACCATGTGTTTAGTGCCTCATTAGAGAGGAGTCCATGGATGAAAATACATCTATATCTCAGACAAACATTGGGGTTATAAAACCTTTGATGTGAAGAGAATGCTTTTTTGGGGAACGATTGCAATCAAAACCCTAATGTGGCTGGCTTATTAGTTATCAGTATTCCTGACTCTATCATTACCTATTTGATATATAACAAAATATACTGAGAACATCATTCTTCACATCCTATCCATGAACATTAAAATTTTGTCAAATATTCAAGTTACAAAACTGTGTGTATGTATGTAACAATACTTGTTAAGAAAATTACATAGGTTGTGCATATTGCACGAATCTAGTATCTGTTCTAAAATATCAATGATATTATTGTTCAAGTAATATTAAAAATTGGATTTATCTTTCTTTGTCCAGAATTGCAGTTGAACCAATTCACAGTATTTCCTACCTATGCTTAATGCAATGCAATGTTGAATTTTTAGTTCCCACTGCAAAATGATTGCATTCTCTACCCTTAAGTGCTCACAAGCACTTTATATTTTGATTTCAAAAAGAATGTTGTGAATATTATATAAAAAAGAATACTCTGGAACCATGAATGAATGCATGTTTATTGATGTTAGAAATGATATGGGATGAATAAAAAAAAAATAATTTAACATTGTAATTTTTAAAGCAATAATTTCCTCAACACTTTAGGTGTTTTCAACAGACAAACGGCATTCCTGTGGAAACAAATTGTGCTCTTCTTGCAGACCTTTTTCTTTATATATATGAGGCAAATTTCATTCAAGAGCTTCATAGGAAGAAAGAAAAGAAGCTTGTATAATCTTTTAACCCCACGTTCAGTTAAATGGTGACTATGTTTGAACATCGGTTAACTATTTGCCTTAATTGGATGCATCTATCCCGTCGAACTTGAAATAAAGGATACCACAGATACAGGCAAGTCTGCCTTCAATCTTGATTTGCATCGGAAAAAAAATGACAGAAAGAGTAGGTTGAGAACAAATCTTCACAACAAAAGAGCTGACTTCAGCTGTTTCACTTGTGAACTTATCGCTACATCCTAGCAGTCCCTGCATATGGAGTGTATATCTCCCAGTTGCTACGATATTTAATACTTTGCGTTTCCTATCACGATTTCCTTGATGGATGGTTGCTGTTTACAAGGAAACTACTGAACCAAGGGTTCCTAGTGGTCAAGTCGAAGCTATCCCTTCAAAAGTTTAACGAACCCATCCTGATTTGGTTGACTTTTAAGGAATATTTGTGTCATAGTCCCCGATAACCATAGATATTTTCCTATTGACGTAGCCACACTCCCGTCCTTGATAGTGACAACACCGAATGTGTACTTTCCATGACTGCGCACCTCGACGCGTTCCACGTGTGGAGCAGGATCTACTTACCTTCACAGGGCACCAGCGATCATCCTCAGTTTTAGGTGAGGTTCGTATTGCTGTCTTTAGTTTCTATGTAATGTTTTGTTTTCCATGTAGATTGATGTTTGTCTTTGTCGTTTTGTTGTTGTCATGATTGTGTTTGTCTCTTTCAACTTATTAGTTTTTATTGTCCCTTTGGTACCCCTCGCATCTTTTTTTTTATAGAAACAACAATTACTTATGGTGTATTATTTTCTATTGTCAGAGATCCACAAACATTGATTGCAAACATTGACTATTTGATTTAAAGTAGGTATTTCTAGCTAGCTTATGATATCACTTAAATTTAAATATTTTCCTCGCTGAAGTGACAGTGGTGCAAGGAAAATTAATGCAGAAAGTCAAAACTCATTCATTAAAGGTAATAAAATAGATTGGAACAGAGATGACGGCACTAAAAAAAATCAAGATTTGTCAGCTCTTCGAATAAAGATATTGATTTCTGAAGTACCACTGGATAACTGTCAAAATAATTTATTTAGGGCGAAAATTGTACAAATACCTCTGGGAAAAGTTTATGGGTCTTCTGCATTCAGAGTGTACTATTAACCATTTTGGTTTTGATAATATTCCAGATGGTTATCTTCAAACTAATTAGGTATTGTATTGTATTGTAATTTGATTAATAAGGAAGTCTTTGTAATGTACAAGGATACAAGTGAAACCTGAGTTTGACTGTCCCTCTGGTATCTTTCGTCCCTCTTTTAAATGCATCACTTGGTAATTTCAGCAACCCTTTATGACCAAACCATGTCGTATCTTCTTATTTCGATACTGTAACCTTGACAAAATGGAGCTCTATTTATACATAAATACATGCATACCTAGCAGATACATTTATAGTATTTGCCTAGGTGGTTGTTTTACAGTTTAAGATATTTTAGTTGGGAATATAATAAATGCACAAGTATATGTATCGTTACGATAATAAAAAGTGGTGAATGGTTGATATATCGATCCGAGTAAGGCAAAAATAGTTTAACGATGGTCTCACAAATCGATTTGAAAGACAAATTAAGTTAAGAGATAAAAACTGAGGGAATGAAATGAAAAGGAACATGATCAATTGCGTCGACAGGAAAAGCATCTGCTTATGTGAATCCTCACACAGTCAAAATATTACATTCGGGAATAGGCCACAATCGGTGAAAATACAACTTAGGCGACTATTGTGTTATTAGATTTCATTAATTTAGGGTTATTGTTCACAGTGAAGCCCTGAACCAAGAGTTTCTGAATGGTTAAGTTTAAGTAGTTGCCATTATAATTTTGGTTAACCATATGGAATATCTCCGCAATAGATGCCCACGGATATGTTCCACTCTTTGTAGACTGTACCTCGTTTGAGACAGCACAGAATGTGGGTTTCCTTTCCATGAGGGATGTCATTAGTTAACCAAGAACTTACTACCCTTCCAGTGCATCAGAGTTAATTCATTCCGATTTCAAATTGGATTCGTCTGTGTATTTATTGTTCACTATGTAATGGTATTGTCTTTCTTCGAGAAATGTTTTTTCATTGACTCGTTTGTATTATGTTATATTTCTGATCGATGTTACATATGTTTGCATACCGTTAGTTACTAGTGGAGCAGGATCAGCTTACCAATCCGGAGCATCTGAGAGTTTGTCAACTTGTTTGTCTTTTCGTCGTCGTTATTTAAATTCTGTTTGCCCTAGCGTTGTCAGTTTCACGCTTTGTTTGCCCTAGCGTTGTCAGTTTCACGCTTTGTTTGCCCTAGCATTGTCAGTTTCACGCTTTGTTTGCCCTAGCGTTGTCAGTTTCACGCTTTGTTTGCCCTAGCATTGTCAGTTTCACGCTTTGTTTGCCCTAGCGTTGTCAGTTTCACGCGACTTATGAGTTTTGAATATCCGCTTGATATCTTCATTCCCTGTTTTCATAATATCCATTACCTTGCACTCCGCTATATACATGAAGTCTTCTCACTAAATAATTTAAAGTATGTTGATGAAATATTAAAAACAGTGTTAGCTCAGCTTCATATCTTAACTTGCATATTATATCATGTATTGATATATTGTATATTATTGTTTTTTTAAAGAATTAGTCCGCTTATTTTGCTTTATGGAGGGATAAATCATACTTTGTTTTAAAAAGACAAACTCTGATTAAAACAAAACATTCTTTGAAAATTACATTTTTAAGATGCTATTGACAACATATTTGCTACGTTTTTGGACTGTTTTTTCAACAGACAGCATTTCCATATAGACCAACTGACTTCCTCTTTTTACTGACTCGTTCCTTTTTTACATATGTGATAGACTTCATACTAGGGCTTCTGAAGAAGATTGAAAAGAGGCTAGTATTATCCATTTCCTGAAACTGCGCTATATGCATGAGTTCCTATCACTGAATATTTCAAAGTGTGTTGTATGGCAAGCTGTTTTACTATTTATTCCAAATTTAAGATATCTCGTATAATATATAAAATATTTCATACAATATATAAGATATCTCATATTAAATATCAGATATCTTATATAATCTAGTTTTTATAAGATATCTATAAGATATCTTATAAAGTATATAAGATATCTTATAAAGTATATAAGATATCTTATAAATATTTTTTATATAAGATATATTATTTACTTTATAGTTTATAAGATATTTCATATAGTTTATAAGATATCTCATATAATTTTTAAGATGTCTCATATAATTTATAAGATATCTTATAAAGAAAATTATATGAGATATCTTATAAACTATATAAGATATCTTATAAACTATATAAGATATCTTATAAACTATATAAGATATCTCATATAATATATAAGATATCTTATATAATCAGGTTTTTATAAGATATCTTGTAATCTTTATAAGATATCTTATATTATTTATAAGATATATTATATACTTCATAAGATATCTTTTAAAGTTTATAAGATATCTTATAAAGTTTATAATATCTTATAAATATTTTTCATATAAGATATCTTATATACTTAAAAGATATCTCATATATTTTATAAGATATCTTACATAGTTTATAAGATATCTCATATATTTTATAGATATCTCATATAATTTATAAGATATCTTATAAAGAAAATTATATGGGATA